GGGAACGAAAGCAGTCAAGCAGCCAATTGAATTTACGATGGCAACAGACACGGTGGCATCATACCCAGGATACGTTGTCCGTAGCCAAACGCCGTAAAGAAGAATAGACAAGCAGAAGAAAAAGAGTGCGAGACACGAAATGATTTTGGTGAAAAACCACACTTCTTTTTGGATAGTGGTAAGCTTGAACTTTGTTTCTCCCGACATCTTGACAAGGCGTCCCATGACGGTCCTATCTCCTGTGGCGAACACGACACCATGGCAAGTCCCTTGCACGACAAAAGTAGAAGTCAGTGCGAGGTTACGAGTCTCCAGAGCATTGTCAGATGTTGCATCAAGAGCTCCCGGTACCATTTCGCTGTAATTGGACGTCAGCCAAATTCAAGCACGTAGGACAAGGAATAGACCTTTCACCCGTCAGGAGAGAGCGATCAAAGCGAAGGTCGGATGATGCTTGCACGACACGCATGTCTGCCGGGACACGGTCGCCAGCGTTGAGCACGGCAACATCACCAACTACAATGTCAGCAGCTTTGATTATTTGCTGGTTTCCGTCCCTAATGACCGCAGCCTCATGTGCAATTAGAGATTTTATCGACTTCATGATTCTGCTCGCGTTCCAATCGACCAAAGCATAAAATGTAGCAGAAACAATGATGACGAGGAGCTGTGGTTGATGAGAAGGGATAAATTGAGCACTAAAGTTGAAAGTCACGAACCAACAGCACGGCGACACCGAGAGTGAAAGCTTCAGGAGGCCCGAGTGGTTGATAGGAGAGCTAACATGTATGTTAGAAAAGTCACAATGGCAGGTAAACAACGGCACTCACGATAGTCAAAATGAACGCGATCCACATGAGAAAATTGAAGCCACCAAAAATATAATTAAGCGATTTCTTCCAGTAGACGGTAGGTGGAGGACTAATGATATTCTTTCCATCACGCTCCCTGCGACGAACAGCGGCAAGCTCCAAACCGACTGTGGGATGACTGGAATACCGGGTATACACTTCGTCGACACTCAGTAAATGAGTATCTATGCTTGCAATTGCGTCCGCTGGGTCTGGCGGGGATTTTGAAGTCGTCCGAGTCTGTTTCTCTTCGACGCGAACTGATAATGTCCGGTATCTGTTCGTTGTTAGGTCAGCGATATACCGACACGCGGGAGGTAGAACACAAACGCGATCTGAATGCCATAGTCTTTCCCAGACCTGGGTAAGTCAGGAGAGGGTGTTGTTTCTGACATCAAAGCAACGTCCTTGAGGACCTTTGCATCTTCTTGTTATTTATCATATGCTATCCTCAAGGCAATGCATCGGCGACTGTGCCTTGCCAGACCCGAAAAATTGAGTTTTTATCAAGAGGTGTTTTTGCCATTCATGAGCCTGGCGGGCAAGATCCCCGAGACATCACGTTGTTAGTGTTCTAACTTAGAGCCAGTTCGGTAACCCAAGGTAAGGTGAGTTTGCCACCTTGAAACGATTATATAATGTCGGCATGGTGGTCCCGGTTTGAAGCCCGATGACGGAGCTTGAACTTCCCTTTGACATGTCTGCATGCATACCTCGGTATACGACTAAAGATCTACGAGATCGGAACGACATCTGGGCTAGTGTCGTGTCTATAGTGTTATCTGCTCAAGTCCACATTCTTTCTATGGCTCAGCAATCATCTCATGCAGACAGGGCGGTCTGGACTGACACAGAGACTGATCAGCTTGTCCAATACCTGTACGACAATCGGGAGAAGGTTGCTGACACCGGTAACTTCAAAGATGTAACATACAATGGTGCTGCAGAGGCTATTGCTGCGCACCTGCAGCAGGGTCCACAGAAGACTGGAATGATGTGCAAGACGAAATGGGGAGCAGTAAGTCATATACCAATATATCGCTTAGATATAGACTGATTAGATATTGTATAGTTAAAACAGATCTATAACGCTATTCAGAAGTATCGCCAGACGTCTGGTGTCCACTGGGATAATGTCAGAGGAGCCAATATCACGAGCGAGGGTGCAACCACGGTATGGAACGAATATATTACAAAGAAGGTATGTCCGGTTCACAGTGTCATCTACATTTTGTACTGGTAGCTTACTGTTTTATATCTAGGGAAATTCGCACATGCGCCCTTTTCGTGTATCGGGATGGAGATACTTTGAGCAAATGGATGATATCATACCAAAAAACAGTGGCGCGCGAGGGCGTACCGGGTACCAACCGCATACAGCTCCCCCTCCCTTAAGCTCAAGCTCCAGCGCTAGCATACCAGCAGCTGAAAATCATACCATGGGCGCCACCATTGCTACTTCTAGTGTCAGTGCCGCTCCTGCTGGTCCCAGCGCCACCCCTGCAGTAGTTGCCCCTACTTCTATTCCTACTTCTCGACGTCCCGCCTCTATTGACAGCAATAACACCCTTTCCACATCCTTAGTATCTCGGCCTAGCTCCAAACGCTCTCACTCTGACATGGTTCAAGAGTCGACTACCTCACTTCCTTCTACCTCGGTTTCTATGCGAGACGAAGACCCTCAGATGCCGCTGCCCTCCCTCTAAGCCAGGCTCTCTCAAAAGAGCAAAGACAACATCAGGCCGTGCACAGACTCGGAGCGGTGCCACTGGGGGTAGTGGTACAGCGGATGTCAAGATGTCAAAGACCACCACTGCCATAGCTGTGATGGGGTTCCAGAGCTCCGTTAACTGCCTAACGGATGTGATTTCTGAGCGCATGGTCTATCCCGAGGATCGGGTGATGGACCAGCGCTCAAGGGCCATGCAGATGTTGCAGGTTGATGATGCTGACTTGCCATTCGCGGAGCGGCTTATGATGCAACAAGTTTTTGCTATGGACCCTGCAGCTACTGACATATATACACAAACCACTGACAAGGAGATGCGCCATGCTTTCATTATCTCAATGGCCCAGCGGTTGGGAATCCAACCTATGATACTGCCTCCTGGGTTCAATTCTTAGTGGTACAATTGTCTTACTAGTTGCATGAATAAATGAATGAATTGTATGTGCTACTACATCTCGTTGTCGCTGTCATCAAAGGAATCGTCTGACGAACCCCGCTGCTGCAAAATGCCTTGATAATCCTCCCACATGCAGCGCGCAATACGTTCACGCGCTTCCTTCATGCTTCCATCCTCTTCAAACTCCTCCTCGTCTTGAGGGATCCCTTGGTGCTCAGGGTTATCATAATCGAAGTGTTCATCGTCATCCGCGTACTCTCCTTCATCAGGTTTGTGGGCGCATATAAAGTTGTGAATCGCGCATAACGCGGCAGGTATACGTGCCTGGATGGTCATAGGATACTCAGGTGACAGTAAGAGAATGCGAAAACGGCGTTTTAACACGCCAAAGATGCGCTCGATCACATTTCGAGCAGATGTGTGTCGCAAATTGAATAACTCTTCTTTATTGACTGGTCTGCAAACATAGAATAGATATTAGGAAGCTTCAAGTAAAAAGAAATAAAACATACCTGGTATTAGCACGCCCCCACTCAGCTAGATGATACCGGACACTGCGGTAGGGCACTAAGAGCTCGTGACACAAAGGGAACCCCGCATCTGCCAGAAAATACTTGCTGGGAGGGATATACAAGCCACCTGAACGAGCCTCATCATAAAGGCGTGCATCTGTAACGGATCCCTCCCAGCCAGTGAGAGCGTAAGAGAATGTGAGGTCGAAGTCGCAGGCGAAGAGACAATTTTGCGAAAGGAATCCTTTACGATTCTGATATGCAGGATGATCAAATGATGGGGGGTGAGCGTGGATGTGACTACCGTCAATCGCGCCAACAGTGTCCTTAAAATAGGGCCAGAGCTTAGGGTCATTACGGATCTTGTGTGGGGCATGGTAGGTGTCGTCAGGAGAGTGTACATGATTGGTGTAGAATGGGGGAGATGCGAAAATGGTCAACATCTTGCGGAAATATCTACAATTAAGTGTGAGCTCGTTAGTATCATATATAACAATAACAATTGACTTACTTTGAGATGGTATCATTAGACCGTTGAAAGTGCTCACCAACATGGCGGACGGTCAGTCCCGTAACACACGTGTATAGGAAGATGGCGAGTTGTTCTTTGAGGGAAACATAGCACGAATTTGCATGACCCAAGGTGTGAAGTTCCGCTATAAGCGAGTGAAATACATCTGTGTGCATCCCAAGTTCACAGCGCATACGCTCTGGGTGGCCCAAAATGAGCTCCATGACCCACCCTTGACCTGAGAGGGCCGATGTGTGATATGGCTCGGGTATAGAGTCTTCTAGCAAGGACTCTGTAGCAGTAAGAAGGATGCTGACAACCAGTGCAATATGTTGGAGAATTCGTGCGTGATCTTGCTTGGATGCCCGACTGCCTGGCGGCTGAGCAGCCTGAGCCAGAGTCAGCTGTTGGATTAATGGGTTGATGGCATCCATCAATACAGTGAGCAATGGTCTGATAGATCATCGATAACGAGTCTAGTACTACTGATATTCAATTGAGACTCAGTCATCGGCATCTACAACACCGACATTATATAATCGTTTCAAGGTGGCAAACTCACCTTACCTTGGGTTACCGAACTGGCTCTAACGCCAAATGAAACAGACCTAAATGATGAGCCCTGGGAAATTTCCCCCGAATGAACTCGTGAAATGCCTCCTGCGTCAGTTGAAACCTTGCTTGTCATGGACTTAGCGGAGTAATAGAAGATGGCAGGCACTGACTAAAGATACCGAAAAAGAGTACTAGCTTTGAAATACGTCACACTTTATTAGTCGTCACTGCATCAGTAAAACCGCTGAAATGAACACTTAGCTTAAGCGCGTTATAAACACTTACGAATGCTTACGACTTCAGTAGCGCACTCGTCTGATTGGTGGAGAGCTCAGATGATGATTATGTTCTATGGAAATGAATGCGATCAGGCTAGATTGTGCTATCTTACTTATCAACACGATTAGAACGCAGATAATCAATTGTATTGTAGGCAAATGCAAATCTACATCAAACCACTGTGCATTGTATTGAAAACTTCCTTGTCCGAAAATGTATTCAAGTAGTATTCATCACAGATCTCCATTGCGTTCGCAGCATTTATCGTGCGATCCATCTTTGAACCATACATAGGGATCAGCTCAACAGCACAGGTAACGGCTGTCAGCGGAATGATGCTGCCAGGTTGGAAGATCTGACCTGTTCCATCCTGATGGTAGATGCGTTTCACGCGGTACATGCCAGCGCTTGCATCCTCAGTAGGTGTTGCTGTGATCTGAAAGTACTGAACATATAAGAAGGGGCGAGTCTTTAAGATAGTGGGGCAGGGTTTGACCTTTCCTGGCAATAGCTTGAAAAACACAACGCACTTGCGCAATGTATGTATCTGCACAGGCTTGTAAGCACATGGATGACGCCAGCAGTTAAATACTTACCATCATTGCCAGGCAATTGCACGAGAACTGCATCGCAATTGCCCATAGGGAAGGTCTCTGATGGTGGAAACGCTTGGACGATTTGACTCGGCATCACAACTCGCGACTGGAAGGTAGAGTGTAGCTGTAAACTGAAACTTGTTCCATGTCCTGACTGAATCTCGCGCACACGTCCAGGCTGTTGTTGGGGTGTTCTGGGACGAGTCATTGATATATTCCATGAGCACTGCGCCAAAATCTGGGAGGAGAGTAGATAGATTGCAGATCAGTGATAGGAAGTGACTTTCGATCAGGAGAGATGGTGACATGAAAGGTGGCATTAGCTTCAACAGAAAGTATTCCCTTCAAAAAATGGTTGCGGACAAGTTGCGGGCCATGGAAGCGATTCTGCTCGCGGGAAGCACATGCGCTATCCAGGCCAAAGTAGGATCTGTCTCCATGACGATGTTGTCTTCGATTGTGATGGCATTCACGAAGCGGTGTACCATGCGAATGCAAAAGGGTATAAAGATTGAAGCGTCGCATGGTTTCGTCACGATTGAGAATTTGGACGACCTGTAAGGTAAAATTCCTGGCTTGCCGAACTAGTCCTTTTGAATGGAAATTTGCAGTGTGTGATCAGGAGTCGCTCACTAACATCCACTGAGTACTGTATCAGACCTCCGAGATCTCTGATGGACCCCGCAAAGCTGTGAAACAACTCCATTTTTGGGATGAGGAAGTTATCGATCGTTCCACTCTTCCCTCTCCGAGCACCGGCATCGAGTATTGCTTGCTTCAGCGTATGAAACATGTGGAGGGAGTGCACCATAGCATCAATGGACGAGTCAGTGTGCACGGGGCTCTGTGCCTGGTAAATGAATTCGGTGAGGAAATGAATGGCATGGACAAATCGGGGGTTGTGTTTGCTGCACCAGCGACTGTGGCGACAATGGTCCGTTCAATGTCACGATGCTCCCGGCACGTCATCTGGTTGATGTGGGAGACACCAGACCCAAAATGACGTGTTCCGACTCATTTATGATGAGCCTTGTAGCAAGCATCAAGTTCATCCTCCCAACAACTTCCTTGCACCACTTTAAAGGATGGTCACCAAAATATTTGTGACAGGTGTGAAGCAGTTCGCCTGGCAAAAAATGACTTGGATCTGCATGCGGCCAATCTCTCCAATATGGCTGATGAACGCCGCTAAGCAGCAATGCTTTAACTTCGTGTTGGAAGAGTGGTACATTCCATGGATCAACACGTTTGCATAGGTCGTAGATGAGCTTGAGCGTATGGTTGCCTGTTCGACAGGGGGAAAAGTTGAGCACTACCAAAGTCGCTTTGGGTTGCCATCGTAAGTGGTGACGCATTTTTTGAGACACAAGCGATGAGCTGTGCCTCAGGGAGATCAGCTGTATATGCGACGAGCGGAGTGAAGCAATGCTGGATATAACCCATGGAGTCCTGACATGTATTCACCGATCCTTCGCAGCCACCTTGCATTTGGCGAATATCATGTCCATGCACTTGTGGAACAGGCGAGCATGGAGGAGTGTTTGGAAATCCGCGTGAACATCAAACTTCGGAATCGGGATAAATGCAACACAGCGCCATGCATGAGCGGTGGCATTCATACGAACTTCAGATTGAATATTGGCAATCGTAAGGAACACCGGGTGCATTTCTAATCCTCCGACATCCTGGTTACAGGGCGTCTTGTCAGATGCGAGGATGATTGGTACCATAGTGGCACCTTCTGGAAGGTCATTCTGGCATAGAACACTGAGCAATACCACTTTACTGCTGTTAAGGAGCCCTACCTGAATATCGAAAGCCATGTTAGCTGTAAAAAACTCGCCATATTCGCGTTCTGAGCCAGTGGTAACAATGTGAGGATTGTACATCATATGATTGGAAAAGATCGGGTTTGCAAAGAGATCTTTGACGACTTCGAGACTGTCACAGCCAGATTAGCTTGATTGGCCTCGCAGTTGTGTAGTTGGTAAACTCGAGTGTCGTTGATTGCCACTCTGGGCCGCTTGGTAGTGCATCAATCCAGCCAAATAGTTGATCTGCACTCTTGAAGGATGGCCTGGGTCTATTTTTGAACTTGTGCGAAGCTCAGAGTTAGTACAGTCAAAACTGCAGAAACAGATAATGCTACTTGCCCAGTCTAGTTTCAGAAATTTGTTAATATCGGTTTGTGTCAGCCGTTGAACGAGGAACTCTGCTAGCTGCCATTCAGCCTGATCAACAAAGGGTACGATGGATTTATTGCTCTGCGGCGCTTTTGATCTAAGTCGTGATCCTCCATTTCCTGCAAGATATTTCGTCCCCGTCCAAAAATGTAGCCCGACTTTGGATGGTACTGGCCAGTGACTTCTTCTCGGTTGTTGTCTCCCCGTTGGAAAGCTGGAGGGATTGGCAAGCGGTAAGTGGGCTCTCTGTTCCAACAAGAATGCATCTGATCATTGAGATGATCTACAACAGCAAGATTTGACGCAAATTCAAGTCCGCAATTCGGGCATTTTGTAGATGTCGGACCACTGACAAAGTTGGTCAGTTACTGCTGTACCATTTGATACAACTCACCTGTGACAATTGCGTATTTCCAGACCAGTTGCAGTGCACCCCTCAAGTTCCGAGTCCATTGCGGTGCGTTTGGAGTGAGGAAATTCACCAAGTTCTTCAAACTCCGCCAGCTTGTATTTTTGCTGTACTACACTCACCACTGCAGAGATAACAGATTATATTTCTATGATTTCAGGTTCTTTCAATAATGTTCTTTCATTGTCTGCGTCTACAACATCGGGTTCCAGTGGTCGAACTCGAGTGGACTCCCTCCAAACTCCTGACCCATCCAAAATAACTGAAGGGAAGGTCATAACTTTGACCACAGGTCTCACATCCTTCGAGCCCCCCTCCCTGCGCTCAGAGACCTCCTCTCCGGTTTCAACCCATTCTGATGCCAATTCACTTATTGGCAGCACTCGCAGTTCCCGGCGTGGAATGCGACCTGCAAGCAGGAGTCACCCATACCTGCATCGTGGTGCTCCTAGTACCCAACTGGAGCTGCGCTTTGCCCTGAAGGGAATCCGAGGAACCCCTGACATCAAACTTACTGATGCCATAAAGGTAAGTAGGCCCTTGTTTTCAGGAACTGATGATTTTTATTCAACTATTGCAGGGGCGGGACATTTTCTTGCGTGGTCTCTCGTCTTTGTCAAGTGACTACGATAATGTTGGCAGCACACGCCAAACATGCTGCGCGAGAAAACCACCTGTCACAAGGTCAAGCAACTTGGTTGGGAGATCCAAGAGGTAGAATACAACAAACTACTCCTCAAAGCATTTGAGCAGAAGGAGAAGAAGCGACTGAAAATGGCAGAGTCGGATTATCGCCTCTTCAAGAAGCTCTTAGTGGGACGAGATCCTTCCGGCTCTACAGCAGGATGCTGAATACCTGGAGGAATCGCACAATTCTGAGCTCGAATCCCTAGCTACGGCTGACGAGCAGCTTTATCAAATTTCATCTGTATCACCACTCGCAACAAAATATGTCTCTCACAGACTTCCCAACAGTAGTGACACTGGAGTATGAGCAAGATGAGGAGGAGGCTGACAATGGGGAACGATCCACATGATTCTGATTATTCTGACGCCGAATTGGAAGGTAGAAAGCTCTATCTCCCTAGATTATACAAATAACTCACAAGCTTACCTTCTCAGATTGATCATTGCTCACAAGTGCCGTCAGACAGCAGCCATCGATAATCCTTTCTTGGAACCATTCTATTCGTGAAATTTCCCACCTGTACATTGTACTATATCGGATTGAATAGTAGGAGTTGTGTTATATCGATCGACGATATGATAAAGTTTGCAGCTTGCCTAACAAGTTGTGACTAACTAACTGTAAGCAACACTTGACTAGCACCACGACATCGATGGACCCCCCACCTGCCATCAGCAAGATCTACTGGTAGGTGAAAGCCCAACACTGCAAGGGTACGTGTTGGAATTGCAATCCTGTCGCCGGTGCTTACTGATCAATATATAGAAGGGTTTTCGGCCAGGGATTCACTCGGACCTTAATCCCAGTGGCCAGTCGGTTGCCAATCAACTTGGCTTACCTGGTGATCGCGCAACAACACCCGCAGAACATCGCGTTCAAATGCCCATCTCACAGCAGCATCATGCACAACTTGAGCCCCAGTACCATCAACCCCCGCCGCCGCAATATTCCCAGCCTCGACACCAAGCTCCGCTCATGCACCATCAGCAACCCCCAGCCATGCACCATCAGCAGCACCTGGTCACGCACCATCAGCAACCCCCGCTCATGCACCATCAGCAACCCCTGCCCATGCACCATCAGCAACCCCCGCCCATGCACCATCAGCAACCCCCGCCCATGCACCATCGGGACGAGGATAGAGCACTAGCCAACACATATGCTGGTGCATTTGCCCTCCTCCGCGCACCATCGTCAAGGCAGCCATCACAACCAGATTTGGTCGGAAATGGGTCTTTGGCCCCATGGGGGGCCGCGCGGCTTGTCGCTCTGGCCCCCCTTCACTTGGGAGAGAACACCCATGGGAGAGAACCCAGGGTGTTATTCGAGTAAGTTATTTTTGAGTGTTCGTTTTTGAGTGTTTACCTATGATATACAGACTCAAAAACATGTCTCCGACAGCGGGAGACGACGACGCAATGCGAGACTTCCTCCCATGCCAGAGCTACCATCAGCTGATCCTGCCGCTGCACCTGATTTGCCCGAGGAGTCTGGGTCAATTGTGGACCTGCCCGTTTCGAGCCGCATAAAGCTCTCGACGAAATCAGCCCAAAAGTTGAAAGAAATCGCGAAGAGTAAGCTTCGGGCACTTCTACTGAACGTGGATGCGGAAACAGATGGTGCCCCGAATGATGAGCTTCGCGATAAGATGATACACAATGCGTTGCAAGCCGCGAAAATTGAACAATTTGGCCAAGGTGTGTTTCATTGCTTTCCGAATCTCAAATGTACTGATACTGAGGTCATAGCGCAAATTGAGGACATCAGCGGTATCAACAATTTTATGGTGGCCGCAATAGCAGATATGCGACGCGGGTTCAAAGTGTACGCAATGAAAACAGTTCCAGTTGGCTATGGTCTGCGCCTGCCACTGTTTTCGGAACAGGATGAGTCAGTGCATGGGCGAGATCGAGTCAGTGTTCTATTAGACGATTCGAGATACCTTCACCATATTGAAGAGGTGACAGTCTCCGTCAATTCAGTAGGGTGTTGCTCACTCGGCCACAGAGCATGGGTGACACGGAGGTTCGACGATTACTGGAGAACGAAGTTCTCATCAACATGGTCATTGACCTTTTGAAAGACGGATTATCGGACATTGTACAGGGCCCACTCGATCGTTTGTTCGCAGCATGTGGCTGCAACAATCCGCTGCGTGCTATATGCCCATCGAACTGGTCATTTCGTTGATTTCTCTGTAAATTCCTCTATTTTTGATGATGCTTACCACGAGATCATGAACTACATTACTACAACTATTCATCCTTCAGATACTTTGCATGAAAGGTTCGAGGCTGTACAGCAGGAGGTTCGCAAACGAGTTTAGCACTAGTAGTAGATTTGTGCCATACCCACTGCCCGCATCTAATCAATGATAATCCGGACTGATTTCACGCTGATAGTGACAATCATTTCCTCGCTTCCTCGCTTGTTGCATTTGTTCTCCGTTGCACACATTTTTGGTCTAGTTACATGCTAAATACAGCTCGTCCGAGACTATACTAAATAGGGATCATAAAACGATGCTTGAATGACGATTTAAACTGTTGATGACTGGTTGTGGTGCTATGGAAGTTCCGGTACCCCAGAAAAGGCCATAAATCTCTAGATGTCATCCCGATCACTACGGTACACGGACCACGGCTCACGCTGGCCCGTCATTCATTTGGATTTTAGGTTTATTGAACTCATTGTCTTTTCATTGTGTTCCCTTCTGGCCGTTGTCTCCGTTGTTATGGCTTCTGGCTCTTCCCTAGCCACCAATCAAACTCCGTCTTGTCCCCCACCACTTGTGTCACGACAATGGGACATCTGTTGTGTCGTCATGTGTCTTGCGAATGTTTTATTACCTCTCACTGGTACCTAATCTCAGTCACTTGTGGACAGTTTTGCAACTCTTGATCGAGAGTAATATGCTGAGAACATGCGCACACACCTATTTGTGTTCTCATCCGATCGCAAGGATCATGTACACGTATGTGATGCTACGTGTACTATACCTCATGCTATTCTTCTCGAGTTTCCCAACGTCATGATGTCAATCTAGTTTTGCCTGATCCTTCTGGTGCGTCACATCGGGAACGTCATGTAGCATCCCAATGTCACACTCGTTCTAATACCAATGACTCAGGATGCATGGCTGTGAGATATGGTGACGCTGCTTGACACCGACATGCTTACGATCCAAATTCTGGATATATCTTGGAAATCAGCAGCGTAAGTCCGCCCAAAGCACATCCCCAGGGCCACAACCCACAGTATGCAGCTGTGAAAACTGAGCCATACATATAAACATGCAGCACAACCGTCGGGTACATCTGCATGCTGTTCAAGAGATCATCCCAGAGTATATGATTCTCCCAGACCTCATGGAAACCAAAATCGAGAATCAAGAGGGGGTCGCCGCGTATATCGCAAAGCGTCAGGAGTGATTATTCAGAGCACTTGCCCATGTAACTGAAATTGCAGTATGATTATGTGATAAAGATCGAAGGCAGGTATGCCCTCTGAGATCATGATTCAAAGTCGAGGGCGAGGGTAACCACCATTAGCTCTGGTCGGAGAACATCGATGATCAGTGGAAAGCGCTTTCTAATCGAAAAATGTACCCGATTATGCTGAGCAGGAAGTCTCCTTGACACAGAATAGTCAGCATAGCAGAGGCAAGTATAGAGCGATCTTGCCAATCCACCACTATATTTTTGGCTTTGAGCGTTTGACGGACCGCCCATACTGAAACAACAAAGGAATCAGTGATGGGGATGATGGAGATACAATAGCACTGACTCCGATTGACTGAGACCCGTTGAGTTTAGAAATTAGCACTGCAAACAAACTCACATCCATACTAGTAAACATGATGATGGACTGGAAAAATTTACAAAGTGCGATGCTGAATTGATGAAACGCACGTAAATTGTGATTCTGGATCATCAGTACCAGTACTCAATCATGAGATTGTTGAAATCTTTCCATCGTAGCACGTTATATAATGCACATGACATTCGACGCTGGTCAGTACTCAGTCTTGGGTCCATATGAAACTCTCTTACTGTCCAGATGCACCTGCTGACATCGATCGTCGTAGGTTTAACACTTTGTACAGAACGGTGATCGCAAAGTCGATTACGCCATTTCTTGCATGACTCGGATGCAGCTCGGTAACGTACTTGAGCGGTCCAATGAGGGGGATAGCCTTTCTCTTCTCGCAGAAAACAGCTCGTCAAGCACTGTACCCAATCAAAGAGATCAAAGTGGGCACCAAGATGTGGGTTACTTATCGTTATGGCGCTTACCAATGTCATGGGCAGATCTGAGAATTTTCCTGAAAGACGAAGAGCATCAATGGAACCTCAAGTATGAAAGACAAATGCAGATGCCACACTGAAATTCGGAGACAAGGGGATGAATAGTCATTCCCACGAAAATCGTCTTAACAGTGGGCTTTCTTGAGCGCCAGCCGTCGAGGATGCGAAAACAGCTTCGATGACAGCAGTTTCATTTCACAAGAGGGTGGGTCTTTGTACAGGAAGGAGCACAGGTACACGTGACAAGCGAGGGTAGAAAGGGGATACACTTCAGCAGCAAATAAGCTCACAAGTATGGAGATCTCCTGAAGTTGGGTTGGCAGTCGAGAGTTGGAACTCTCGTCCCTATCCAGCATGCTATGGTGAGATGCACCTCGATGAGACTATTGAATTTGTTTGTTCGGCACTGAACATATACGTTGCTCCGAGTACGTAGACGTAGATCTGGAAGAGATGGGAAATGTGTGAGGATGAAGATTAGGAAAATGTGTGACCACAATGGCCAGATTGCGAATTATATAGTATGACGACGAAGAATGCAAAAAACTCACGTCGGAGGTTGAGAACAAGGTCCAAAGAGAAGAAGATCCGTTGAGTTGGACGCTCAAGGGAATTTCAGTGCGAAGGAATAGATACGAAGACTGCATAATCATATTGACCCAGGCTTTGTAAACCGTGATGGCAAGGAGTCAATGCAGATGAAGAAAGTGGACCAAGAGCGTTGGGCGCTTGATCTGCATAGCTAGTGCTGAAGCTGTGAAGCCAACACGAGGCAAGGAAGACACGCCTGAGACTTTAACAACCACCCTCCTGACCTGAATCTCCATCAAACGAAACGCTCACTCCGTCGCAGCTTCCGTTTCGCATTCATCTTTTTGTGTACGAGTCGATTACATCTGGATTCTGAGTGAGTGATGGACTCTATGGGATTTGGTGGCAAGAACTGAAATATCACCCACCAATTAAGTGAATCCCGAAACCAAAATCACGCCGCATCCAGCTCCTGTACAGCAGAAGAACCCAGCGACAATGCCTTCCCAAAAGATCAAACTAAAGAAGGTCATCATGCACATCCTACGTCTGCCTGGGGAACAGATCATCACCTAATCATCGGATGAGTCATTTCGAGTCTGGGACTTGGAGAGGGGCACACAGGTTAGGGAGGAATGGGAGGACAAAGAAGGAGGAGTGTGCACCATAGCATTATCGCCGGGCGGTAAGACCATGGCAAGTGGGAATCAGGATCTCACAGTGAAATTGTGGAACGTCGACACGGGCAAGGTCATCAAAACATTGACGGGGCACACAAGGGAAGTGCGGTCTGTGTACTGGAGTTCAGATGGAGAACGAGTGGTGAGCGGATCCAGAGATGAGACATTCAGAGTGTGGGATGTTGAGAGCGGAGAAAACTATCCTTGGAGCAATTAACGCAGGGATTGACGCCGTGGATGCGGTTTGCTACTCACCCGATGCCGAGATGATTGTCACGGGCGGGAAAATGGGGCTGAAAATCTGGGAAGCCAACACAGGTGAATTGCTGAAAACATTCGTGAACAGACTTACTGCGGGTACTATGTGCCTGGCATGGACCTCAAATGGAAAAGCACTTTCGCCGGGGAAACCAAGATCGACACAGCCACATGGACAGTTCTTGACAAGCGCAAAAACATCGCCAATACCATTTCACTATCTCCCAATGAACGTATCTTCGCAAGCACAAAATACCTAGATAAGATAGCGCAATTATAGTACAACCTCAAAACCAGTCAACCCATCGGAACACCACTTCACCATGAACATGAGGTGAAATCTGCGACCTTTTCTGCGGATGGAAAGTTCCTCATCACTAGCTGCCTTGGCGGCTACATTTACACATGGGATGTTTCCGCTATCGTCACAAAAGCTGGCCTTGTCTCAGATATTGTAAGCTTGAATGCATTTTATTCTCAATTGCACTGACAATGGATCTGCTCCCCCAGGTTGATGTTACATCCCGACCAGTCCCAAAGATGAAAGGCGCTCCTCGAATTCCTCCAGGGTTTTTCGACGATGGACTGTGAGAGGCTAATGTATGTGACCTCCATCTATTATTCAATACTTTGACTAATATGTTGTCAGTTGCATATTGGCCTATCCCAATCCCAAGGGTCCCATAACCATCCCACTCCAGCGCCACGTCAATGCACCCTCAGTCGCTTTTTCTCCTTCTGGCGCCGCTCAAAGCCACCCGGGACAACTGAGCCCGACACCCAATCCCGATCCCAACTTCTTGGCTGGACTCGAAACGTAGTATCCGGTATACTACACAGACAAGATCGATCAGACATCCAGTTGCAAGAGGTCGAGGTTCCTTACACAGCGGGCAAGCTGTGCATTTTTTCTCTTTCGCGGTTCTTCTTTATCGCTGACTCTCCTTTGCGCAGAGGAACTATCACGCTAGAAAGAAGAAGCCAGCTGCCAGCTCATCTCGACCTCCCAATACTCATACCATGCAACAACCTAGCGGAGCAGCATCAAACACACCGCCATCATCACAGCAACCACCTTCCACTACCGCTGCTTCGACACTTTCCGCAGTCGCTGGTGCCGCAGGAACACCCTCGCATCCTCGTATCACCGTTGTTGGATGGTGTGCTCGTCTTGTGGGCTGGTTGTGTTGTATGCCTATCCAGAACACTAACGGTCAACATCTGTGACTTAGTCCTAACTACCACATTGGCTACTAGAACGACGTGACACAATCACTGTAATACAGGCCGGACGATGGATATGTTTCTTGCTCCTCACTGATATTGCTATCGTTCCTGTGGATCTCCTCCATTCCATCATTTTTTGCACCCATTTCTGTCCATTGAGAGATAGACTCTGTATGACATTACTTGCTTGTCTATTGGGACCTGCTCCGTTGTTGTACTGTACCTCCTGCTTATTCCGCTATGTTGTTTTGTTTTTTTACACCAGTCTTATTTTATGGTCCTATGGCGTAGACCTTTGGTATCATACATGCTTGACACATGCACTACTATGAATTCTGCCCTCCATTCTTGTCGATGTTTGCGACATTCTCGAACGAACACTGCACTGATCATGTTTTCACTCCTGCTTCTTGAAGTTGTTGTTGGTGTATCCTCTTGCTGGATCTCATACAACGACCTCAAAATGAATCAGGCCAGCTTCCTTCGTATGTGGAAGTTTCCGCTGTTGAATGAATTAACGTCGTGCTCACTGTATCTCCTTTGTGTCCTCAAGGCTTCATGCGTTTTTGTATTTTCGCAGATGCAACGCCCCAGGCCTCAGTTCGCTAACCATTCGGCTCTTGAACAGCTTGCATGTGACAAGTCCATCAAATAATAGTCATGTCATTTATTCATAAGCATCAATTTTGTTTGCTGGTCAGTGCAAGACGACTCAACTCATTCGTATCTCTGGTGGAAGGCAAGTCCAGCGAGCATCTTCAAGATGATCAAAGGTTACTGCAACCGCAATACTTTTGTCATCAAAGACGTTAGCAAAATCATTACTTCAGCAGCGCCAGTTCTCAAAGTATCGAGATACGGTGTATCTTATTTGAAACCACGTCCTCAGTTGCCATATAATCTACATACTAGTGCTCGTGTGTTGTACACAGATTTGTCGACATTGAGACGAGGATGACAGGGAGGTAGAACGCAGAAGTTGTTATCTTGGTTCCCTTGAGAATGAATGAGCTGTGCAACGAGGGGGGAGCTTCTCACCGAAACCGCTTCTTAAGCACTTTACCAAATCGGAGATCGAGGTGGGCGCCAAGATGTAGGTCAGTTATCGTTAGCACGCTTACCATTGTCATGGGCAGATTTGAGAATTTTTTTGAAAGACGAAGATGAAAGACGAAGAGCGTCAATGGAATCTCAAGTATAAAAGACACGAGTGCAGATGCCGCACTTTTATATTCGAAGATGAGGAGATGAATAGTTATCCACGAAAATCATCTTAACAGTGGGCTTTCTTGAGTGCCAACCATGGAGAATGCTTCGATGACGGCAGTTTTCAGCACGTTTCACGACTCAATCTTACTGAAATGTCTCACCTTCGGAAGATAATGTGAATACATCTCAGGCAGGTGACCTGGTGATATTTCAGCTGTGACGTAGACCCTGACAGGAGGGTGGGTCTTTGCACAGGGGGGAGCGCAGGTCCACGTGACAAGCGAGGATAAAAAGGAGATCTACTTCGGCAGTAAATAAGCTTCGGAAATGGAGATCTCATGAAGTCGGGTGAGCAGTTGAGAGTTAGAACCGAGTCGTCCCTATGCAGCATGCTCTGGTGAGACACTTTGAACCTAGTAGTGCTACATCAAACACTTAACATCTCAAAGACGTAGTCCAGACTGGTTACAAGTCTAGGAGAAGAGCACGATGCATCGAGTTGGACTCTCAAGGGAGATTTGGTGCGAGGGAATGGAAAAGCCTGAAAAATCATATCAGCTCAGGGAAACACAGGAATGCTGGCTTCCGAATGGTAGTACCGTGATGCTGAGGGGTCAATGCGCGACTTGTCGACATGTCATGGATGGGTGCTTAATCCGCACAGCCGTTTTGTAATTACAATAGTGCACGCATGCGCATAGGTAGCACAGTTTAACCAATTGATGATTTGATTTGATGCACTAAGGATGTGATGCAACACGCCCCACATGTTCTCCAAATTCAGCCTTTCAAAGGCATGTCCGAGAGGCGCATAGTTGACGAGTTCGACAAGTAACACTGCTAAGTCGATTACCTTGTGCTTGAAAACAGTACTTGTCGAAAATGAGTGATGAATGTAGGTTTTGGTGCGGTGCGGCAGTGGTGCGACGTTAGTGATGCGGCAAGTTGCGGCGGTGATGCGGCAAAATACCTGAGCCCAATAGATATGAAGTGGCTATGTATGTCAGAAATTTCCTAAAGTGGTTGCAATGATGTGATGTTGACACGCTGTTTGCGTGCCATTGAAATCAATTGAAATGCCTCCTGAAATGATAAGGTAATCTAGCAGCTGAGTTTCAATATATTGTAAGTCCTTTGTAACGTGCTTGGGCACATAGATCACTTGTTATCGGCGCCTGCAGCACATTCTTCACGTTCTTGCGCATTCCTTGCTCTATACCCCCACCTCAACTATCTTTGTATACAGCTGTACAATACTGTCAACTACATGGGTCCAGATCGCTCAAAGCACTGTAATTTATGTGACCAGGATATCAAGCCACGAGGATGGACCACCCACCGAAAATCTTGCGAGACGAAGGCAGCCAAAAGACAATGGGATCAGGTGATTGTAGATGCGATTCGGAAGGAGAAAGGTGCGTCTGTTATATCTTTGCCTTGATGTATTGTCGAAGCTGATGTTTAATTGTATCACAATACAGCGTCGGATTCGTCATTGAGACTCGACAAACCTCAATCAGCCATTCATATCCCTGTATCAGGTATGTAGTAGCATTTTATTTTTGTTTTGCTATCTACGGCACTCACAAACTCACAGTTGAAATGCAAAATCACGCAGACTTCCTCGATGTGGACTTCAGTCATGATGATCCAGTGATTGGTCCAGGTGAGTCGTCGACACTTAATTGTTTTCATTGATCTCACTAACACTTGGGCCGTGTACCCTATTCAATACAGGCCCTTCTGCACTCAAGGAACCAGAAGTCGAGGCCACAGTCCCCACCTTCAATCAAGATGACATCAAGATCGAGTATCATCCGAGTAGTGGCATCGAGGCCAAGGTATACAGCTTCGATAACTTTGAGCGTCGTGCTGCAGACTTCCTGGTCCCTCCACCTGATGGCCAACCTTGGAGTCCATTTAAATCTTGGCTCGAGTTTGAAATTGCCGAGATCATGCTCGAGGTCGGGTTCGACAATCAACAAACCGATCGTCTTATCAAGCTATGTCACCGCTGTGCTGTGGGGAAGGAGAAACTTACATTCAAAAACTACAAGGATATCCACAACATGTGGGAGGCTGCCTCGCATCGCATTACAAAGGTGGTAGTATATCCTTTCTCTAGTTCAAATGAGTCTGACATAGCATGAAGTATAGTTTACAAAGGAAGTGATCTCGGTCCCGTTCACTGGAGATGAGGAACTGCAGGAGTATGACGTGCATTACCGAGACCTTTGGGAGCTGGCTGCCGATATGCTTCGCAATCCCCGGCTCTTTCCTCACTTCACGTTTGATGCACACCGCCTCTCGAAGTTTGATGGTAACACTTTTGTTTCTTTCGTCGATGAGCCTTTCACTGCGCGAGATATCTGGGATGTACAAGTATGTGATAATACTTTGTAGTTTTTCATGTGCCTTATGTCATTATATTACTTTGTAGTCGCAACTCCCACTGGGTGCGAAGCCGCTGGCATATATACTGTACGTGGATAAGACGAAACTCTCCTCCTTCGGTACAGCAAAAGGTTATCCAGTCTACGCTCGTCTAGCAAACTTACCGACTGCAATTCGAAATGGGCAGCGGTGAAGGTGGCGGGTATGTTGTTGGATGGTTACCAATAGTGTGGTTTCCTTTAGTGACTCGCTGTTAGTGCTGCTGATGCAGTTTACATAGGTTAAGGTCGAAAAATTACACTCCAGAAAGCCCAGCTGGGTAGATTTCAAAAATACCGTCTGGCACAAGTCATTTGCCAGAATTATCTCTTCGTTAGCCTCAAAATCACAAACGGGGCAGTGGTTTGAATGCCTAGATGGTGTCAAGCGCTGGTTTTTTTCTCTGTATCCTCATTCTATCAGCTGATTTCGAAGAATAGTGAGTGTTGATTTCGTCGTTGTGGTCCGAATAATTTAATTGTATCATTACAAGATCTGTCATGTCGCTTACTCGAGGCATAATGAGTCTTTGGCCATGCCCCGTTTGTCTAGTCCCTCGAGATGACCTGTGGGATACTTCAAAATCATATCGTCGGCAACATCAAAAGACTCGCAAGCAGTTATAAATGCTGTGCATGCGAAAGAAACCTTTGAAGAAAGAGAGGAACTCCTGAAAGAACAAGCACTTCATTTAATCAATGTGAGCAAATATTTCTGCATGTCAGTATCAAAGATTGATTGTTTTAGAACACATTTTGGGCAGTAGCATTCACCTGCAGTGCATCGAGCATTGTCACATGACCGTTGTCACTTCAACCATGGTGGACTCTGGTCGCGCCATCTCTGGGTCGAGCTGCAGAAATATGTTGTAACTCTTGGAAGGGGAAAAGTATCGCAAGTTGACAATCAGGTTCGTTTTTTTGAATCTTTTCGAGTCATCCCTTATCTGATGCTCAATATTAATCTTATATGTATTAGATTCGAAAAATTTTCGCGCTGGCGAAATCTCAAGCACCCAAACCAGGTCATCGGCGTTACATTTACAGACAGCTCTGTCCACGAAGATATTTCTAAGGTTCGTAAACTCATGTGGTTACCCTGGCTACTAACATTTTCTCTTTCAGATGATCATTTATGCTACCCATGATGTCTTGACCGAGAATGATTCTCCACTTGGTTATTTTCTCTTACGGTGTGTATGCCTTTACCTCGAGATGGACATGTACGCTGCTCTGGAGGTTCACACAACCAATACAATCAAGGAGGGGAGACATACTGTCCAAGCGTTCACAGCACTCATGAAGGTATGTAAATTGTAGCTAGTTTGATGACCCTACCTTGACACATCAGCAGCAATACATGACACAAACCGCTGTAGAGACTCGCGTTTCTCCAGGCTCATATGGGCCAAATTCACGCTTTTTCACGACGCCCTCGATATCCATGCAACGCGCCTTCTAAATCCGAAACGCGCCTCAAATGCAACAAACGCGCTTTCGCACTAGCGCGTTTCTACCCATACACACTTTCGCATATCGAGTATCCACATTCCTGCAGTCGCGCATCCGTAATAATGTGCTGTGTCGCGTTTCGCATTTTGTCAGTGTTTCGTCTTAGTCGTGTTTCGTCGTGTTTCGTCTTCGTCATGTTTCGTCTTCATCGCGTTTCGTCGTGTTTCGTCTTTGTTGTGTTTCACGCTGTCGCGTTTTTCGCGTTGCGCCTCGCCTTCTCTCATCCTCGCATTGACGAACCCTCGCTACTGCCTGCTCGCACCTTCCTGGTTACGCACATATGCGCCTTGGCGCATACCAGCGTGTTTGAGCGCGTTACATCAGACTTCATCGCACTTCCCTAGGATCCATCGCCCGTCCTCCGCATGTCCTGTCCTAGTCCTCCAAGGTCCATCGGTGCGTGCTCTTTTCACTAGAACTCATATGGCGTCACACAGGCACTTGTACTTATCACTATGTTACATTATGGACCCTGACTTACCTCATCACCTACCTTAGTGCTCCCTACTCGGTTCCGAGGCCTGGGAACTCGCTTAGCATACTTACACGTCAGCATGTTCATTTTTCTGTTACTCACTTCCGCTCGACTACCATCAAAGTGCATAGTTCAAGTTTCTAGCAGAATACACTGGTTTTCCCTCTAATTGGCGCTTTGACACCTTGAAGTGTCTATTTCTACATCTATCAAAGTCCTGATTCTCCCATTTTTGATTGTCGCCTCTACTAGAAGCACTCCGCTGTGATCGCACGAAGAGTGCCTTGATATTGAAGTGCGCTTTTCCTCACTTTCCGCCTTATTAGCGCGTTTAGGCGCCTTTAGCTAGCGCTCTTCGCTTTTGGGTACATTACTTGCCTTAGTGTCCCATCCAGGCTTCGAGACTGAACTGCTGGTTATAGATCCCCCTCACCTTTCACTAGAGGAATCTTTCTCAGTCGCAATCCCCTTGGGACGACTTTCCACTCGTATCCAGAGGAGCACTTGAGAGCCCACTTCCCACTCTTCCCCCTAGCACGCAGCTATCATTCCTCGCCCTCACCGCTGATGACAATGTGAAGAATTGGAACTTTCCTGAAACTGCACATGGCGACACATATATTCGACGACATCGAGGCTAAAGGCGCCACGTGCAATTACAACACCAAACCATATGAGCAAATGCACAGGCCCTTGAAGGACTGGTACTTGAACCGGACAAACTTCAAAAACGTTGCGGAGCAGGTAATCATCAATTGTATTCGTGATTCCCTACTAACTATCCTGTGCATACTATCTACATAATCAGATCCTTCGCATCGACCACTGGATACTTGTAGCTGATGACATTGATCGTCGTATTTTGGACTTTGATGAATATTCGCAGCAGAAATCAGACGGCGACTCGGAGGATGACGATTCGTTAGATGACGATGAAAATACCGACATCGGTGTGGATAGTACTTTAGATCCATCACAACATGTGAGAATGGGATCAAGACAAGCTGTGCAGACTTTCTGTTCCATCGAGAATGCGCAAAGCACCCGTGTCGAATTCACTAACTTTCGCATCAAGCTGAATGCATTCTTAAACATCTTTCTACCCACCTGCAACATTCCACTGCCAAATGGAAGAAGAATCCACTTACAATCGGATGATACTGTACGTTTGTTCAATCCAGCCTAAGTTGTTACTCTACTGATTTGATTCATTTGAAACAGGTTACCGAGTATCAATTCTTACGCGTCAACTACGAATCCCTGGTAGACTGGAAACAGAATACCGACTATCTCCGGTGCAGCCCTCAGTTCTTCAACACGCCGCGTTATGACTGTGTCTTCATCCGGACACAGAATGGCGTCATCCTCGGATGTTTAGTCTTCCTTTTTCAATGCGCCATTGGGAATGGCTTATTTCCCCTCGCTCTCATCCACCCCTTTGATGCTCCGACAGGGCCACGACTTCGACAGGACAAGCAGCTTAACCTTTTCAGAGTTCGTGCACAACCATGCACAAAGGCCGAGTTCTTCTCAGTACAATCAATCATTTGTGGGGCACTCCTAGTACAGGATTCAGGTGGCAACCCCCTTGATTACCTCGTTGTCGACACTGTTGACACAGACATGTTTCTTCGTGTAAGGGAGATGCATCAGCAGGCAGGTCATCCAGTGCGCATCTGACCAATTCCGCTTTCAGGTAAGTCTTTCGTCTCTTTGACCTCGAGGTGCTCTGCTAATACATTCCTCAGTAATAGACTAGTCAAACTATGTTTCTATGTAGTACGCCATGATTTGAACATTTGTTTGCACTCATTTTTGCTAAGCTGCTCAGTCTATCTTCACGTCTTTGCTTCTACCACCCATCTCTGAATCACCCACCTCTCAAGCGCTTCAACGCCGACATTTGAAAACTAACCATGCACACTTCTCACACCAGATCAAGGCGCAAGCATGGCAATATCAACATCGAGGACGATGGACTGCCTCTGCATGTCTCACGGGCTGAAGACACCCAGTCTGAACACGGCCATGCGCCAAGTTGACGAGTGTTTGGCTCGACAGATGGCTTGGCCCGGTTACCCGAGATGGTGCAAGGAGGTCGAAAATCCTGTGTGCGCTATCGACTTTGTGTAGCGATCCAAGTTTGATCTTGTTCTGTGAGTTGCGAATCCAAATTATCGGTGGTTGCCTACCTCGCTCTCATCCGCATTCTCAACAACCCGACTCCTACATCCCTTTCGCATCACCACCACCAACAATAACCACACCCAAGGATGAACAGTCTTGGGAACATGGGCCCAGATAGCAAGCACATAGTGATTGGGATGGAGAAGGAGAGAGATAAGGAGCGGGAGAGAGTGCAGCACTGAAATGACAATGACAATGACCTGAATAAGTGCGTTGTGTTTGATATTGTGCTATCTCTCGCGTTCTCATATTGTTTTGTTCACAACTGGCAGAGACGGGAGTTCCATCCCTTACCTGCCAACCCTGCCCACACCTCCCTTGTTGAACCGAAAATGGTACCACCCTCCAGATCACCATCACCTGTGGGGATGCGATTGCCCTCTCACTCTCCTGAATCTTACTACTCTCATATGTCTTCACAAGGTCGTTCACACTCGTCCTTATTCCCAAGATCACAACAACATAGTTATAGTCCTGACAGTTCACCAACTGCAACTTCAATCAATGATATATCACTCCTCCAGCTAAGGTTCCGCGAACGTCTACAAAACATCATCTAGGCGATTCTCCCATCAGCTACCATCCATTATCCGCTGGGCTGCTGCGCCACCCCTACCCCCCCACCCTCCTAGCATTATCGTCACCAAGAATGACACCATGTCCGATTCTTCCCGAAGAGCAGGTATGTCTGAATCGCTCTCATCAATCATCCATGCTGACTCCAGAATCCAGATTCAGACACCACGTCCGATTTTTCCCCAAGAGCAGGTATGTCGCTCTTGTCTCTTATTTATTGTATCTCTGAATCTAACTCCAGATTCAGACACCATGTCCGATTTTTCCCGAAGAGCAGGTATGTCGCTCTTGTCTCTCATTTACTGTATCTCTGAATCTAGCTCCAGATTCAGACACCACGTCCGATTTTTCCTGAAGAGCAGGTATGTTGCTATCGTCTCTCATCCACCATATCTTTACCTCCACTGCCACTGGTCCTCCAGACACCATGTCCAATTCTTCCCAAAGAGCAGGTATGTCACTCGGCTATTGAGTCACTCTATTAAACTCAACTTAAACTCGAATCTGATCATGCGCAGCAGACACATGTTCTATTACTCAAGTCTAAGCGTCTGTTACGAGTTTTGCACCACATTGGTGCGCAATTGACTAATCTCTTGCACTGACATGTAAAACTGCATGTAGCAATTTTACGTCTGACCGCCAAGGTACTGGGCAGTGCAGGCACTTAATAATGCGTGGTACTAGGTGAGTAATTTCTGTCGTCTCCTGCCCTTCAAACAAAATCTCAATTGGTATCCCCAAAACAGCTTCGTCAAAACCGTCATGTCACATGTTTCGTGGCCCAGCGCAGCAGATTCTTCTGAATCTGATAGCGAATGGGATGGTCAGAACACTGCTGATGCTGATCATATCTCTATCCCAGGTCCTGGTGCATCTAAAGGAGAACTCCTCGAGGTAAGATGTATGCGCAGTTCTGAGCATTTCCTGACTTGCATATCCACTCAGACACTCAAAATGCTGCAAGTTCAAATGCAAAAGCTTCAAGAAGAGAATAGGACAATAAAAGAGGAAAACAAGACTTTGCACGCAGGGAAACCCAAGCGAAAACGGTGCGCGAATGCTCACGATGAGCTCAGCGTTCATGAGGAGACCATCTCTATCTATGCTCGCAAGTATGGCATGATGATTGAGATGTTTCCCAGTAGCGACCTCCTCAATAAGCGCCTTCCAGACTCGCCAACTCCATTTGACAGCACTGACCATATGCGACTGCATCTACTCAAGAGTCAGCATTTCTGGACGAGCCCTACCGTCACTTCCCCGAGTCGTTACACAAAGTGATGGAAAGTTCTTACTTTAGCGATCTCGTAAGTGAACTCTCATTCCTGGACTTCTGCGTGATATAATATGATTATTGTAGGTGTTGAAATCCATCCCAGATGCTCATGCTAACGAGATCAAGAAACTTCGGGGTGTTGCTGGCGACATTTTTGACCTCCCTTCAAAATACTTCAGCAACACTAGCTACGACAGAGCTAATGTCCCTGAAATCCAATGACTCCTCGGGGTCACGTCTTCAACAAACCTAGCGTACAAAACATTCCCTCCAGTGCTATTCCCAGAGTTGAAAGAAGACCGATCACTCAAGACTGTCTTCGGAAACTGGCTTCTGTTGGCACGAGTAAGTCTAGTGGTGCTCTCTGATTTGGCTGTCTGTCTCACCAGGAACATCCTCAGATTCTGAAAGCTTCATTGTGTGGTATCACATCCCTCCATCACGCTTCCAGTGGCGGAGGCGCACATACCAACTCCATGAAATGGAGCGTTCGGCAAGTCACACCGGGTTGCATCGCTTGGGCCGCAGTTCTTGTAAGCTACACATATCATCTAAGTTCAATTGGCAGTCACGCTCACGCACTGCTGCAGGCTATATTCTTACTGTCTCCTGACACTGAATTCTCGAGCACGGGCATTGGCAAGAGGTCAACGATTAGCTACAAGGATTTATTTTTCACATATAAGAAAGTTCTAGTGACCAAGTGGAAGATGAAGCGCATTGTACAGATTGTAACTAACATCAACCACTACATCTTCAAAGCTGCGCGACCTTCGGCCTTGGATTCTGCTGTACATGAAGATTTCACAAACGCCATTGATCGCACACTCGCAGCGCTTGACATGGAAAGTTCGGACGATGGAACAGAAACTGCGGCAGACGTAACAGATCCAGGAACTCCCACAGCCGCTGCCTTGGAGAGACATGTCAATGCTCTGCCATCTGAATCAATCTCGCAGCCTATCCTCTCCACACAGCGGCGGCACACTACAGAAGCTCCCATTGTCGACAATGTAGCCACCAACAACGGCACTGCTGCAGATTTGGAGGATGCTGCTGCTGCAACACCTCAGGCTGATGAGGTGGGAGCTGCAGTCATCAGCTCATCAGGCGAGGTACTCCAGGAGGCGGCAGATGATCTGAGCAGTACTAGAGGGAGGTCCAAGAAGTCGAAAAGAGGGAGGAAGGTGACCACGCTGGCGATGGCTACTGATTGTACCACTCGGCAGGCTCACAAACAGTCTTGAGAATGGATCCTACACCTACTCATTGTATTAGCCCATCGGTTTACTTTGCTGTACTTACTTGGACTCTGAATCACACTGTAACATTAGATTATGCAACTCCTTTGAATTGACAGAGTTATCGGTCCAGGATTCAGAATCTTACAGTGATATTAGGACATGTGCAGTGCTGGATATTAGGCAGGAGATGTTTCAATGATGTCAACGTGTGTGGTGACCCAGAATCAGGTGGAAAGACATTGCGGTTCATAGTCGCGTTGCTCGTCATCGATCCAGGTGTCGTGGGTGGTCCAGGCATACATGTAATATTAGTCCAGCGCCCATCATCAGCTGCTGCGGAATCAGCGGGAGTGCAAAGTATTGCTATTACATAATAACTCGATGTAAACAAGGTCAAATATCATTTCAACTTGTGGCTTAGCATTTACATTGACTTTCTTTCTTTTCAACCTCGTCTTATGCGCTGTAAGTCAGCCGCTTTGACATATCTGAATCTCCCATCTCTCTTTCGTGAGCCTGCGGCCTGGACCAGTCAAAATCCTCCTCCATCCAAATGGAGCCCTGCAGTCGCTGTGCTATTAGTTCTGTCAATGGTGCGTGCCTTCTCTTTTTCATTTCCTTAAAGTCCTCCCTTTCCGTCACACACACTTTTGTTTCCATTTTCATCATTCCATTTGTATTAGTTTTTTCGTTTCAAAGTGCTATGCTTAGACTAACTGTTATCTTCCCAGCTGTCTTTGACACATTGTCTCCTTCCACCCGGCCCTCTAATCCACCCTCACATCACCCCAGCAACCCTCTGTCCCTCCTCCCCATCAACCCGGACCAGCAGGCAGTTTACCGCGATGGCAGGAACCCCACCTTTTGGTGTTCTATTGGGGTACTTTACTTCCAAATCAACCAATTCCGTGACGCCCTTGATGCATACTCCCGTTGAGGGCGAGGAATGATAGCTGCGTGCTAGGGGGAAGAGTGGGAAGTGGGCTCTCAAGTGCTCCTCTGGATACGAGTGGAAAGTCGTCCCAAGGGGATTGCTACTGAGAAAGATTCCTCTAGTGAATGGTGAGGGGGATCTATAACCAGTGGTTCAGTCTCGAAGTCTGAATGGGACACTGAGGCAAATAATGCACCCAAAAGCGAAGTGCGCTAGCTAAAGGCGCCTAAACGCGCTAATAAGGCGGAAAGTGCAGAAAAGCGCGCTTCAATGTCAAAGCACACTTCGTGCGATCACAATGGAGTGCTTCGAGTAAAGATGACAATCAAATGGGGAATCAGGACTTTGATAGATGTAGAAATAGACACTTAAAGGTGTCAAAGCGCCAATAGGAAGGAAAACCGGTGTATTCAGATAGAAACTCGAGCTATACACTTTGATGGTAGTGGAGCAGAACTAAGTGACCGGAAAACAAACATGGTGACATGTAGGTATGCTAAGCGAGTTCCCACGGCTCGGAGCTGAATAGGAAGTACTAAGGTAAATGGTGAGGTAAGTCAGGGTCCATAACGAGATATGATGATAAGTACTAGTGCCTGCGTGACGGAGTATGAGTTCTGAAGAAGGGAAAATGCACCAATGGACCTTGGAGGACTAGGACAGGACATGCAGAGGACAGGCGACGGATCCTAAGGAAATGCGACGAAGTGCACCGTAATGCGCTCGAACGCACTTGAACGCGCTGGTACGCACCAAAGTGCGCGTTGCACGGAAGTCGCATTAGAAGCGCGTTGTAAGGATATCGAGTGCGTCGTGAGAAAGCTGTGAATTTGGCCCATATGAGCCTGGAGAAATGTGAATCTCTACACCGTGCCATCCGCATCAACCACTGGTGGTCAGGTCCTCAGGATGTGCACCCAACCGCATATGCCAGCACCGTGGTTCCTCCCCCAGGACTCACCGGTCCTCCTCTTCTGCTGCAATTGACGTCCACTCATCCCCCAATCTTCCGGCCTCAGTCAAGTGGCCCGCCTAGTGGCGACAACCTTCACTTGCCCCCTCCTGCACCTGCTCCTGCATCTAGATCATCACCTGGTCCGTTCCGAGGTGGTCCTCCACCACCTGTAGTGCTGGATGAGAGTCATCACATGCCTTCACATACACCTCTCGCACTTATGGACGTTGATCGTCCACCCATACTCGTGACTCTGGTCCTCCTCTCCTGCTACAATCGACGTCCACTCGTCCCCCAATCTTCCGGCCTCAGTCAAGCAGCTCGAATATGGCCATACCCTTTCCGACTACAACATTCAGACCACCCTCGTCTCCCCCCTTGCCAATGGTGTCGCTCATCTTCTAGTAATGCAGCTGATGCTGACCCCCATGACCTCCAAACCCCGATACCGGGTAACCGTTTCCTGGTCTCCCTCCCTGGTGGTAAGTCGTTTTTTTAGCTCCTCGATATCCTTCTGGTTCTGATTGTCGGTATAGCCAGGAATATATTGCTATCGATATTATTGCCATGGCCGTATTTACAAGACCTAATCATTATAGATAAAAATTTGTACCATAGGCTTGCAATCTAATAGAAAAATTTCAATGCTCTGATCATGATTGTTGTGTGTCGCAATGCCTGACAAATGAGCTTGAAAATGATGCTTGCAACAGCCATTTAAATGGGACGGGATTGGAGGTTTGAAAGATTAATTCCATTTAAATAAATCTACAATTGCATTCCAATTCCGTCACAATTCCGTTGCAATTTGGTTGCAATCACCCTGAAATCACGACTCTATCATAGCAACCTATTTAAAGACACTCGCTGCATTTGAAAGTTGAAATCGGTTGCAAGCCGTTGAAATACAAATAAGGAAGTTCTGACAATTACTAGATACGGAGTTGTTTATAACGGTACAAAATGTAACTTAGCTAAGACTGTCGTCCCTTAACTGTTACGCCAATAGGCAGTGATACTGAAATTTGAAAGCTTATGCATTATGTTTGTGTATCGCGGACAGTATTTATGTAGATTATGGGAACTCTAATAAGCCGGCGTGCTTACACAAAATTGTAGCGGCGCGAGCAAGGAGCACCAATCCCCGACTCGGCCGACACAGAATTGTAATCAGTTTCTATCTATAAATCCTATTGTCTCATTGTCCTATTCGTTTTTCATAAACGTTTGAACCATTGCATCATTCGTTCTGATTTACAAGCAAGTTATCATGTTTCTGCTGGAATTATTGCATTCTGGGCACTACATCCAGATGATCCACGGCATTCATGTACAGGAAACAGGTGCATATCTGATTCTCACCGGTTTACTGATGCGATCGCCATCGACCTGTTCAGAACTCCTACTAATAGTAGTGTACCATCTCCTCCATCTTCCTCCCTGGTAACGTTTCTGGATCCCTTCGGCAAGTGACTCATGTCAGTCACAAACGACAACCACCCTGGAATGCAGTCGCCAAGGACTTGGTTTGGTATGCTATTATCACGTTAATTGGTGTTGCATGCCATACCAACAGCTACATTTACAGTGTCCTGGAAGTCTCACTCGAAAAAGCTCTCAGGAAATGCACTCGATGGATCACCTTCTGCTGGCACATGTTACATGCTGTATGCCATACTGGTCGTGATACACGTCGTCCTTGTTATCTTTTATATCTTCCATTTGGAACATCGTGTGACCCTCCCATTCACATCAATGAACACCGATTTTTGGCCTGTGGTACTGAGTGCTTCACTGCAGGCATTTTACACGGTACGTGACCTCCTTTAGTTGATAGGCATACCAATCAAAAGACCTCATCTAGATTTACACGGCTGTTCTACTCTTCCTCACCCAACAGCTTGCGATGTCAAGAACGCTAGTACGCCGTCAGAAGCTGACTGCTATTCACGATATCTCTGGTGCATGGACGGGGCTCGGCTCTGCACTCAGTAGCGTCTGGCAACAAATTGACATCCCTGCCTCATGGTGGATTACTTCTGCTGTGACAGTCTACTTTGCAAGCATTTCCGTGCTACACGTCACCTCTTCCACTCTCCTACAATTACAAACGTTCAATACTTCTATATCGACTTCCGTGCCAACAACACTAGCATGGCTAAACAACCTACCAGATGCCTCTGCCAGAGTAAGCGGCCAGACCGTATATGGCGTGAATTGGGCAGCCATTACTGCATCCTTACTGGTTCTCAATCAATTGCCTGGAGTGGTCTCTGCTGGATTATCCAACACTACAATCTATGACACCCCAAAAACAAATGCTATATTAGGAAACGCAATTGTGAATGCAACAACGATAACCTCGCGTTGTGGACTACCTCCCAATATATCGTATTCTATGGGCCCAGGTTACTATCCGATAATCAAGGGAAATTCTTCGGTTGGCAATGTAATTTTTATCTATCTTGACTTAAACCCACCCTGTATGTCATCATAGTTTTGAATGGTTTTCTGCGTGTTTAGAAATGTTCATAGGGTCAGACCAAATACAAGTAATTAACCCCATGATCTCTTCTAGTGGAGAATCTACTAGCGAGGTGAGGCTTCTCCGAAATCATCTATGGGCGCCGTAAATACTCTCTGACAATTATCTCACAGCAGATCTCGGATATTAGAGCAAACCAGACTGGCGTCTTCCTTATGGTCTCTACACTATTAGACATCGATCCCTCAGTGCAAGAGACGTTCGCTGTGCCGGTGCCTTGGAAATTGGGGAATTCTTGTGCGTCGGCTTGTTTGTAATACTTCCATGATAACACAGATATTTTGCAGCAGGGGTCCTTGAAGTCTATTTTATACAATGCTCGCTGTCGACTCACGTGAGCACAGATGCGGTGCTTGACATGCAAACCAACAGTCTGCAGAACTGGAATCCCGTGTCTGCCTCGCAATCATCCGGGCAGTGGGAGATTATGCAATGGATATCTAATGTTTGGCAATCCACGGTGCGTCAAAGCTCATTTTGAGGTCTCGAGACAGTTTGATGATGTACTGCATACCTAAGATTGGTGATCTGGCTCTGGTTTCATCGGTCAGTAGTGGGTATTCATTTTGGGTTGGAGGGTCCGGGTCCAAACCCTCGATGGCTGATGAGTTAAAACCTTGCCTTCACTCCTATGCTGCAATGTCTTACTCCTGGTTCAATTTTATAGGTACATCATGTCATTGGTAGGCTTAAATCTCGCCGACGAGTATATAAACGCCTCGCTGTTGGGTCTTCCCGTTTCTACTTTCGTTTTGAGACCGGATCAACTCGAAGCTGCTATTGCGCGAGTAGCCGCACAACTCATCTGGATAAGTAAGTGGATGTGGCTTTCTCAAGCATTGTCTTATGCTTATGCCGTGCCGCATGTTTAGCGGGGAATTTAGGCTCGTCCAATGGAGGCATTCAACCTGGGAACGGAACGGCCTATATCAACGAAGAGATAATTCGCCTACGCCTCAATGTCAGTATGAACTACACAGAACCTCCTTCCATTTGACTGATGAACCGTGTGACAGATTAATATCATTCCTGTGAGTCCGCGATGGTATCTACGCTATGGCAATTTATTGAAGATGAGTCACTTCAGCTGTCATTCGCGATATCTGCATCGGCGATTATGATGGCATTGGCTCTATCCATGACAAGAGCATGCAACGTATCCAGCAATAGTCAGGCTGCCATCCAGAGTACGGGTACATTGCAACTCTTATGGCTGGGTCATCAATCAGCCTCTGTCAATGAAGTTCTGGAGAATGTGAAGCATCCGACGGAGGCTAACCTGCGCCGTGCAGGCATGGTTGACGTTTGTTTTGCAAAGACGATATCCGACGAAGAAAAGTTGGAGGGATCCACTGATAGCCTCGCTGGTCAAGTTGACCACGATCGTGACGATGTGATGTGAAACTGGGATTAGCGATATAGGCTATGGTGACTTGGACAGTTTAAATTTAGCAAGTATGTGTTGAGGCACGTTTTGCGAACGATGAGAGAAACGGATAGGATGTAATCCATAAATTATTTGATTCACAAAATAAATCATTGAGTGATTTGTGCAAAAACCCGCAAGGCTCTGGCACTCGAAAACACGTCAAATTTCCAACCACGCAGTACCTTGATGGGCAGCCTGCAGCTGACGGCCCGTCACACGTGTTCGCCTTGAGATTGAAGAAATGGAAGTCAAACCGGAGTACACCCTTGGCAGTCGTAATTGGATTCCCTCTCTTGGTCCGAATCTTCAACTTCCACAAAATGAACTCTAAGAGAGAGAAGCCCATTCACTCTGATCGCGGGTCCTACCGCTGGAGCAATAGAAGCATAAGTGAGATGATGTTCCACTACCAGAGGCATTGCTCATCTTCAGAAGATAGATTCGTGACGTACCCCACTGAATTCGTGAAGACCCGGTCACAGTTTGGTGGGCAGGTGGGGGGTTATTTTCTTCCGTTATGATGACTGACTGGTGTGTTACCTCTTTTCGCTAGCGAGAGTCACCTGTGATTATTATCCGTTCGACTTTACGCGAAAAGGGGGTAACGGACCTGTATTCGGGATGTTCGGCACTCGTGATAGGCAATTCAGTCAAGGCTGGTGTTCGATTCATGAGCTATGACCACTTCAAGAGTATACTGGCAGACGCAGAGGTAATTTTAGTCTGTTACCGGAAAGAAGGAATTGGCTGAGAATGTTTGAAGGGCAATGTCAGTGCACCTAGAAGTTTGCTTGGTATGTAGCTCACAGCGCTCCAGTTCTCAAAGTATTGAGATACGGTGTATCTTATCGGAAACTACGTCCTCGGTTGCCGTATAATCCACGTACTAGTGCTCATGTATTGTACACAGATTTTTCGACATTGAAACAAGGGTAGCAAGGAGGTAGAACGCAGAAGTTGTTATCTCGGCTCCCTTGAAAATGAATGAGCCATGTGTCAAGGTGCCGGAATAAAGAACGTACAGAACTAGTGCATCAACCTTACCATGCTTAAATCAGTGAATCTCCGTGATAAGGATGAGAACAGCGTGTTCCCATTTGATCGTCGAATCAATCAGACGTCGACACTGATCTTGACCAAGGAATATATGCAAACATAAGGAAAACAATGTACGATGATGACGTCTCAGTAGACGAGATGCGAATTGCCATGTTGGGCGCTTACTCTGCACAGCCAGTCCTGAAGCTGTAGAGCGAACACGAGGCAAGGAAGACACACGTGCAGAAGACTTTAACAACCTCCCTCCTGACCTGAATCTCCATCGAACGAAACGCTCACTCCGTCGCAGCTTTGATTTCGCATTCGCATTTTTGTGTGCGAGTCGGGTTCTGAGTAAGTGATGGACTCTATGGGATTTGGTGGCAAAAGCTGAAATATCACCAACCGATTAAGTGAATCCTGAAACCAAAATGATGCCGCATCTAGCCCCTGCGAAGCACAAGCACTCAGTGACAATGCCTCACCGAAAGATAGCAGTAAAGAGCGGCATCCGCAAGATCCTAAGCCTTCCCAGTGGACAGCGGATTATTATCTATTCATGGGATGGCTCATTTCGAGTCTTTGACTTGGAGGGGGGCATCCAGGTTGGGGAGGAATGGGAGGACAAAGATCTAAGTGAGTACGCCATAGCATTGTCGCCAGATGGTAAGACAGTAGCAACCGGGAGTGAGGATGGCGCAGTGAAACTGTGGAACGTCGACACGGGCAAGGTCATAAAAACATTGATGGAGCCCACAAATAATGTGGAGTCTGTGTGCTGGAGTCCAGATGGAGGGCGAGTGGTAAGCGGATCTGGGGATGCATATGGAGCAATAGAGTCATTCAGAGTATGGGATGTCAAGAGCGGAGAAACTATCCTTGGACCAATCGAGACAGGGATATACGTGAAGGCGGTTTGCTATTCACCCGATGGCAAGATGATTGCCACGAGCGGAGTCGGACTGAAAATCTGGGATGCCAACTCAGGCGAATTGCTCAAAACTCTCGATTGCGGTGAATATTGGTGCCTGACATGGACCTCGGATGGAAAAACACTTTTGGCTGGTGAATGCAAGATCGACACAGCCACATGGACTGTTCTTGATGTGCGCGAAAACACCGCTGAGACCATTTTACTATCTCCCAATGAGCGCATCTTCGCAACCGCACCATACTTTGACAAGACAGTGCAACTATGGAACTTCGGAACCAATCAACCCATCGGAACACCACTTCACCATGAAGGCTACGTGAACTCCGCGACCTTTTCTGCCGCTGGAAAGTTTCTCATCACTGGTTGCCACGACCACTTATACATATGGGACGTTTCCGCTATCGTCGACGAAGCTGGCGTTCCATCAGATATCGTAAGCTTATATTCGTTTCATTTTTGATGACACTGACAATAGATCTGCTCCCCCAGATTGATACTCCACCACGACCGGCCCCAAAGATGAAATGTGCTCCTCGAATACCTCCAGGATTTTTCGACGATGCACTGCGAGAGGCTAATGTATGTGATCTCCTTCTATTATTCGATACTTTGACAAATATGTCGTCAGTTGCGTACTCGTCTATCCCAATCCCATGGGCCGCATAACCGTCCCACTCCAGCACCACGTCAACGCACCCTCAGTCCTTTTTCCTCCTTTTGGCACCGCTCCAAGTCACATGGAGCAACTGAGCACGACACCCAATCCCGATCACGACCTTTTAGCTGGACTCGAAACCTAGCATTCGGCATACTACGCAGACGAGATGGATCGGACATTGAGTTGCGAGAGGTCGAGGTCCCGTGCACAGCGGGAAAGCCTGTGCGTTTTTTTTGCTCTTTTACGGTTCTTCTTTATCACTGACTCCTCTTTGCGCAGAGATACTATCACGCCAGAAAGAAGAAGCCAGCTGCCAGCTCATCTCGAGCCACCAATGCTCATACCACGCAACAACCCAGCGGAGCAGCACAGAGCACATCACCATCATCACAGCAATCACCTTCCACTACCGCTGCTTCGACATTTCCCGCAGTCACTAGTGCCGCAGGGACAACGGGAACACGCTCGCATCCTTATATCCCTGTTGCTGGATGGCGCGTTCGTTTTGTGGGATGGTTGTGTTGCATGCCTATTCAGAGCACAAGCGGTGAACATCAGTGACGCAGTCCCAACTACCGCATTGGCTACTAGAACGACGCCGCAACGCAATATCACTGTAATACAGGACACGTTCCTTGTTCCTTATTGTCATTTTCTATCGTTACTACGCGACCTGGCGCGATTCAATGGACAACTATTACAATATGACTCCTTTGTTACCTGCAGACTCTCTCCCCCATACACTCCAAGAATCTCAATTGTCGCATTCAGATCGCTCTGGATCTGCTGCTTGAGGATGCCAAGACAGACAACCAGTGCATGAACAAAGGGTTTTCCATACCGCCTTATTCGCCACGGGCCTCCTCGCGCCTCCGCCGGACTACGTCCCCTTTTCGCCGGAGAGCTACATCAATGAGCCACCTATTCAGTTTTTGCTGCAGGCCTGCCACACATCACCTTTACGGCCGCAGTTCTACATAGTAGTTTCGGGTTGTCGTGTTCCGTGACTTCTGTTGAGCCACAGGGTGGTCCTTGCGATGATTGAGCACTCCCGAGTCCGCCGAGTTGCAAACTCGACGCATTTGTGCAAAGCGCTGGACCCTATCTTGTACACTCTCACCCTCAAACATGCCATTCAACAGTCGTTCGTGCGCACCTACTGAGGACGGAGAAGTGAAATAAGCGTCGAGAAGCAGTCAGAATCAACTTTGCTGAGAATGACTTGCTTTTCAGAGCGACACTTGTCTTTGAAAGCTGCATAACGACACTTCCCCAGAGTCTTTTCATCTTCCTCTGGACTTGCAGCTAGCTTTCGCTCCTCGCTGCTTTCATAATCTCTGGTACACGAATTGATGATATTATTCAATCTGTCATCGCACGGCATGAAACCATCCGAGAGATCATAGGAGGTGAAGTCTGGGGGACAATCCAGGCTGCGAAGTCCGGGAATTGTGGCGAAGGCTAAGAGTGTCGGGACGAGGGCGTGGTCGTCCAACAAGCTGTATGATACCGAAGCCAGAGTGAACACAAACTGGAATCTATCTTTCTTCATAGCACTCCGACAGCAGTTGTACGCAGAAAGGGAGACGTCGGGAAAAGTCGGTTGAAGCCAGTCTTTGGAGTATTGCAAACTGAGCGGTTCGCCAATGCCCTAGACATCTTCCCACTGAGTCAACAAACTAAGGAGATTCTGTTGCACTGGAAGGCTGCTTGGCCACTGATGCACCATGAAGGGAGTTTGAAATGCCCTCTCTTCCGCGACTTTGTCGGGAACATCACGTGAAGCATAGATAACGTCTATATCACCGAGCGGAAGTGGAAGAGTGAATTGATCAGGATAGATCGCCGAGGCACGAACTGACGCGCGCTCACTGGCAAGAAGGTGGCTGGTGAATTGCAGAAGCTCATAGGCGAGCGGAAGGTGTGCAGACCCTTCTGAGAAAGTCGAGAGCTGCATGCCATAATCCATGATAGATTTTGCAGCTGGATGAAAATCATGGTGTTGCGCAAGGGTCACAAGGCATGACCACGAAATTGTCTGCATCTTCCGAAGATGAGTTGGATACCAGACGCGCCTGGTTGACAGCGAACTGATTTCGCGCAAAAGATCTGTGCCACGAGAGTGAAGCCTCATAAACGATCAGCAAGCTGCGGAATGCAAGAGATGCAACGCCTCCTCTGTCCCCGCTCGACCCGTCAGGGGATCGGCGAGACAGCCGCTGGTGACGGCGTGAAGGAGCGCCTGATAGAGCTTACTTGTCAGACCCACGTTCCCAGTGAGACAGCGTAGATCTGTATCAACCCTGTACAACTGATATGTTACCCGAGTACCTTCAGGGGCGATGGTCACGCGGACATGGTGACCATTAGCAGAGTATGAGATACGTTTGTCTGGGATGATGACGGTGCGCGGATGCTCATCGGCAACTTGCAACTTCGGGCGCAAGATGAGTTGATTAACCAATCCCAACATAGTGCCAATAGACTGAATGGCATCAACGACCATGTTGCGCATGTGACGGGACTGCAATTCTCCATCTTCATCAATGAAGAACTCGAGGCCAAATCAACCTTCAATGAAGGGGTGCTGCCGGATGCTTTATTATATATGACCATGATGAAGCGTGAATCCTCCAGAGGACGCAGCCTCAGCTTGGAGATCATGTCCCACGTTTGACTGCGGATGTTGACAAGGGTGGCACCGCTGGAATTCTGCAATGTCGAGGAACCCGAAACAACAAATCGCAAGACCCAACTATCGGGCGAAGATTTCCACACATTTTCTGCTGCCCGAATCTCAATTTCGCTTGTGCGCAGGTTAAGCCAGTGAGTATGACCCACGACCAAGGTGGTCGGTAGGACATCCACGAATTTGTGGCTCGGAATGAGCTGGAGGATGGGTGAGTCGTGTTGGTTATGCTTCGCACAGATGATGAGATCGTTCGAGTTATAGAGAGAGAAAGACACCTTCGGGAACAAGCGAGTGCGTCAATAGTCTACAATATTAATGTCACGGACTCATCAATTCACTGATGTCAGAGTAACTACTAACCTGATGGTCACAGAGGTTCCCCCGTGTCGCATATTCCATTCCACGAATATCAGCTGGAACGACGTCCAGAACTTGTTGTAGTTGATAGGTGAGCACACAAGCATGACAATAGTGTCCATCGTGACAGCTTCCAACCAATTCCCTTCGACGCTCGCCATCAAATCCTCCAGTTCTCCGAGTAGTGCGCCAAGGAAGGGCGCGCTGTTCAACTCCTCGTGCCAAATAAGGCCGTTGTCGGACGAAAATGGGCCGACCTGTGAAACAGCTTGCGCCAACAGTAGATGGACCTCCTCACGTCGAAAATTGAGCGTCCTTGCACGGAGTTCACGTAGCACGTTCATCCATTGCAACCGTGGTCCACTCCGCAGGGCTCCGAACGCGATGAATTCGTATATAGTCATGTCCTCGTGACAATCTGCCTGATTGGCTATGACCTCGTTTGACGTGTGGGATGTCCCTGCAAGGTACGGCTGCAAACGGTCATATGGCCCCTTGGGAAGGAGGAAAGTGCATGGCTTGCTAGAATCACAGCGCTGTAATACACTGGTGGCCAATGTAGCCTTGAGTGTATCGAAAGGCTGGAATACGAGCCCATTGTTCACACAGACTTTGGTGTCCTGCGTAGGAATGCGAGTGTTACTGTAATGACACTTGGTAAATGGTTTAGCATTCGATGCCAAAGTCAGCCTCTGCCTTGGATGGCACTGGCAATAACGCTGCAACGCATGATAGCCCGGCAGCGTTATGAAGGTGTTAGTGTTTGAGATTTTTTCCTGTGGAGTACAGACATCAACGAGGACATGGAATGTCGTAGATCTCCACATGTCCAACGCGATGTGGCATCCTAGTTCAAACACCACTGCGATCGCCTCCTTTTCACCGGCTGGTAGTAGCCACTCGTGAACCGTAATAGTCATCGACTGCATCTCCTTTTCCAGTCGACACTTGGCACATTGCCTGGGTTTATGCACTTGCTTGCTACATGAGGAGACGCGGTATGTGTGCGATAAGCTTTCCGCGCACTTCTCTTTGTCAGTACCTCTCGCTGATGGTTTGGAGCTCGATCAACTTATCCTCCCGCTCACTTTGAGCTTCCGCCTCGATGCGAGCCTTTAAACTCTGCAGCTTGGGTGACTGGTAAACATATCACACCGCGAACGACTTGTTATCGTTGGTAAACGAGAATGCAGAGAGACAGCTAGACGCCTGGCAATGACGAGCTTTCAGGTAGGCGTGCAATTCCTTCAAACGATCAAGGCCAGAAGCTTTGCGGATTAAAAGACACTCCCAAAGGGTCAATGGGATTTCAGGGGAGTATTCTGCCAGGAGTGGGATTTGTCCAACAACGATCTTATCCATGGCTACCCAGAGCTCAAAAAGGGTGAGAAGCATGATAGATAAATTCTCCGGGTTTCCTTTATAAGCCGTAAGCGCTCTCGAGGAGTACGCAGAGGCGCACGCCTCAATCGAGACGCATGCGGAATCTGTACTCTGGAATGGAACGCGCGTCACCCAGTCGTCGATTCCTGAACTAATCGCGGTCTCGAAATCTGCGAGGGCAAGAGATGGTTCTGCGGTATGAGCAGCAACCAGGAAGCTAGCTTCGGCGTCAAGGAAATTATCGATTGTCCCACGTGTGTGGTGGCTGGGATTGAATGAGATTGCTTTGGGGCGAATGCTGGTCTTGCAAAGCTTGGAGAGGGTGTGAGTTCTGTGTGCTGGAGTCCAGACGGAGGGCGAGTGGTGAGCAGATCCAGAAACGAGACATTCAGAGTGTGGGATGCTGCATAGTATGTGTCGATTCCACCGCTCCAGAACGCCATCTTGGAACACAACATCTTACTTTCGCTGTATAATGTACACGAGATGAGTAAAGAGGAAACAAGACTCGTGTGCATACCATTGATCTACACGATACGTGCCCTCCACCAAACTTGACTCCTGCCCTTGCATGAAAAGAAAAGGCAGAACTTTATAAGATAGAGTATGGAAGGAGAATTGAGCCTAGCTATTCGCGTAATCATATAAAACTCTTTTGCTGCCCAGATGCACCTGCTGACCAGCATGACTGTTATAGACTCGACGCATCGCACAGAACGGTGATCACAAAGTAGATTGAACCTGTTCTTGCACGAATCGGAAGATGCGAGCAGCTCAGTAGCGTCGTGTTTGCATCGAGGAGCGTTGCAGCGAGGAGTATCCTTGCTCGTATCACCGAGGTCGCTCACCAAGCACTATACCCGAATGGAGAGAACAAGGTAGACTCCAAGATGTAGGTTTTCATTATCACGCTTAGGACTAGTGTCGTTGGCAGCCTTGCCCTGCTACGTTCGGGAATTCTGCTTGAAAGGCGAACAGCGTCTGTACCAGCGATGCAACTCGAATATCAGAGACACGGGTGCAGGTGTTGTACTTGTAGATTTGGCGAGACGAATCGTCTCATTGTTTGAACCTGAACCTTCTTGAGCACCAGTCGTCAAGGATGCCGAGGCGGCGACTTCGCTGATAGGCTCAAGGGAAATTCGGTGCGAGGGAATAGAGAAGACTGTAGAATCGTATCGGTTCAGAGAAACACAGGAATGCAGGCTTCCGGATGGTAGGGCTGTGTCAATGGGCGACTTGTCATGGTTGGGCGCTTAATCTGCACAGCCGGTGCTAAAGCCCTGAAGCGGACACGAGGCAAGGAAGACACACCTTGAACGACAACCTCCCTCCTGACCTGAATCTCCATCAAACGAAACGCTCACTCCGTTGCAGCTTTCATTTCGCATTTGTATTTATGTGTGCGAGTTGGATCCTGAGTAAGTGATGGACTCTGGGATTTAGTGGCAAAAGCTGAAATATCACCAACCGATTAAGTGAATCCTGAAACCAAAACCATGCCACATCTAGCCCCTGCGAAGCACAAGCACTCAGCGACAATGCCTCACCGAAAGATGGCAGTGAAGAGCGGCATCCACGAGATCCTAAGCCTTCCCAGTGGCCAGCAGATTATTATCTATTCATGGGATGGCTCACTCCGAGTCTTTGACTTGGAGAGGGGCACCCAGGTTGGGGAGGAATGGGAGGACAAATATATGAGACCGTGGCCCATAGCATTGTCGCCAGATGGTAAGACAGTAGCAACCGGGAGTGAGGATGGCGCAGTGAAACTGTGGAACGTCGACACGGGCAAGGTCATAAAAACATTGATGGGGCCCACAGATAATGTGGAGTCTTTGTGCTGGAGTCCAGATGGAGGGCGAGTGGTGAGCGGAACCTGGTATGGAACATTCAGAGTATGGGATGTCAAGAGCGGATAAACTATCCTTGGACCAATCGAGACAGGGATTGACAACGTGACCGTGTTCGTGGTTTGCTACTCACCCGATGGCAAGATGATTGCCACGAGCGGCGGGAGGGCCCTCAAAATTTGGGATGCCAACTCAGGCGAATTTCTCAAAATAATTAATGAGGGTTACTTTACGTGCCTGGCATGGACCTCGGATGGAAAAACACTTTTCACAAATGATCGACACAGCCACATGGACCGTTCTTGACACACCCATTCTATTTCACTATCTCCCAATGAGCGCATCCTCGCAAGCACAATCATACCTTCATAAGAATAGCGCGAACTATGACACCTCGAAACCAATCAACCCATCGGAACACCACTTCACCATGAAGAGTGGGTAAACTCTGCGACCTTTTCCCCAGATGGAAAGTTCCTCGTCATTAGCTGCCTCGCCTCGGACCACCTATACATATGGGACGTTTCCGCTATCGTCAACGAAGCTGGCCTTCCATCAGATATCGTAAGTTCATATACATTTCATTTTCGATGACACTGACAACGGATCTGCTCCCCCAGGTTGATGCTACACCACGACCAGCGCCAAAGATGAAATGTACTCCTCAAATACCTCCAGGGTTTTTTGACGATGCACTGCGAGAGGCTAATGTATGTGATCTCTATCTACTATTCGATACTTTGACAAATATATCGTCAGTTGCGTACTCGTCTATCCCAATCCCATGGGCCGCATAACCACCCCACTCCAGCACCACGTCAACGCACCCTCAGTCCTTTTTCCTCCTTTTGGCGCCGCTCCAAGTCACATGGAGCAACTGAACGCGACACCCAATCCCAATCCCGACCTTTTAGCTGGACTCGAGACCTAGCATTCGGCATACTACGCAGACGAGATGGATCGGACATTGAGTTGCGAGAGGTCGAGGTCCCGTGCACAGCGGGAAAGCCTGTGCGTTTTTTTGCTCTTTTACGGTTCTTCTTTATCACTGACTCCTCTTTGCGCAGAGATACTATCACGCCAGAAAGAAGAAGCCAGCTGCCAGCTCATCTCGAGCCACCAATGCTCATACCACGCAACAACCCAGCGGAGCAGCACAGAGCACATCGTCATCATCACAGCAATCACCTTCCACTACCGCTGCTTCGACATTTCCCGCAGTCACTAGTGCCGCAGGGACAACAGGAACACTCTCGCATCCTTATATCCCTGTTGCTGGATGGCGCGTTCGTTTTGTGGGCTGGTTGTGTTGTATGCCTATTCAGAACACAAGGGGTGAACATTAGTGACGCAGTTCCAACTACCGCATTGGCTACTAGAACGAGGCCGCAACACAATATCACTGTAATACAGGACACGTTTCTTGTTCCTTATTGTCATTTTCTATCGTTTACTACGCGACCTGGCGCGATCCAGTGGACAACTATTACAAGATGACTCCTTTGTCACCTGCAGACTCTCCCCCCCTCTAATCCAAGAATCTCAATTGTCACATTCAGATCGCTCTGGATCTGCTGCTTGAGGACGCTAAGACAGACAACCAGTGCATGAACAAAGGGTTTTCCTATACCGCCTTGTTCGCCACGGGGCTACCTCGCGCCTCCGCCGGACTACGTCCCTTTTTCGCCGGAGGGCTACATCAATGAGCCACCTATCCAGTTTTTGCTGCCGGCCTGCCACACATCACCTTTACGCCGCAGTTCTACATAGTAGTTTGGGTTGTCATGTTCCATGACTTCTGTTGAGCTACAGGGTGGCCCTTGCGATGATTGGGCACCCCCGAGTCCGCCGAGTTGCGAACTCGACTGCATTTGTGCAAAGCGCTGGACCCTGTCCATCTTGTACACTCTCACCCTCAAACGTGACATTCAACAGTCGTTCGTGCGCACCTACTGAAGACGGAGAAGTGAATTAAGCGTCGAGAAGCAGTCAGAGAACTAGAGGATGGTGTATGTCGCGTGAATTATGTACATTATCCATTCCTTGAGGGTAAATAAGACTGGTCCGAGTGACACATACGTATATACGGTACAGCATAAAGTTGAATCGAGATTTGCCAAATTATAACTAAGAAACAGAGACAATGATGAAATAAAGGGGGAAAAAAGAAATTTTATTGAACTTCATGACGCTGACTGAAAACTCAGCAGGTGCGATGACGGACTTTATGCAGAAACCAAGGAGCTACGATAGCGATGAAAAGTGGAATGAAAACTAGACCAGACAGCGACGTAAGGGATACATAGGGCAGGACGTCTTGAGGCAGAAGAGGGAGATTACAGCACGAGTAGGGTATCGGTGGCGAGCAGCGGGCATGGATACGTGTCGATGGCTCTAGGGTTCCAGCCCTGAAATTATCGCTGTAAATCGGCACGCCTATAACCTAGATTAGTGAAAGTTCAAAAGACAACTAAAGCGACGGGACGCACTCTCTGATAGTGTCATACAAGAACTTGTAGCTCCTAAGATTACCTTTCAAGCGACGAATGTCAAGGCTGTACGTGTCTTTCAAACGATCTATGCGTGTCAATTCGATTGAGAAGCGAACTTCATCCCCTGCGTCTTGGCTAGTGTCACCATAAACTGCCTCATGAGTGCCCAATTGTGAGTCGACTGGCGATGAAGCCATGGCACCAGTGTCATCGTCCATTGAAGCTTGGGATGGCGCCACGCCTGATACCTGGGAAGACTGCCTGCGCATAAGCAAGCCTTTGAGCATCCCTCCTGCCGACGATGAAGTCGATGGCACAGGCAATCCGCGCTTGTCAACCTGGTCATCAAAATTAGAACAATCTACAGCATCGACCGGCTAAACTCACCCCATTGGATGCTGCAGACCCAACCATCGTGAACGCAGCTAACCCATTACCGCTTCCACTGAATCCCAAGCCAATAGCACTGCTCTTCTTTCTCTTGGCACGAATACAGCGGTACTTATATTCACTCTCCGCTTTGAGATCAATGCCCATCCCCTCGAGCACCTGGCATACGTGTTTGATAACTTCGGGAGGAGGCCTCGTCGTGATAGTGGTCTGATCGACAGCGCCATGGTGGATACGCAAAACATCTTTCGGTGACGATGAAGACGAGAACATGCGTCCGGCTTTGCTGAACGAGAAGGAGACGTCTTGTGATCTGGATAAATCCGCATTTCCTCTTGAAGCAGGACTTGGCGAAGGATACTCTGTCCTACGAGAGGTAGACATTTCCGGGGAATCGTCTGGCACGTCCCTACCAGCCCTCGCGCTACTCTTCCTCCGGAACCATTGCATGACGTTCCGTGCCTTCGTCGTTGAGGCTGCCATATCGCCAGTAGGTCCATCCTGCATCTTACCCAGGGTGGGGAACACAGCAGTTTGCTTCTGAGGAGAGGTAACAGCAGAAGGAGGAACGCTCTTCTCGTCGTCCTTGGCCGGCGTGTCACCAGTAGGCGTCTTCTTCGAGAGTGATTTGATCGAGCGGCTGAAGGGCTCGACCATAACGGTGAGAGTGTTGCGCCGGTTCTTTTTGCTTGCCTCAGCATCAGTTATACTGCTGGACCCCCCTGGGCTGAGGAGTGAAGACTTGGACTGAGAAACTGGAACATTGCCGACACTGTTCTGCGTTGAACCTCTCCTCTCCTCTACGACAGAGGATCCCCCAGCAGCAGAGCTCTCCGACGGCACACGGGATGTGGATCCATTGGCTGCAGCTTGCTCGCCATTTGTACCGAAAATCTTGCCCAAACCGAACTTGTCGATGGAGAGACCTTTCCGGTGACGACTAGAGGCAGAGCCCGTTGAGCTGGTACCATTGCCTGTGTTGACCGACCGAAACGATTTGTCTTCCGTAGACATGGGGGGACTTGCTGGAGACACCGAGACGGTGGGCGTCCGATTTTGCGCAGCGCGTAAGGTCGAGGAAGACAGCTGAGATGGTTGGTTTCGTGAGGAAGGGGTACTGGCTGCAGGAGGAGCGGGAAGTGGTCTTGGACTCGTATTGAAGGAAGAGTCACGGCTGGACTTTTGCTTTGCAGGAGTACTGATGTTTTGGGTGGAAAGGATACGTTCTGAGGTACCCGTCTGTGCGCTGTCCTTCTTGGTGATAGAGTGACTGAAGTTTGGAGCTAGTTCCGGCGCTGGAGCACTGTGGTCGGCATACTCGACCTGGATTGTATGTCTATCGATTGTGCCTTTCTTCTTTGCGGAATCTGGTGGGACAAATGACGGAGGACCGTTACGCGAAGATAGAGCTCCTTGAGAGCTGCCTTCTCTACTGCTCCTTCCAGCCGATGGGGTATCATCAGGCTTGGAAATGGTAACAGGAATATGAACAGCGTGCGAAGACGGTGCAAAAGGATCATCATCATTGGACGATTGTACTGTCTTCGGCATAACAATAGCAGAAACTGCCCCTTTCCGGGAAGCGGGAACGGCATTGGGGGGAGAAGACGAGGAGTAAATGGACTGGTCTACTGAACTGTCGTAAATCAGCTCCGGCTGGCCAGGAGGGTTGTCTCTGTATGAGTGGCTCCTTGGCGGTGGTGCGGAGGTAGCAGCACTGTTTAAGATGCCTTCAACCCGTGCGCTTTGCGTCCGTGACACCTTGGCAGGATCTTTGGCTGCAGCCGCGGCCGCGGCCTGCCTCATCTGCCTTTGGTACGCCAGTCTCCTCTGCTGGTGCTGTTCCATTGCAACGTGCTCAAGGTCATCTACGGTCTTCTCGAAGAGGTAGGAGTACGTTGATAGCCATGGATGTGCCATGATGGACCGCAGATCAGCACGCCGTGTGGGATCAGGCACCAGCATCATAGAGAGGAGGTCTCTGGCTTCCGAGGAGACATAGTCGGGAAAAGAGAGGGGTGTGTTGACAATGTATTTGTATAACAGATTAATGTTATCACCGTCAGGGTTGGCAGGGTCATCGTCAAAAGGAAGATATCCGGCGAGCATGGCATACAATATGACGCCACAGGACCAGATGTCGACGGCAGAACCGACGTAGAGCCCTTCTGAGATCACCAGCTCTGGAGCGGCATAACAAGGTGAACCGCAGCTCGTCTGCATGAGGTCATCTGCGCGATGTTCGAAGCGATTGGCAAATCCAAAGTCGGTGATAATGACATTACGGTGGCGATCGAGAAGTAAATTTTCAAGCTTGAGGTCGCGGTGAACGATCTTCTTTTGGTGGATGTACCAGACGCCCGAAATTAGCTGAGAGAAGAGCTTGGCAGCATCTTTCTCTTTTAGATACCGATGGGCCAGGATGTGATCAAAAAGCTCGCCGCCGGAGGCGTACTCGAGAATTATGCCGATATATTTGTCAGTTTCGATTACGTCGTATAACCGAACGATATTGGGATGCTTGAGGGTCTGTGGATCGACAGTTATCGGCATCATGAACTTGAATCTGGAATGTACGGAGTTCTTACCCGAAGAACCTCAATCTCACGTTCCACCTTGGACATCCGCACAGAAGTGTCTATGTTGCCCCGCCGTATAAGCTTGACAGCGACTTCTTCCCCCCATTGACTGTGTAGCCCCAGCTTCACTTTCCCGAACTCTCCTTCACCAACAGTTTGAAGTAAGATATAGGGTCCAAACTTGGGAATCGTGCGCCTTGGGTGGGCTGCAGTATACGCCACAGCAGCTGGGTGCGAGTAAACGTCACGATAAGCAGGTTGATCTTCGGCTTGCTGCTGCAGTTGCTGCTGCGAAGAGACTACTTGGTGTGATGCTCTTTGTCTCCGTGACGTGGACTGTGACGTGGTTACAGGTGATGGCTGCACAGACACAGACACAGTACGGGAAGTGCCATGGTGTCGAGAAGGACCTGCATAAGAATTGTCTGGGATTTGAAGACTGTCCATACGAGCGAAGAGAAACTAGTAAAACTCGCAGTCAGACTTTGTAAATAGTTCGACCCGAAAGCTGGCCACTGTTTACAGATACATATAAAAACAACACAGCCGCGTGGGGATTGCTGGACTGCCCAAAGGTAACTTAAAGGGTAAAGGAGGAGGACTCACAGCTTCTTCTTATACCCACTTCTGATAGTATGAACTGCGGCTCAGATCTTTGGTTTTAGCCAGCAGTTACGAAGGATGACAGGATGGGTGATAGATGCAAAGAATGTTGATATTCGAAGGCTTGAAATGAGAAGACCACGCGCGACGGCGTGGGAGATGATGGCACACCTGGCATTCCGTTGATCGTCAATTGACCATCCTAAGAAAAAAACTGATTTGAACGAATTGCTCACCGTCCGCTGAGATCTGGGGTATTCTGCTACTACTTTTGCGCTGTATGAAAACAGCGGAAAGACAGACGACTGGCAAAGAACCGAGAACGCCGTTCACAGCCTACTGCTGTAAACTCGCGGTTAGCGGTTGTTCAACTTTTCCAACACCGCGCCGGGATCTCGGCATCTTGTCATGGGAGTAAGAACATCCTTAAATTTAGTGAATCTGGTGAGTGACATGTATGAATTTCGCTTTTTTGTGGTGGCCACCACTCTTCGTATGAAACTTCTCATGAGCTTCATCAAACGCTCAGTTCCACTTTACCACCGCTCGCGACTGCCACTTTCAGCTCCTCCTCATCTAATGCTGGTTGAACCCACTCCTTCAGGAACTTGTCCACCTGCTCTGGTGCACGCCCGATAAAGGTTTGCGGTTCCAACAGTTGCTCTAGTTCCTCATGGATAGGACTAAAATATGGGTCGTTTCGCACACGTGCGATGAGATCATTCTCGAGACCGAGGTTCTTCACTTGGTGTGCCGCTTCGTGAGAGAGGACCTAGTATCATGAAAGTATAAGTATGGTTGCCACAACAGCGATATGATGTATAGAGGTCATTTACTCTGATCTTCTCATGAGCTTCTTGCCTATCGCCCCCCTTCTTGACGATAGACATTATAATATTTTCAGTCGCCATAAATGGAAGTTCTTGTGCAATCCGACGCGCGATAACCCTTGGGTACACAACGAGGCCCTCACAGACGTTTTGTAGCGTCGAGAGAACTATATCGGCCGTCAAGAATGCCTCAGGAAGAGTTATCCTTCGGTTTGCACTTGCCGTCGTCATGTCAGCATGCAACCCACAAATCCATGATGATCAGGGTTTACCTGTCATCGAGTGTCCGCTCAAACCATTGTACACTAGAGGTCATAAGTGCATTTTGATGGAGGACCATCAAGTGCCTCGAGAGACTGCACACGCGCTCCGAGCGCATCGGATTCCGCTTGTACGCCATTGCGGAAGACCCTATCTGCGTTGACTCGAATGGCTCTTCCACTTCCTAACAGATAACCGTCAATCACGGTCGAATCGCATCGGCAGGATATAAGAACACCTTAAGGTTCGCTAGCAACCGCAGATCCGTCGCGATCTTGTGCGCTGTGGCGCCGAGGGACGCGAGAGGGGCAAGGACGTCAATATCTATTTTCCTCGAATACGTCTGCGAGGTAACAGGATACGCGTAGTCGAACCCGCTGAGTTCTGTCACAAGTTTGTCCAGCTCTTCCACCTTGTCGTGATCGCCGTCAAACAAGGTCAAGAAGCTCGCTTGTGTCCCGGTGGTGCCTTTGACCCCACGGAATCCGATGTCGTTGCGTGCCCGTTTAATGTTCCTTAAATCCCATAGAAGCTCCTGCGTGTGTAATACGTGTTGAGTCGCATCCAGGTGTTTAATATAGTAGACCTTGCACCTGAATCCACAGAGTAGCGCGTTTGCCCACAGTTGTAAGCTGGGCTGGTTGGAAATGCGTGAATCCAAGCGTAGGCAGAGCTCTATACTGCGCAGCAAAAGCCGAGAGTCGTGAGATTACAACAGCAAGTGATTTAAGGAGGAATGTCAAGCCAGTACGAATGAAAATCAAGTCCGCATTACTAACATCGAGTGTGAGCCCAAGTCACAGCGGATATGAAATCCCGACACTTACTCTGTCACATAGCACGACGTTGCACCGAGGCTGAAATGAGCGCACGTTCAGTAAAGGGCGGATAAGGACAGTGACATGACATGCTGGATGATACCTGCGGCAGCAGGTGCAACTTGTCCGAACGTATGAACATGCGCCATGACATCGTGGCGACGCTTCTTTTCCTCCTTCGCAGCGATATCAAATTGCTCTGGAGTAAGGTCCTGGCCGCATTGAAAATGAGGTACGTAACAGTGCAATACTAATCTATTCACCCACCAAATTGCTCTTCATCTGTTCGAGTGCCTCATCTGGGATAGGAAGCCCGAGCTGCTTTTCAGCAATTGCAAGATTGAGCCATAGCTCTCTCCATGTTTTGAACCGATGCTTGTCATAAAATTAAGCAGGAGTTGCGATAGACGGTGCGATCACATACAGCTGGGGAGAAGAGATGAGCCATTTCCTTGCTGGCATATCGGCTATCGCAGATGTAAATCGGGACGGAAATTGAATGAGTGAAGAGTGAAATACCTGGAAAGAGGAGTCTGATAAGTTTCGTACGCCTCCATAGCTTGAACAGTAGCGTTTCAGTTTGCGGCTAGATTTTTGTGATGATCCAAGATCAAGATCTTTGAAGGATTTTAGACGTAAGCACGTGGGATTGTTGATTTCAGAAGATTTTGCCAATCAGTAGTCTCGGTATACGGCGGCGGAGCTTGTAAAAATAAATTACATGACAAGTTGGAGTACATACTAGGTATCTAAGTGGTTACGAAATTATGAATCTTCCAGCCATGCAACAAGAGCGTAAGCTGCTGCTGCAGCGGTACCGCCAACTAATAGCGTGCTGACTGCTCCCCATATGTAGCCTCCAGCACCCTGCCCAGCACCCGTAACACGAGCTTTCACAGCTCCAAATATCAACAGGACGATGCCTGTGACAATAGAAGAGTATACGAGCGCCACATGCGCTTCCGAAACAAAGAAGTATGGGATAAGGGGAATGATTCCGCCAACCAAGTACCCGAAGCCAATTGTCAGCGCCGACATGTATACTCGACGCTTCGAGATTTCCTCTAAAAAACAAAACGATGAATATGAGCGGTATTTATAAATAAAACAATACACACCCATTCCCTCTCCAAATTTGAGTAAAAACGGTGTTAGACCGACTTGATCCTTCCACCTCAATAACTGCGCTTCTTCGTCTGACGATGAACCGTTTGCATCGACTTCTGGGTCAAATTCCGCATCTCTGAGGCACTTGGTGACCGCCTGGCACGTCTGCTCGTCGACGCCTACAGGGACAAGTACAGCGCATACTTCCCTTTCCATTTCTCCGATGCAGCTTCGTTGCACCCGTGCCGATGTGTGGCGTCGCATGAAATGGTAATGATCACGCTCTGCCGAAGATGCTAAGAAGCCACCAATGCCCATAGAAATAGCACCAGCGATGAGTTCGGCTATTCCGCCAGCGACAACTAATCTTGAGGCGCCCAAAGATGAAAGACCTGCTGCCAAAGCGAAGGGGACTGTCAAGCCGTCTGAAAGTCCGATAACACTGCGAATGATCTCAATGTTCCGTCCAATACGATGAAACCAAGACAATTGCTTACACATCGCGAACGACATCAGGATCAATGAGCGTACGGTTATCCTCGTCTTTCAAGTCCTTGCAGCAGATACCGTCCTCACGACCGTCTCTATCACATCTCGTCAGCAGTGGTGGAGTAAGTGTTCCACTAGCGTCCAAAGGCCATACTGGTGGCTTAGTGTTCATGTTTCCTTCTCTGTTTGGTAAGGAAACAGCAACTGTGTCATTTGAATCAGAATCTGAAGCCATTCGAAGAGATAAGTTGACGAGCAGACTCGCAGGGGTAGCGTTATCTACATAGCCAGCTTAATAATTTAAATACATTGTGTGTACTTGTTTGCTTGGTCTAATTCAACTCCGGTTAGTTGACACCAAGCCGAACTTCGGAACCGAGAGTACCGGTATATCAGTGCCAAAAATCGGAGTCGAGTAAGAACGAGCATGCTGAAGGACTAGTTTTCTCGTCATACAATCAGGTGAGAGGCAATTAACATTCTATATAAATACTTGCAGTAACGTCGTCGGCATCGTCAAGTCGCAATCAATTCATATATGTTGACTCCAGAGATCTAGAACTGACTTACCAATAATCCAGTAGGCAGACTCGGACTCCTCGATTCACGAATCCCTTAATACGATGTATGCACCGCCAAAATACAAATGGCGATCGGTACATAAACCATGGATTGTATGGTGACTTTTCCAATGAAGATACCAGGTCCTGACGACTGTTGGCAATCTTCGGTGATTCAGATAATCGGGCCCCATCACCGAGTCATTGTCTCAATTGCGTCGTCGTACTGGCTCGATTTCCTACTAGGCTACCCGAGTTAGTTATGGATTCGCAGGGTATCCATCTCTTGAGGCACGCCCGTCGTGATGAGTGTTTGTGTTTCCATATTTCGTGGCTGAAACGTCATCCATGGAAGCTCAGCCCAGGGTAGTGCACCCACGGTTTACTTTTTCGAACAGCCCTTTCGTCCAGAGGGTCACTTTCGTTGCTATTTTCATTCCTACCAGTACCCGCATTGTCCGCGTGCTGTAGGACTTACTCTCTTCGGCGACCGAATCTAACCTCGAGGTAAATATAACTTTACAGCATGGTCCTCGTTCATTTGAGTACCATGCAGACATCAAGGTTGGATCATATTATGCCCTACTGCCCTGTCAGCCTCTGTGCTTACTGGAAGTTTGATCGACTTGTGCTGGGAGAGCGGTCGGTTGATAGTGGCTCGATTTAACAAGCTTTTCGCTCGGCTGACCCGATCCACCGTATAATCCTCCGGGCCTTTTACATATCCGGAAATTTAGTGGGTTCGCCTCTTTTGGGAGTAGCAATCGCAAGAAATCGCGACGCTGAATAACGAGACTGCGCTAAAGAATTGAAAATTCATACTCTTGCGCATGGCATAACCCTTCCATTCATCTGGTGTTTAAAGCTAAAATGCCACCTATGGATTACATGTTTGCAGAAACAGAGTTAGCCATACATCAGTACTAATTAGGAGTATAAACAACACCTGAGGTAGACGATGGTTCACCGTGGCTACCTTGCGGCCCGAAAACCTATATGGTCCGAAACCCATTTCATCCTACGCCATTCGTTAGACTCCCCCTCCCCCCCTCAGCCTACTAACCACGAGGATCCGCACCGACAGGTCCGGTATGAGGCTCGACGTCGTCACCAAGTTCAAACGAATAACACTGAGGCGCGTCCCTAATTGCCATCAACTGGGTACCAGTCAGAAGCCTGCGGTAAGTACTTCAAGCCGGAAGGTATTAATGGACGCGCCGCGAGGCAATGTAACCGCTACATGCTGACAGTCTTCCATATCCGAGCTCGGAAACTATGAACTGTGATATGTTGCGGGGGGCGTCTACGTGCGATACGGTTCGTCATATTACGAAACTGCGGGGTCAACCAAGTCTTCCGCGTATCTTTCCGTGCCTGACCCCAGTTGTAGGTGGAAGGTTTGGAGACTTTCTACCAAACATACATAAGTATTTTGGCAAAAGTGGATAATTATGCCAAAGGTTGATGGAATAGTTAGACTTGACAGGCACAGCATTCACGATGCCACGCTTGTGCAATGACTGCCATTGTCAAACTGAACACGTTTCAATTGTGCCCACAGGCACGGATAAATTGCAACTTGCAAGCTACAATCACCGTCGTCAATTGTCTTGGATGCGACTTGAGCTTGAGGACTAGCATCATCGAGAGTGCTGGCCTTGGTGTTTGCAGATTCCAGAAACCTCAATTAGTTAGATCTCCGACTGTCTCGATCGTATAGTCTTAGAACGTAATTTCTAGAAAAGCTGTATAGAACACGAAGTTCTTGGCACAAGGCAGTGACAGTTAAAGGCTCTTCCAATGCCGAAGCAGCATTTCAACAACTGCCCTCCTGCCACCGTTGCTGTGTACTATGGGTATGTTCAGAAATAATCACAGCCGCAATTTTTGCTCATCCTTGCCATCACGGACAGCTTCCCTACGTGACGGGCCTGCAGAAATGGCTCATTCCACCGCAAGTAGCGTTCGTGCGCCCAATGCTGTAGAGGAAACGTTCCCGCTTACCCAAAGACCATCCGCATCTGCCAATCCGACGACGCACAAGTACTGCAAGCAGCAAACCTCAAAAGGAGTCCCTCAATTGGCTGGCTAAGTTCAGAAGAGCTATATCTTTAATGATGCAACCGAAAAAACCGGTAGCCAAAGCCCCCACCGTGTGGAGAAGCATTCAAGCGATTGTTTTTGCTTCATGTAAAATGACTTGCTTGCAATCGATGGACTACGTTGATATTGTCTTCTAGGGCTAAATGTTTTGTTGGTCTTTATCCCGATATCTGTATGTTACTTTCCGTCTTAGCTTGGACCACCTAACGCATGGCGTCCGAAAGTGGGCTATGAACTTTGCTCTGCCCGATCAGCACACTCTTATATTTGTTTGTAAGTACACGGTTCGACCCTCGGTAACCTACCTTACAGATCGCTCTAGTTGCATTCCTGGCTATCATACCACTGGCCAAGGTAACACAGATTCATTTTTCGCTATTGTTCAGGTTTAATGTGCCCGCAGCTTCTCGCCTTCGCGACCGATGAACTGTCACTACGAGTCGGTCAAACTCTCGCTGGTCTTCTCAACGCTACATTAGTTAGTGGTTCATGTATCGGTCCTTTATCACGCTGAAATTTGAGGGCTTATAGGGAAATGCGTCAGTAATTTTTTGCTCACTTGATCACTTTATTTATCTTGTCTCCTTTTACGCACAGCGTCGAACTCATCGTATCGGTATGTCGTGCTAGCCTCCAGTAGCTTGTATGATGACCAATTGTCCCATTTTAGATCATCGCGCTCGCGAAGTGTCAGCTTACAATCGTTCAGTCGTCCTGTATGTGTCCTTTACTCTTTTGCAGCTTCCCTTGACCCTGACACGTTATTTTTCTATAGTGGTGGGTTCTATCCTGAGCAATCTCTGTAAGTGTTTGAGCTTACTGTGACGAAATCAATTAATGTGTACTGTAGTACTGGTACTGGGCATGTGCTTCTTTGCCGGTGGTCTCCGCTTCTCGGAACAGGGATTTGGTCAAAGTACACAACTGCTTGTTTCAAGTTGGTCCAGACTATTGATGCTCGCGTCTATGGCTTAGGTGCTGTGCAACTTAATTCGTCATTGCTCACCATCAGCGTGATTGCTGTTCTGTTACCTGGGGCTTTTCACATGGCTCTTCAGGGCCAACCAGAATATGACGAATTGTCGACCGATTACAACATATTGAAAACTAGCCATGGTGTGCGTGGATTATTGTTCATAATATGTTTTGTCTTACGTTCTTCGTATAGGTTGCAATTATTCTCCTTTTCAGTAGGTCAACAAAATGATTTTGTTGGCAGTTGATTCAACCCATTCCAATCATCCAGTCTACGCCTCATATCTGGTTTTCCAGTTATTTTCGCACAAAGCCCTCTACCATGATGACAATGAAGATATGCAACCAACCAAGGAGTACACGGGCCAGAATCCATTTCGGTTGCACAGGACGCGTAGAAATATCACAGACAGTGAAATAGTGTCTTCCCCGAGTTCGGCACATGATAGAGAGGCAGCTACAAACGTTGTCCCACCCCATGGATGCCAACCCTGACGTGGAACCTGGGACCCATTCCATAGCATCGGTGGAGACTGAGGTTCCTGAGCAACCACTGATGAACCTTGCCGTGTGCCTTTGGCTTTTGGTTGTTGTAACCGTGGTACGTGCTTGCTGTAATAGTCATACGAAGTTCTCAATTTTTCTTCGCTTTAGTTGGTTGCTGTTACTGCAGAGTTCCTCGTTGACTCAATTGATGGTTTGACTTCATCTGGGTCGATCAACAAGGAATTCGTTAGTATTATTTTGCTCCCAATCGTTGGTAATGCAGCGGAGCATGTCACTGCAGTTACGGTATCCGTCAAGGATAAACTGACTTTAAGCTTGGGCGTTGCTGTGGGTTCGAGCATTGTGAGTTCACTCCTACGGACATGGCTTCTATGGCGACTCATCGTTTTCAGCAAATTGCGCTCTTTGTGATTCCGTGCGTTGTGCTCTTGTCCATTTCTACATAGTATTCATCCAGATGGTTTCAGATTCATTGTGACACTTGGCTGGATTATGAATAAGCCATTGACCCTTCTCTTTGACCCGCTGGAATCCATCGTATTGTTCCTTTCCGGTGCGTTGATGCGTTAATGCTGGAGAACGTACTAATCGGAAGGTAAAAATAGTCCTCACTGTCAATTACGTCGTGCAGGACGGCAAGTCAAATTGGTTGGAAGGGATGATCCTCATGTGTACGTTTCTGTGGCAATTTTTGGGATGTGTTTCGCACTCAAGGCGCTCTATAGGCTTGTACTTGATTTTGGGTGTAACGTTTTGGTATTATCCTGGTAAGCCCCTTGTCGATGTAACTGAAGAATGTCCCACATATTGAACGCCATTCTCACTAGGTACCCAAGGGATCTTCCCAAATTGTTAGGCCAAACCCAAAGCATCGTTGATAAATGGAGGACTGCCACGGGCTTAGTACGACTAGGCTTCGACCTGGGCCACTTCCCAGATCATATTGGGTACCATATACCTTCAGCACACTAGTTACCCGTCCCTTCCAGTGCCAACTATCATTATTGACATGCTTCTTTCTTCATGATTTCTATGGTTCGCACTAGGAACCCAGCCCCGTCCTTATTTTTATGCGATTACCGCTGCGCGGATAGGAAGAGATCTATTCCAATTTACTCCTACTTACCTTTTAAATATAACAATAGTTTAATGACCAACCTGGAGTGCACACCACGGCAAGGCCAAGTGTGGCTAAAGGGCCTTCCAATACACTTCGTGGCGGATCGCATAGGTGGCCCAACCAGGTGAGAGTGATAAAGTGGTATATTGAGGAGTGCGAGATGTCCGGAAGGAAGTCGACCAGTAAGCGCTTGAGTTCCGGTGACGTCAACTCAGACCTGGTGGATGAGTCGTTGTTTCCACTCGCACACCACGAGCACGTTGTGACCCCCATGTCATTCTCGCTGATGTGTCAAGTTCATCGGAAAAAGTAGATGTATCCTTACTTATACTTCAAGGACGATCAGCTGATTTCCTTCATATGTCGTCGGTGGGTAGACTGACAATGAGGAGTTGCATGAGACTCGAATTGAGAGAGACGGACGAAAAGTAACTGCCTTGGGGAAATTCTGAGCTCATGGTTCAGAGAAGTTGATTGTTGATAGTAGATCAGTTCTTGCGAAGTGTATTTTCTCTGCCCGACCGAGTTAACGGATCGTATGAAGCAAAACTATTCGCTCACTTGTCAACTCGAGAGTCCAGAATGTTTCTGAACACTCCCGCCACAGCACTTCCACTAAAAGTGGATGATCGGACTCGGATGTCTCATTCAGTACAGTATCGATACAATTTCATGATATCAGATTGGTGGACGGACCTTAGCATAAAAACCACAACTTGCTATCTCGAAGCGCAGGCCTGATCACCTTGTTACAGTTAGAGTTAATTATGAATCACCTCTTGAAGCACTGTCAATGGCCGTGGTGTAATGACTGACGTTCTTTGTCTGGCTGAAAAAGGCTGAGAATCGCTCGATCAATGAATGGATGCCCCACAGTGATAGAGGCGCTTCTCCATTCCCTGGCAACGTTTGTGTCTTCTAGTCGGTTGCAATCATGACTGATATGAAAAGCAGATAAATCACAGTGGCGAAAGCCATCAGGTCACTTGACTAGTATGTAATTGTCGGCATTGCGGTTCTTCAGGCACCTGAAATCGATCTCCTGTGAGTTAGTTCAGCGAAGCTCCGGTCTTCTGCCCCTGATGCCTTTCTACTTCACAGCATCACTGATGTCACATTAGTAACTATGGTGTGAAGACTGAGCGCTGAATATTGAACAACGAACCTTATAGAGGAACATTGTTTCGGAGCTTCCAGAAGACTTACATCATGTGATCTCAATATCCAATGGCTATATGAGTTACCCCAGCCGGTAGCACGATGTATGCCAACGCCGCGGCGTCAGTCTAATTTCTTCCAAGAATCAGCGGGAGTTTCAGACTAGTGGTTCGATGGCACGGTCAGTCAGGCCCCACGGGAGAACGTTTGAACCTGAATTTGAGAGGAGTTTTACCTGATATGCATGGCGTGGAGCTGCGATAACACACATGGAAAAGCAATTTTAGTTAAGCGGACCCTGAATCCGTGCCCTTAGGCGATTCGTTCCTTCGTTTCAGCATCCCTAACACGCTGTTTAACAGGCTTGATTGGACTGAAGTCTCTAGTGGCTCATTGGCAGAGATTTAGTGTGTGATATTGGAAAATAGGTCTGCAAAACGGCCCACTGTTATACTGATTTTTTGTAGAATGAAGTTCGTTCGTATGACGATCTCGGGCTGGGATCTTTCGATGGGATCCACCGGGTGAGCTCGAACACGGAAAGTGGACTGGGGAGTCTGATTCGGTCTCTATGCCAAGTATGTGGATGTTAACACATGTAGCGTGCTACGGTATACTTCGCTTTCTCACCTAATTATCTGTTTTGTTCCCAATCTGGAGGGGTTATAGATTAGCAGGGCTTGATGTTAATGCTTTCCGACGCGATGCACCGCTCCAATCATAGTGCACTGAGCCTCCCGGGCCGCGGCGTCGAAACCGTTCGCGCCGAATTTCAGGGAGTTTCTGCCACAAACGTTGGTTTGAAGTTGTTAAATTGCTTTTGCAAACTCAAGTTTGCAACCGCTTGTCAGTGATGTATCGATAGCTGTACTCATGCAGATGATGATCAACTTGAAGGCATTCGAGCAGTCTATTAAGTAAATGAGTCGGGGCATAAAACCACAAACAACATCAAATAACTGCAAGGTCGCTGAGTTTCCGCCAACGACTTGCAGCCTTGCACGCTCGTCAATATATTGAATGTTGCAAGCCCTAAAACCCGCTCGTACGGGGACATCATACTGGGCAAGAAATGTCATCTATGCCGATCGCAGTATCATCGTTTTGAACAAACCTGCAGGACTCATCTGCCAAGGCTCCGACGCTTCCTCCGAAAACGTAAGTGAGCTCATTCTTGGAAGGCGAAGGAGATTGCTACAGCCTCTGGCATAACATTCAGAAACCTCGAGATGTTGACAAATTCAATGACCTACTTTGTGGTGCGTACTTCCTTCTCGTGTTTGACGTTCATGACGCGATGTATTTGTCTCGCTTGACAGACGTAAAAGATACTTTTGCCTTGGAGAGCCTGCCGTACCCTGTCCACCGCCTTGATAAGGCATGTTCCCTTTCACACCATTCTATGAGCACTGGCTAACTTAGCTGTCAGACTACCACCGGGACGCTACTGTTAGCGCGCAACTCCTCAGCTGCTCGTCAGTTTTCACAACAATTTCAGTCGCGAGTAGTAGAGAAAACATATTTGGCTCTTGTCCGTGGAGGAGAGAAGTCCTTCCCGAGTCGCAGTGGAGAGATTAGGGACGCCCTGGAATTTAGTAATGGGCGTGTGTCTATAGGCGAGAGCTGTGGTGCCAAGTTTGCTGCTACTGATTGGGAACTTATTGCGTCTTCCGTACGTGTCATTAACTGCCGTCTACTGCTGATTTATTAAAAATACAATGTAGCCCATAGCACCGCTGTCGCTGCTCAGGCTAACTCTGCACACAGGACTGAAACATCAACTTCGCATTCACCTGGCACATTCCTTGCACAGTACGTTATCATTCATCCCATATCTTCGAAGTGTCTCATTGGGGTTATAGCGCCTATACTGGGTGATAGTTTGTATACGAGGAGTAGCATTTCCGAGAAGATTGCTAAGATCACCCGACTACCCGAGAAGAGGATGTTCCTGCACGCAGCGCAGTTGACGCTCTCAGTAAGTCCGCGGATGACCGTCGATGTTTGATGAGATTCCTGATGCGTATATATTCAGAGGTACAGAAAGACAGGGCCCAACAAACACTTCCGACTCAGGATCGGGGCTCCCATACCCAAGGACTTCCTCACAATATGTAGAGATGCAGGAATCTCGTTGGACCACATATATGTTGACGGTGGCCTGTCCGTTGACGGCCAGCATGTTAGCGATGTTCCAGATCTTGAAGGCAGATGGCTACAAAAACCTCCAGTACCGCGCCCATAATCGCTGACGAAATAGAGCGTCATCGTGTGTTGCACGATATGTACCTAATTTGAAACCACGTAGAGCGGGGACTAGGGCTACACCCTACCCTTCATCTTACCTCATTTGTTGCACTGTGGATTACTCAGCCTTTTGTTTTGGGCTCGCATAGAGTTGGACGTTCAGGATGTCTACTTAAATTGTAGCGTTTTTCGCCAGGGATATAAACATTTTATCAAAAGACTTGTTTGTTAGTGGAACTCGATGCTTGCGTGACATAGTGTGCTATGTTCAGCACAAGTTTACCATTAAGAGCAATTTACCGATCATTGACCTCGTCATGTTCTTACTATCGCCACGAAATTTCGGTGATATTCAAGCACAATATCGATTGCTTCCCTTCATCTGGGTATCATATTGTCCTGTACATGATGCGCCGGCACGTAAAGTGCACATACATAGCTAATAGCTAACGACTTCTCGAAATTTGAAATCAGTGGAATGCATTGTATGTAAGCTAGGTGATGCAAGGGTATAGATAATATTGCAATTTATGCTTATATTGTCCGCGAGCTCGTCCAACGAGCTTGAATGCCGCGGCGCCCACAAGTACAAAAAAAACCTTACCGATCGCCATCTATTAGAAGGTAGATGATCGTATCGGTGGTTGTGGGTGCGAGCCAGTTGTTTGTACTTGACCTTCTTGCTGAGCTTTGAGTAAATTTCCAACGCCCACAGCTATGGCGCCAACTGCTTGAGCGACGCCAGAAGCGAGGAGAGTCCCTCCGCTAATTGCAGGGATTGCAGGGAGGGTCCCTGCAGTGATGAGGACAGCACTCAGTGTTGTCATAGCTCGTGGGTGCTCCGCAGTCAGGAAATTGAGGGCATTGCACGCATTAAGGAGCCATGTTGGTGCATTCGATATAGCTGTGACAGCTGGATCAACGGGTTTTAACGTATACTCAGACGAACTAGCACGTGTCACTTACTGCCGTCAGCGGATGGCGTAGATAAGGCAGTTACCGCATTGTCAGAGGTCAACACGGGGTTGGAGGTTAACGCGTGGTTAGAGGTTACGGTATGGTTAGATGAAACGGTGCTGGTGGACAACGTAGAAGCCATGGAGTTCGCGCGGGTTGGTGACCTGCGAGACCTGATTGCAGCCGTAGCAGCGATTGCTGAATCAGAAAGCATCTTCATCGGGTTTGGCCGTCCTTGCTTGGACGGCAGGGGCGGCGGAAGTTCCACGATTTCGGAAGAAGTCACCTCCTTCTGTGACCCATCCCTGTCTTTCGTGGATTTCCTTCTGGTAAGCCACAACATGCCTGACGGCTTAGAGTGGAGCTGAACAGTCTCTGTGATGCTGGCATCAATTTCCCCTATACCAGCGTGAGTCAACAACGTGCAGGTAATGAAGATATTTACGTACACCCCATGTTCCGCATTGCAATCGAGAACTTCTTCCAGCTCCAGCGATATTTGCCCCCATTTACTTTCGCCATAACGTTCTTGAGCTCCTGGAGTCTGGCTTTCGCCTTTTCCCCCATGTAGTGTTGCGCAACTTTGTGCCAGTACTCCTCTGGCACCTTCCGCTCGGCGCAGCCAGCTTTAATCTGATGCAAAAAGTCATCAACGGGCATGTCCTTCGTCGTCTCGCCGTGGAATCTTGGAGGGTTCTCCCAAGACTCGTAGATGGGCTCCAAATTGAAGTCCTTGATTTTGAATGCGTCCAGCATAGTATCTAAGGATAGTGAACGATGAAAATGTGAGGCGGTTGGGTTGGGTATGAAGTTTCGGAAATCGGGCGCTCCGGGTATTTATGCAGTGAGCCTCGTGTTGACGGTATGGTTGATATCCATCGGGGTACAAAATAAACGTGCATTGCTAGTGTCTTTTGTAGTCAAATGACTAAAATTTGATATGACCGATCTGATCTGATGTTCCAAGGTGAATTGGAGTTCTGTATTGATCTAGAACAAACGGGATATACGGCGTGGTGAGACATGAGGCTAATGCTGCTGCTTCGGTTGCCGAGTGAATGAATGCTCCATTACGCAGAAGAAGAATGGTGGCCGCCTGTTTGAGATAATCGCTTGTCGGGCGTAATGAAGGTGGAGGTGGCACATCTATGTTGAGATGGGCCAGTCGCATATATATTGCGGTAGAGTTCGGGCCAATTTCGAGTGCAACATCCTCGAGGTCAATGTAGAAATTTGAGGAATGCCAAGGACCCGAGATCGAGCCCGGAAATAGATCAAGATAGGTGCTGATTGAAGAGACAGCCCTGCGCCAGCGCAGTATACGGAGGGAGTGTTATGACAGAAGCGAATTCGGAAAACGTTCTCCTGTTTGTTTGCTGCACAGGGTTCGGCAGCTATGGGGAAATGAATGAGGAGCTTGCGGATGGGCGACGTACACGGCACCGTGACAAAGCACTTTGGTCGGTAGCCTGAGTACGCCACGTTACCACCGGTCACCGCTCAATTGCCGCATGGGTGTTTAACGACTATCGTTCATCTTGTACCTCGCGAAGTGTGACTCCGTCTTCGAATATCGAGCGCTCTTATTTGATCCCTTTGACGTCATGTAGAACGCAAGCGAAATGACTGGATCCTTGAAAAATATATTTAGAGAATCCATCAGGGGACGCGGGGTATACTTATTTCAGGTTTAGTGATGTAGCGTTTTGTCGAGACAAGCGGCGCCCACGATCAGTTGCTTACTCGAGTGGAATTTGCGCAGCAGGCTGAGGGTCCCGCACCGACATGGCCTAGTGATGCCGTCGATTCCAGCCTCGGAGAACGATGGTTAACCACCAGCTCATATGACTGTAGAACATTACCGGGCCAAAGTTTCGAAATGACTAAACGGGAGGTTCTTAAAGATCGCTTACAGAGTGTGACCAAGCTGATGACTTGAATGACGATGGATGTGGAGGCGTACTTATGTAAGTGCAAGAGAGATGAGGTAAACGAGGTCCGGACAATGTTGCGCTTAGAAATGAATCCCAGGAGGTAGAGATTTGGGGCGGATCCTGGAATGCCCGACTTGCTCCACATAATACAGATTCTATCCTCGAGATGTCGCGAACTGGAAATTACTTCGATCTGGAGGGGAGGTTTTCCCTGATGAACCTGTCAATACAGCTGCGGAGTTTCAGTCAATGTCGTCAGCTGGACATGCTTGGAACATGCTAGAAGAAAACGATAACAGGTCACTCACTCAGGCGTGCCCGTGAGCACATTCCACATATTACACAATCCGATGTGAAAGTCAAAAGTGTGCTGGGATGTCACAAGCCAGAAATTCATACTACATCATCATCGTGTCGCGCGTACCCGGAAGAAACTATACATATAATATCCAATCATTATAATGTTTCGCTCTGGCACTTCATCTGAATTGTGACAAGCATAAAGCCCACGAGTGATACACAACTTAACTTGAATTCTGGAGATTTGAAAGTCCGTTGGCGTCAATGATCGCGTGTACGAAGGAGTGTACCTTGCCAAGTGAGTCAATGTTCTGGACGTCGCTCCGAAGCACCCTATCGCAACCCTATCGAGGCAACTTCACCCTTCAGTTGGCACCCCAAAGTTCATCTTTGGGTGCTTCGCAATAGAAGTCCAGAATATACGCATGGTCTTCAAAGTCCTTCCGACTTCCAATGAAAACACTATCACATGGGACGAGTGTGACCACCTTGAAACTCACGAGAAGAAGTCAACAACCACCTTCATTATGCATATGAAGCCCATCTGACAACAAAGATGGAGTGTTGCTATAAGCGCAGTCCGGTTGAACGCACCGTCAAGATCCTTCAGATTCTCCACCTTCCGGCTATGATTTCTTCAGTCCGAATGTTGATCAGTGTCATGTGATTCAGCTACGACGTTGGAGATAAGGTTCAGGTGTTCAAGTTGTCGAGGTATTGTTATCCTCTCTTCGAGAAAACTTTAACTTCAAAGCTTTTTATAGGGATGGTACATCACGATGTAACCACCCTCAACCGCGGGGTACATAGAAAGCTCTGATCAAGAACAGACTCATTGAGTCAACCGGTACTTGTGTTAATAGATGAAAGAATCATCACTTGCCGTATAAGTAGCACTGGTCGAAGATCCAGGGACATTGAATGGTTAGCATTTGAGAAGAGCGTACATGGATGCTTATTGAGAATTGGTAATGTGTTTGATTTTATGACTTCCACTCACACGTCACTTGGCGGCGAATATACCGCCATGGTGAATTCGATATCATCAATGTGGCACGAGCTGTGAACGCAAGCCCGTAATCATGACGAACAAATGTACCGTGACGTGGCTCGTCGAAGTACGAAGAATTGGGGGCGGTACCAGGTTCGTGGCGTTTGTCTTCAACTCCGGGCTATCGTTAAACATAAGGTCACCCTGATCGACAGCTTCTTTGTTGGCATCTTTCAGTCCACCAGTGAGAAAAATACCTCCGTGGAAACATTCCAGTGGACGCCAGCAAGACAAGCTTGAACTTCTGAAGCACTTTCACAGACGATTCCGAATGGAATAGTTTGGCGTATGTCCATATGGGTTGTGCTGGAACTGCAGCGACGCTGGCGCGTCATGTTGCAAGATCAGGATTCAGGGAGCTGACTTTCAGCCCGACCTTGATTTAATTTAAAATATTGCAGTGCACTGTGCACGGTCCTTTGGTTGGCGTTACCAGGCACAATCTTCTTACGTAATACAACAATATCTTGTTGAGAAGAAGACCCGGTGTTGTCTCTTGTTCGCTCGAGATACCGGTTGAACCGGCTCATTGAATTGTACATGTAACCAGCCAAGTATGTGTCGCTAAAATATGTTTCATTATCACGTTCGGAAAGGGCGATCAGCTCGGAATTTGCTATGTACTACTGATTTATCGCTTTCGTGTACAGCAGGGTCCGTGCGCAATTTATGCCCAGGAAACACGTCGAATCGTTGGCGCAAGGGTCGCATCTACAGGTCATTTGACATATCATAGTGCCTGACCTTCGTCATTTGAGGCAGCCTCGTATCAGCAACTCCGTCCCTGCGAAGATCAGTGCGAATTCCGTACCAAGCTCCAACCCAAGGCGCCTTGTTTTCCAATGACGCCACTTGTCACCCTGAACCTCATTCTGACGGGCCGCTATCTCACCTCGAGTGAATATCTGCGTTGAGATTGTTGCAGCTACGCCACCTTTCAGCTCAGCATCAAGCTTCAAACCTTACGGCCGCTCCGCATAACCAGGGGCTACTGAGTGCCTGATTTCGTCACTTCTCGTTCTCCCGGGCCTATACTGGACTCAATTACCTTTGCATGCTCCGCAAATCCCAGTCCCCAAGCCTAGCCGGTCTAGGGAACTCTGTCAATTGCCATGCCATCCCTGCCAATTCAAACTATTATCGTCGAGGATTTTCGGTGCTTCCTGATGACGAAGAGCATGTGCAATCTAAGATTGTTGTGAAGCTATAATTGTGTCGGTTTGTAGCAGGATTCAGCGTATAACCGGTCCAGTCGTCGTCGGGTAAAAATACCGGGTACTAGGCAGAGTTTCTAGACAGATCCAGGGCTCTCCAGGATGTCCGGGAGCAGCAGCTTTGCGATTTCCCGAAAAGTCTAGTCAACACCAGATATTATCATTACGAACGTGAATCCTTATATATATTGGAATCACAATCGCTCCAACGTGAAATTGCGATGCTCTATGTAATAATATTGGTAGCGATATCTACGGGGAATGGCAAAATCAGCGCATCCGTTAACCTGCCACTGAATGGCAAAAATCGCGCAGTTTATACTGCGTGCACAGGAAAAAATAAAATAAACTTTGAGAAACCTTTCCACAAGAGCGCTTGGGATAAAAGAGCGCGTGCGACAATCAAGATCTGGTGAGTCCCAGCCGCGGAGGTCGCTTGCACACGATGAGAGTTTCTTCTCGAAAATCGTCTGAGCATGAGAGAACGCCAGGCTATGGAATTCAGATAGGGTGCGTCGCTTCCTGGGGATGTATCCGGGATGGTTTACTTACCCACCCTCCATATAGCTATCGGACTCTATCCATTCGCGTGGAAGAGAAGGACCTCCCTTCAAAGGCTAAACAATCCACAGATCCGGCAGATGCCATAGCTAGCATTGACGTCCATCTCATCAGCACAGATGAGGTGTACACTCGTTACTCTTGCCATCCTACAGTTGGCCTTGAGGAGGCAGCAGTTCAACGAAGGATCAAGGATGGCAAGAATGTCATCAGCCCACCCCCGACTCAACACTGGAAGAAGATCCTTAACTACATCTTCGGAGGCTTCAATTTCCTCATGTGGATCGCGTTTATCGTCACGATAGTACGCGTTCATGAGTTTTATCTTGGCCAGTGCTTCACATTTTTATCAGCTCTCGTATAAGCCTCTGGGAGGGAGTAGCCCTTCCGTTGTCAACCTCGGTGTCGCAGTTCTGCTGGTGCGTTTGGGTCCATGTCATGTTTCAGTTCATTTACGCTCCTTAGATGCTCGTCATCATCATCTCAGCCACGTTCTACGCCTTTGTGGACTGGAATGCCAGCCGAATCATGAAATCCATAAAGTCTCTTATTGCGCATGAAGCTGCTGTAATCCGTGATGGCAAGCAACAGCTCATTCTTGCTACGGACATCGTCGTCGGAGACATTGTGGTTCTCAGTACCGGTGATCGAATTCCTGCGGACCTAAGGATCGTGGCGGCTTCGTCTGACTTGCGCTTTGACCGTTCGCTGCTTACTGGAGAAAGGTGATTACATTCTAATCATATAAAAGTTAGCCTCATAGTTTGCCAGTGATATGGTCCCGGGATCTCTCGATGCTACATCTGACAATGCCCTGGAAACGCGCAATCTTGCACTGACCTCGACCTTTGTGACACAGGGTACCTGTAATGGTATCGTGTTCGCCACTGGTGACAGGACCATCATGGGACGCCTCGTTAAAATGTCTGGCGACACAAAATTCAAGCTTACAACCATCCAGAAAGAGGTTTGGTTTTTCACCAAAGTCATCTCCTCAGTCGCCTTCTCGATGTTTGGTATATCCTTACTGCTCTTTGGCGTGTGGTTGAGGACGAGCTATCCTGGGTATGATACCATCAGCTCAGCAATCATGAACTCGATTGGTTGCCTTACGGCGTTCGTGCCTCAGGTACATGATCTAACTTGTTATTCTTAATAGCCTCTCTGACATCATTTACATGAAGGGACTACCTCTCTGTGTCGCCCTTTCGTTGACTATCATTGCCCGTCGCATGTCGAAGCGGCATGTTCTTGTCAAGAATCTCGCAACGATTGAAACGCTTGGATGCATGTCCGTCTTGTGTTCAGACAAAACTGGTACTTTGACTGCCGGCAAGATGGTTCGTTTCTACATACCTGCAGGCGGCTTGTTTTCTTGACTAACATTTTTCAGGTGGTCGAATCAATCGCCTTTTTGGATCACACTTTTTTGGTCAGTGAAATCGACGAGAAGGTTTCCGAAGCACCAGAACCTAGATTCTTTGCTGGCTTGAGCGCTTTGCACCAGACCGCACGGCTGTGTAATGGTGCAAAGTTCGACTCTACAACTGCTAACCGGCCCATTCACGAGCGAACCGTCAAAGGAGATCCCACTGATACGGCCTTACTTCGCTTTTCCGAGGCTCTGTCTATCCCAGCCTTGAATATTGATACGTCAGCGCTGCTATCGTCTTGGAGAAAGCTCTTCGAAATTCCTTTCAATTCGAAAAATAAGTGGATGCTCAGCGTCGTCCAGGAGACTAGAACGACTAAAGGAGATATTACTGAGAAGGATTCAACAGCATGGATGCTCGTAAAAGGCGCCCCAGACATGCTGGTAAAATCCTGCACCACAGTGATGAGGTCCGATGGCGCCGTTGTCCCGTTCGATGAAGCGTCAAGGCAGTACATTGACAATCTCCAAAGCGATTGGTCGAGTGAAGGGCAGAGAGTACTTGCCCTGTGCGCGTTGTATGCTTGTGTGAGGATAATTTACTGATACTCGTTCAGGTGTCGCAAGCCATTGGAGGCCTTGAAACCGAATCTTTCACCAAATGACATGGAGGAATTGATGTACTCGGAGATAGGCAATCTCACTTTGGTCGGACTGGTTGGTATCCGCGATCCGCCCCGTCCGGACGTGCCCTCAAGTGTGGCCGTTATCCGTCGTGCTGGTGTCAGGGTTTTCATGGTGACCGGAGACTTCAAGCTCACTGCTGTTGCAATCGCCCGCCAGGTGAGTTGGATCGAGCGGCTGCCTCCTGGTACTTGGGATTAACTTGATTATAGGTCGGCATCATTACGCAGCACTCCGTAGATACCATCGATGACGTCAGGGCCGCATCGTCCGAAAAGAACTTCACCGATGTATCAATACGCTCTATTAAACCTTCCGAAGACGACCCCATTCGTGCATTGGTACTCACAGGAGAGGATGTCAGCACTCTTACCACCGTTGACTGGCACGTAATCGTCGGGCAATACACTGAAATTGCGTTTGCCCGCACCACGCCTGAACAAAAGATGAAGATCGTCGAGGAAATCAAGGCTCGCGGTGACAATACTGTGGCTGTGACTGGTGACGGTGTCAACGATGCACCCGCTCTCAAAGCCGCTGATATTGGTGTCGCGATGGGGAGCGGCAGCGATGTGGCGAAAGAAGCTGGTAAGGTCGTGACATCTTGTTCAAGATGACAATTAACCCTCGAACCCTCTCAGCTGCACTGATCTTGTTAAACAATGACTTTGCGTCTATCCCAGTGGCCATCGAGATGGGTCGCCTGGTATTCGATAACCTCAAGAAAGTGACGCTTTACCTCATGCCTGTAAGTCAATGCATCATCAAAAACAAGATACTTGCTTACCCAACTCAAGGTTGGAAGTTACACGGAGTTCATGGCAGTAGTCACGAACGTTGTCTTTGGAATGCAACTTCCTTTGAGTTCCTATCTACAAGTTTGTTTCTCCATCACAAACGACGTGGTCATGTCAATCTCCTTGATGTACGAGAAAGCTGAAGCAGGTAAGTTTTTCATTTTTCACACTTTTTGCCATTCCTTAGTGCGCGACAGATCTCATGCTGCGGAAGCCTCGCAATGCTCGAACCGACCGCCTTACAGATTGGAAATTGTTCTTCCAGATTTACTGTGTAAGTTATTCCGCACCAAGTGATGCTTGGAGCTCACGAGTCACTTATTACTAGTTCCTTGGACTCATGGCCTGGCCGTGCGCGATGAGCATGTGGTTTGTATACATGGATCAGCAAGGCCTCGGATTCCACGATGTTTTCTTAGCCTACAACAACTGGACCGGTGGCTATCGCGGCTTCACATCGGATCAGCTCGCTCAATTTGTTAATACTGGGCAGTGCATTTAGTGAGTTGTGATATCGCCAGCTCCCAAGGCTTGTACTTATTCTTCATAAGCTACGTGACAATGGTCTTCATGCAATACGGAAATCTCCTCGCCATCCGAAACCGCAGGGTTTCCTTGCTCCAGTCCAATCCTCTATGGGGTCCTCGCAAGAATATCGCAGTTCCGATTGGCATGGTCGCGACTGCCTTGATTGCGGTAACCAATCTGTACGGACCAGGCTTACAGAGGGTCTTCCTGACGACCCCTATACCTGGGATGTTCTGGGGTCCTCCGTTCGCCTTTGGCTTGGGGATTCTCTGCGTGGACGAAGTCCGCAAGCTGATTGTGAGGACCTATCCGAAGGCAAGTGCCAACTCTCTTCCTATTTTCTTAATCCTGATGGTAAATTAAAGTCGATCGTTGCCAAAATGGCTTGGTAAAACCTTCGGTATCACTTTGATCGTTACTACATGTCTGTCACCGAGTGTATGATTGGCATTTGTGCCAATGCCGCTGTCTAAATCAAACGGTTGCCACACCCCCAATACCCGTCTGTTAGCCGACAGTATATAATAGAAATGATCGTACCGTCGCCAATATATATTACGTAGAAGGTAACAATATTATACGGTGAATAAATATGTATTTAAATTGTTGTACAATTCCCTAGCTGGACTCCAACAGTCCATTGAATGATATCATTATGTACTAACCCTGCTTGCAGTTATGAACGGCCGTCGGTGCATTTCCCTCGAGCACCTCAACTTCGTTAACGTTATGAACTTCTTCAGTCCTTTTCAACTCCTTGAGAGCTGCAAATTCAGCAGCAATATCATCAGGCGAGATACTCTCTGGACCAGCAAGCAAGTCATTTGCATCGCGAGGTTCGGTCGAGAGTGGAGGTGCCCACGCGAAGGATGCTTCAAGATCCTGTGCAGTCTCGACAGCAATGCCAACCTCTTCACGAGTGTGCATGTGAGCATGTCGACGGTGGGTGGGCTTCCCAGTCTCCGCGACTTTCACGGCGCTGTGGTGTCGAAGGTTTGCACGAATTTTGCCGAGTGTTTCAAATGTGTCAACTGAGAGATTACACCGTCGCGCGGATTGTGTTGTGCCGAGATCAGAGAATGTGCGCTCTACTTCGCCTGCATGCCCTACAATTGAGAGGATTAATATTGTCACAGAAAAGGCCTTGAGTGGGTGGATTTCGGAATTGATTGGAAGGTTTTTCCACCAAGGAAGGCCGTCCGCTTGGCCGCCAGCGAATGGAGCTAGTGACTGATTGTAAGCCTGCAGGTCATCCGAGAGTTTTTTCGCCATCATTATGCGGTTTTCATGTTCTCTTGAATTCAAACTTTGTTATCAGAGATCTAAATTATATCTCCGCGAGTCTCGGATACCCTGGAGTTCTGCCAGGTTCTACCACCCCCTTTCGCGTGAGTTCTGCCCAGGACCAGGCACAAGCGGTTTTGCCAGACCGGTTGGCAAAACTGCCGAGTTCTGCCAACAACACTAGGTCACACACTCACATAAGGCTGGCCATGGAAAAGGAATCGGAGGTTTTACTGATGCCGGTTTAATGGTGCCACACAGGACCCAGGTGCAGAGCCTCAAGCAGCCCAAATGTGGCAGAACAATACTAGTGCAGACAGGTATGCGCAAAGGCGGTGAACTTCAACTTAAGAATAACTAGAAACTGAACGGTGGTTCAACTGAGGTCTTTGCCACTCCAGGATTACCTGTAGATAAGTGATATTACTTAAAAGTGAGTCGTCAGTTGAACACCACATCAGTTAACTTTTCTACCCTTGAGCAGAGTGATGCCACTACCACTCCGCTTACAACGTATAATAGAACGAAACCCAATTTTGATACGTTATGGGCCGGCGGCAACCTTGACGATCATCTTTATCTTGTTCACAATGACCTCTGTCGTTCTCACAGAGGTTTATTTGAGCTCAAACTTCAAAACCCAAGTAAACATGGATAATGCTACGTTGAGTGGCTTCAAAGTCAGTGGATCCCCCGGTGTAAGCCCCGTATCCATAATATTTAGATTCATGCTTACTACTAACACACAGCTTGTATTGTGAACATCCCTTTCTTGTTATCTATAGTCGAAATCTGACATATTTTAGGCTCGCCGACATGTTCTCAATCGACCTCGATGGGCAGACATTTTCTGTGAGTATCGTCTTGACATCTGTACATTCTTGTCTGAGGGTTTTCAGGTTCACTGGTCTCTTGTTGGCGCCTGTGGACATCAGTATACAGGCTCATCAAACGATATTTGTATTCAAAATCAATTCGTCAATAATGTCGCCCTGTATCTGAACGGGTAAGCGAACTTTCGCCTTTGAAATCTGACCTTATATTGCCCATTAGAAATGCCAGTGTAGATTGGAACCTAACAACCCCGATAGGCACGTTTGATCCGTTAATGGTTCAAAATCCTCCACCAGTGACATACATACCCGGAAGAAAGTGAGCTTTAGTCCATATCTATGCCGGGCATTGATTCGAGCATCTTCGAGATAATTGCCAGTACAAGAATATGACACGATTTTGCCCACTGATCCATATCTTCCGTATACGCTACAGAAGCAAGCATCGACTCTTTACTACCCATTTGATGTGTAAGGGCATCACTTCATTCCTCCTTCAATATTAGTATCATTGACTTCCTGCAGGTACTTTGCATATATATCGCTATTAGCCATTGACACTGACAGCAATCAATCACTGCCGATATCTGGCGTAATTGGATATGGAAGTGTGATAGATTGGAATGGTTCCAGTGCATTTTACCCGACTACAGTAGGGAACGAGACGTTGTACGCACTGGCCCTAACTCTCCGACGACAACGCATGGTCAAGGCGTTCGCCATCCTACTGGTTGTCACAAACTGTGAGAGTTACTACCTAGCATACATGGTCTGGCTTGTTCTCATCGGATTATAGGGGTTCTCTCTGTTACCGTTTTATGGATGACAGTCCTGGTGCTGTTCCGTGCGCACGTTGACGACAACCTCATCTTGATCTCGACAGCAGGTGTGCGAGCCGCAGAGGATTGATAGATGCGCCACTGACAGGTTTGTAGTACTTTTTGCACTTCCACAGATCAGGGCCACTATGCCGGATTCTCCGCCATTTGGTAAGTGCCAGCAGCCTTGCACATGAATTTTATCATCCTAACTAAGATCAATAAGGCGCTTTCATCGGTACCTCGAGAACAATGCTATTTGGGGACTGCAACTGACGTATGATCCTAGATATTGCAGGATATTTTATGAATGTCTGTCTCGTCAGCATCTGTGTAAGTCTACATGCACAAAGTGCTTTTGCGATGATTCTCACCCCCTCTGTAGACTTCAATTCTCCTCTTCTCGCAATTACAGTACCATTATCAGCCAGTAGTCAAAACACCGGTCGAGTTCACGCGATCACAGGAAAGTACTTTTCTTATTGAATGAACGGCTCTATGGGTGCATATTTACGTCACATCGTCAACAACCACTGCGCTGTCCACGAGTTGCAACACACTAGCATTGATTTCCCCATGTCGGGCCGTAACACCCCTCCACATATACCATCGGGCGATATTTAAATGATCACTTCATGATGTCCTTACAACATCGCTTGAAAGCTCACAGCAGCTGCCGAGTCTGCGACCATCTCGAGTTCAAATTTACGTGCCTCACTGACCCTGTCAACCACAAGCCACATCACCAATAACGCATGCAAACTGGACAAGGGACGAAAAACCTCAGTTGGGGCATCGAAGAATTTGTTCAGCGGCGTGGTGTCTCGACTCAAGTTCCGAATGCGAAGTGTATCCAGCAAACCCTTAGCAGCTCAATTTCAAGTATAAGCCCGAGGCCCATCGTGCCATCATTGCGATGCGCTGTGCTGTCAACAAGAAGGAGCGACGAGATTGTTATTGACCCAGACTAAGCTTAATACATAGTACTTTGTTTCACATGTACTCACCCGGTGACCTGCACCACCTGCTACTTGACCCACGGCTTGACCCGCACCCGCGATGCTCTGGCCCGGGTGGGTGCGGGTAGGCCTCTGAAAGTTTCAGTACCCGCGGCTCAAGTGTGGGTATGACCCGGGTCGGCATCCTCGTCCACACAGCCATGATCCTGAGCAACTTCACAACAAACGATCATGCTATCTTCGCTGCTTGACACAACACCCACGGTAAAAATGCGCCACAATTCACTGATCTTGTCCCATCAAAAACAAGACTATGCCAAGACACAACAGCAACCTATTTCAACAATTGCTCCGAACTGGCTATAATTGAGCACTGCATTTAGACATGGCAACATGTGCATGTCGGTTTCGAAATATCGTCAATATACTGATAGCTTTGAGTTGTACATAAAATTCAGGTACCCGAGGCGGTGATGCTTCATTGTAGGTACTCAAAGTGACTGTCTGTAATCAGAGCGCGATTATCGGCTGCTATCAACATGACCTTCATGTATTCCATCAATTCATCCGTTGATTCAAAGCCAGCACTGATCTCCCTACATGCAGCACGGGCGATCCCCGACTCCCATGTTAGTGGAGGAGGGCTTAGTCGAACACAAAATCACCCTCTCTGTATATTTCTCTGCACCCGACTTGATCACCAGATTTCCCGGGAGTCTCCGTGTGTCTGTCTATGCCACCCACCCTCGGGCCTCATCTCAGCCCCTGCTTTTCTGAAATAAGGGGAATTTAATCATCTATGACAGGGCCTATTAGCGCGTGACAGCGGACGAGGTTTCACGTTTGAATGTTAAAAACTTAGAACACACTCGATAGATGGGGGGGAGGTCACCCAATTTGTGTGAACTTCGCCGGGGACAACCAATGGAGCCGAGTGCCAGTTCATCATTCACAGTGCTCACCTCTTTCCGGATGCTGCTGGGGCCACTCAGGAACCTGTTCCTGAGTTCTCGATCGAAGACTTTGAGAGTATGTCGCTCCTGTCTTTTGCGACAGTTGCCTATTCATCGATGATAACCTTAGACACGGACGTGAAATTCACTGTAGGTAAGGGCAATAGCAGTCAGCATTCCTGCATGCCTCACTGTTGCTCGGCGCAGGCATGATCAAAGAGCGGTTCTCGCCCAAGAAGAAGGCATCTAATGGGCCTGTGCGAGGTGAGTAGCAGTTTTGATGGGTGAATGCCTTTCAACATGCGACAGGCACCACGGACTGGACGCTGAAAGATATGCTGGACCCCAAGGCCTTTATCAGTCTGCCATTCAGCTCTATGGAATTGAAGACGTACCAGTCATCGTTCCCAACGTTCGCGACGCTACGGGGGTGCTCATCCACCCATCCGAATACAGCCAGAAGATCACTGCACCTTTGCCTGTCATGGTGGATGTTAACTTACGACTGTGAGTGTGTGCTAGTGCGAAGGTCCGAGGTCTTGCCTACCCGAATACAGCTGGACTTTTGGTCCTGACGAGAAGCGTCTGAACAGCTCTCGAGTTTGCCAGACGGGATTGAGGTCCTTGAGGCTGCTGCCCACAACCGGGGTTGCCTAGGGCTCTTCAACAAACTCGCGACCAAGGCAACTGACGCCAAAGGGAAGCGCAAGGCTGATGGACCGGTAGGACAAGCTTCGCCTGCGAGAGGCGCTGGCCAGAGTAAGGCTGCCTAAGGCAGCAGGTTTTGATCGATCTAATCCCTTGCTTGGAATTTTCATGCACGGCCTTTCCACCTGTTTGAATTTGCGTGTATTGTGTATCTGGTGGGACACTTCATCTTCGTTTGTTGCGTCTGCCAGGGCAAGCTCTGGTGTTGGCCTTCAGTTTGAAGTTACTTGTCTCAGTTCTTGCGTGGGTGTTCAGCAGTTGCACTACGATAACCTACGTACTCAACGAGTCGATCGTTTGTACGGTACTATACCCGGTGTATTGCTTGAACCTCAATGATTTTGGCCTTGACCCGAATTCATGCGTGATGCAGCAGCATGCTGTCCCACAAAAGGAGTCGGGGTTTGGGGCGCGTAGTCGCCGGTACCCACGGGGTAGCATCACAGCACCCAAGCTCCTCAACTTGATTTCATGAACCAGCCGCGGCTGCGGCTCTTGCCGAGGCCTCTTCTTGGTCCATTCTGAGTTTCTCGACGTAGATGAATGTCATGATGATGGTATCCATCATATGAGCCACTTCAGGTGATACTTCCAGCATGGCTTCACGTTTCCTTCCTATGATTCCGAGAGTTGCTCTATGAGAGCGAGCGACCTCCGTTCGAGACGCATCGTCCCGTGAGAGCTAAAATCCGACTCCTCATGTGAGAAACAGAGCATCTGCATTAATAGAGTGGAAGTATACTCACAACTACCACGCTGGACTTGAGGTCCCAGCGATAGGGACGGCTATCTGCTCCTATGAAGACGCGCTTCCTGCCAGAATTTTATTATGACGGTCCAGGTTTCCTAAGACGCTATGTACTCACTGACCCAATAGGCCTCTCTTCGGAATGAACTTCTTCGTCTCTACTTCAGTTCCACCATAACGAAATTTTGAGGAAGCAAAGTCGTGCCACTCGATCTCTCCCAAGACATCGAACTGGTCTTGCATATGATGCTGGTCGTCATTTGGCTTGATTTTCCAAATAGTCGTAGTACGGACGCCAAGTAGCCGGAACGGAGTCTCTGTTTTGTAAATAACCTACCCTTGCTCGTTGGTGATAATGGTATTGCGAACGTGTTCAGCGGAGAGGGTGAGAAAAATCATTGTGGGTATCTATGACTGCGGCACTGTTGAACGTTGAGTGCTTCACGCGCTGCATTTAAAGTGGATGTGCATTGAGTGGCTGTTGTGTGGCTGTTTGAATTTAGTCGAGTCTAATTGGACGAGCGTGCTCTTTAGCAGACTCGTCGGGTCTTCCCGTATCGCCTCTGCGGAGTGCTGTCCCTTTGCTACCTGTGGCTGATGGGCCCAGTGCGTCGCGTAGCATGACGAATGTGTCACCTCCTGTAGTGGAGTTAATGGTCTATGTCTAGCGAGAGTCTCGAGACTCGGCGAGAACGGTCCCTTTGCCTCTTCTCACTCAAACCACTCGTCTCGCTAGGTACGCCGTCTCAGGCTATTGTCGATTCTCACTCGAACCGCTCGTCTCGATAGCACATTTATTTGCTCACCCACCTTCTTTATGTACCATCCCGTTGTACGATATGTACTTGGACCGAGTTTGGAGCTGTCTGGTCTCCCAATCCATGGGATCCCCCCGCCCTCGCGGTGGGGTCCTTTTTTACTGGCTGGTTCCTCGTCGTCTGCGTCCCTACGAGACCTGAGCAAGGACAATCAGACATCTCAACCCAGCCGCGAAAGCCCCAGACTGGCCATAGGCTGTAGAATTTGGCCCTGGAGTCTACGTGGACGGTGGAATAGCCCGAGAGTGGCCAGATCCCTGACTTTCACCTAGTCGGGTAGTCACTGGTCACTCCTGCTCATTCTGACTACAGCAGACACTTTTTCATGTAGATACTCAACGAATACATTTTTACACCACCTCTGGACTGCAAATTTCAAATCCCGGACTGCAGACCTTACCCAAAGGACCGACAATCATTCACACATAAAATTCGAAGGCGGAGTCGGGAACTGGCGCGTCAGCGGCGCTGTGTGTTTAGCATCAGATACATATTATCAAAACACTCGCCAAACAACAACTAACGCAGAAGTCTTTTGCGACAATCTTCAACTGCAGTAAGACCGGTGCTCTGTACTAGTAAGCCATATAGGGAACACGACCGATTTAATGCATTGAGATTGTCGGAAAACACTGGAGCGAACACCGAACTCGTGGCAACCTAAGAAAACACCTCTGAGAAAAGACTCGGCACACGTTCTGCAGCTCAGAGCATCCCCACGTTGGGACGTAGATTGAAATCCACCTCCAAAACCACTGGAGGCCCGAGGGACAGAATGTTCGCGAACATTGGATACAATTCAAGAAGGCTCTGAAGGAGATGAGCAGAAGACATATCAAACGAGAAATGAATACTTACCCCTGCGCACTGGCGACAAGCGGTGGGGAATATGAACGACTTGATTGTCGCCGCGAACAACTTCAAGGCTCACGTCATGCACTGATTTAATGCATACCGATGACAACATCGTGCGAGATCCTGTGGACCACTTCAAATTCCACGTCGATGGTGAGAAAGTGATTCTCATAAGAATGCGGCAGCCAGGCCCTCAACAAATCGTTGACGAGGCTGCGAATGACTGATGGAACGTCCGACATCAGAAGACATGAGGGCGTGAGGAATATTGAGATCAAATGAGGCGCTAACAGGAAGGAGCCCGACATTAATGAAGGCCAACATGAGGGACACAACGATACGAAGATAGGTAACACCAGATTGCGGGACACTGAGGGATGAGGGGGACAAACGCCACACAATACGAATGATTTTGAAATCGCCAGCCTAGAACGATCATAGTTGCCTGATCACACAGATTGAGTCAAAAGCAAGTAATTGCACAGGATCTCGAAATCTACATAACAAGCTACAAGACCCACTAACGGCTCCTAAGCGTAGCGGGAAAAAAAAAGGCAATCGGTTCATGCGCATACAAAAATACCAGTGCCGGCCTGAACCTTGACAGAGCCCTCTCCATTTCGTGGAGTCAGGTATCTTTTAATTGATGCGCGGAAGCCATGGCTTTAGCGGCTGCAGAGCTCAATTCTTAGATCCAGCTGCAGCTGGACATTAGCTCTAATCAAACGAGTCCCACGAGTACATCCCTTCCTAGGTTATAGCTATGCGCACATGCTCTATGTTGGCTCATGGTCGTCTTCGAACGAACTAATAATATAGATAAAGTCCCCAGTCACAATTGATATGAGTACCAATCTTCCCTTTCCCACCGTTTTTATAAATGACGGATGTACTTATATTTAGTGAGATCCTAACACGGTTCATCCTTTGGTCATCCAAGCATGTAGTGTCGGAAGACCTTGAGCTTGCTTGCCCCTACTAGTAAACACCGTTTCATGTTTCAGGTAGAGGCTGGTAGAGGGTCGTGATTCTGACGTTGCCTTCTTCTCCAAATGGGAATATTGTCGAGATAAAGTAACAGATTGATCTGAGATTGATCTCGGTCGTAAAATTCTGAAACCCGGGACATGCCATAGGAACTTTACCATGTACAGGTCTGTACAGGTGCCGGGCGATGTAGCCTGTCGGTGTATCCTGGCACTACACGTCCAGCTGAGCGGATCCAGGCGGATCCGCGTTTCCTCTGGTTTTTCTAATCTTCGGATCACTGATGGGCGGCTGTCATATCGATGCAACCTTACATGGTGTATTTATGCCCACTGGGAGGTTCGAAGTCCTTGGACAGGAACAAACGAGATCTAGCCTTAGATATGTTAAGTTCGAGGAAGGGGGGAAGAGCTGCCTGGTTGTTGTTCAAACACCGCCTAACTTGGCTACTACCAGTACCTTGCCACAGGCTTGCAAGGCAGTGCGAATACTACACTACGTACGTGAATAGAAAGGACAAAGGAACAGCGTTGAGCGTCGTCGGTGCTCCCCAAATATGACCAATCACTGCGCTAACATTACCATGACAGCAGTCTGGAGCTCAACGTCGGACACCTGCAATTGCTCGGTCCGATAGGTCAGCCTGAAGGCACTGCCTGGGACGCTAGACGGTCCACACTGGGGGTAAGAACATCCAGTGTAACGGGGTTCCGCGGGTGAAGCTGAGGCACCCACATATATGGAAAGAGTGGCCCCCGCGCCATATCAGAAAACAGGCGTCAAGTGCGCAACGGCCTGCCGAAGACCTCGTGGGTCCGTCGTTGTGCCCGCTCGGAGGTGCATGGCAGATAGCTTGATAAGCCGAGCAGAGCGAAAGAAGATGATACGGTGATTGTACGTGCACTGAAGTGTGTAGTGCCCAGGTTGTCATGACCTCGAGCTTGCTCTGTTGACAAATACTGCCAAGATAAAAAGTCCAAACAAGGTAGAATCCGCGCACGGGTGACAAAGGTGTGAAGGGAAAGAAGAGTACAGACGAGAGTAGCAGCGTGCCGACCACGGAATACGCGCCAGGGTGACAAGAAGATCGCCAGGTGGCGAGAGTAAGTACTGTGGGGAAGGTCTGAGTTGGGGGAGGTTGTGACCGATGGGCCGCCAGTGGAACACGCACGAGGACACAGCGCTGCTATGCGTGGGTGGGTCAAGGGCGCACGCGCGCAACGTGGGCAAATATTGTAGGGGGCCGTTGCATGAGAGAATTTCTGTATTCATTAAAGCTTGTAGAGGGGCTGATCAGAAAGACGGACAGCCGAGAATTCAGGATAGTCAAATTACGTAACTGCCAGCGCCCTTGTCAAAGCCTGCCGAGATTTTCCCGTGTCACGTGACTGTTTGAAGACACCGGAGTGACGTGCACAGAGACGTGTTTTCTGCACCATTTTCGTGGCGAAAAATTCTGGATACGCTGTAGGAAACTTATAGTATACTGTGCCGTGCAGGGGATAATTTTTCCAGCTGCAAAATTCGAGTTTCTGAATTGCTGCAGAGGGAATGACGGCACAATGGACTCCAACTTCCAAGCATCACGACATGATTTCGTATACCTCCGAGACGCCGCATCCGGCGTTGGCTCCACGGCGAACCCCCCGTGTCCCAGAGACAGACTCGATTTTTTCGTCTTCATGGGACACGCTGCCTTTTCGGTAGCCGATCTGCTTACCTGAGACATTTGCACATATGTGCATTGCCCTGCGCCCATCATCGACGCTCACCTTCCCGCCGGCTTCCTCTCGCTCGTCGACACAGCGAGCGCGTGCTATCCGCAGGCACAGCTGCCGTATCCAGGGACAGGTTCCTCCCCGCAGCGACCCCGCTGTACTTTCCGTATCTCACGACAGGAAAGCTTATGTAAATGGTTGAGAGAAATGAAGAAGAAGATATTTTTACAATGTGGCCGGAACTTGCCGTCAGCCACAAGGCTCGGATGGGAAACACTTGTTTCCGCGTCGTTTTCGATGTGGAAACATTGTAGCTAGCCAGGTACCTACAGTACGTTGAACTCATCTCGCGCCTCGGCAGGCCTCGGCGCCGCCGCAAAAACACGTCTGGCGTGTCTACATATCCTGATTCACCATGCCGACAAAGTGCTTCTCTCGAGAAGCCCGTGCCCCACAGCTAGCCTGACACTTGATTGACCTCTGTGGGAAGTAGCCTGACCTGAAAATAAGGTCTGAACCGTTACAGGCGCCCGTAGGACCGTGTTTCCAGCGCGAGAAGTAACTTGGCCTGAAAATAAGGTCTGCTTCATTTAGATTTTCAACGTTAGATCACTAACATTGCCCGCGTGATATCTCGCACAGTCTCGGGTGTTCTGCCCGGCATGAATGGCAAAAACACCTCTAAGTAAAAGCTAAAAATTCTCACATCTGGCAAGGCACAGTCGATGCATTGCCCTGATGATAGTATTTGATAAATAACAGGAGGAAGCAAAGATCTTCAAGTAGGTTGCTTCGATGTCGGGCACAACACCCTCTCCTGAGCCCGGGACCGGGAAAAACTATGGCGTTCAAATCGCGTTCGTATTCTACTCGCATTACCTCCCGCGCGGTATATCGCTGACCTAACAACGAACAGTTACCGTACATTATCAGTTCGCGCCGAAGAGAAACAGAGCCGAACGACTTCCAAATCTCCGCCAGACCCAGCGGATGCAATTGCAAGCATAGATGCCCATCTACTGAGTGTCGACGAGGTATATACCCGGTATTCCAGCCATCCCACAGTCGGTTTGGAGTCTGCCGCTGTTCTTCGCAGGGAGAGTGATGGCAAGAATGTCATCAGTCCTCCACCTACCGTCTACTGGAAGAAAGCGCTTAATTATATTTTTGGTGGCTTCAATTTCCTGATGTGGATCGCGTTCATCGTGACTATCGTGAGTGCCGTTGTTCGCCTGTCATTGTGACTTTTCTAATATACATGTTAGCTCTCCTATGCACCACTCGGGCCTCCTGAAGCTTTCACTCTTGGTGTTGCTGTGCTGTTGGTTCGTGACTTTCCAACTCTAATGGTCAATTTCCCCCTTCTCATCAACTACAGCTCCTCGTCATCATTGTTTCTGCTACATTCTATGCTTTGGTCGATTGGAACGCGAGCAGAATCATGAAGTCGATAAAATCTCTAATTGCACATGAGGCTGCGGTCATTAGGAACGGAAAACAGCAAATAATCAAAGCTGCTGACATTGTAGTTGGTGATGTTGCTGTGCTCAATGCTGGCGACCGTGTCCCGGCCGACATGCGTGTCGTGCAGGCATCGTCCGACCTTCGCTTTGATCGCTCTCTCCTGACGGGTGAAAGGTTTATTCCTTGTCCTAGTTGCTGGAATTTGGCTAAAGTCCAATTGCAGCGAAATGGTACCGGGAGCTCTTGATGCAACATCCGAGAATGCTCTGGAGACTCGTAACCTTGCGCTGACTTCTACTTTTGTCGTGCAAGGGACTTGCCATGGTGTCGTGTTCGCCATAGGAGACAGGACTGTCATGGGACGCCTTGTCAAGATGTCGGGAGAAACAAAGTTCAAGCTTACCACTATCCAAAAAGAAGTGTGGTTTTTCACGAAAATCATTTCGTGTCTCGCACTCTTTTTCTTCAGTTTGTCAATTCTTCTATACGGCGTTTGGTTACGGACAACGTATCCTGGGTATGATGCCACCGCGTCTGTTGCCATCGTAAATTCAATTGGCTGCTTGACTGCTTTCGTTCCCCAGGTAAGTGGCAAGCAGTGAAAGTTTATATTCCCTTCTTAGTTGACATCTTACAGGGCCTCCCGATTTGCGTGGCACTCTCGTTGACTGTTGTTGCCCGTCGCATGGCTAAACGTCAAGTGTTGGTCAAGAACCTGGCGACCATCGAGACGTTAGGATGCATGTCTGTGTTATGTTCCGACAAGACAGGCACGTTGACTGAGGGAAAGATGGTAAGATGAACGATGGATTTGCTCTTACTAGCTCGCTGATGGACCCACAGATGGTAGAGAACATTGCCTTCCTCGATGACGTGTTTGGTGTCGAGGAAATTAACGAGAGGGTTACGAAGGCATCAGACCCTACCGTATTTTCTGCTTTCAAGGCACTCCATCAGATCGCCAGGCTTTGCAACGGCGCGAAATTCGACGCAACGACTAACCACCTTCCTGTGCGGGATCGTACGATCAAGGGTGATCCGACTGATACTGCTCTTTTGCGTTTCTCCGAGGCCCTTTCAATTCCGGAGCTTGGTGTGGATGCCAGTACTCTTCAGCAAGATTATGAGAAGAAGTTCGAGATCCCTTTCAATTCCCGCAACAAATGGATGCTTTCTGTGTTCTCCAAGGTCAACACTGCTGAAAAGAACGTAGAGTCGACATGGATTTTCGTCAAGGGAGCTCCTGATGTTTTGTTCCCTTCCTGCAGCAGTGTGCTACAGAGTGATGGGACGGTTATCAAGTTGTCAAGTAAGGCGAGGCAGACGCTTGCCACGCTTCAAGAGGATTGGTCAAGCCAAGGCCAACGAGTACTCATGCTGTGAGTATGAGCACTTTCGACTTAGCACTCTGACATCTAATATCGATTGCCTCGGCAATAGATGTAGGAAACCCATGGAAGAAATCAAGACTGGACTTCAACCGAACGACATGGAAGATCTCATGTACCAGGAGATGTGTGATTTAACATTGGTTGGTCTAGTTGGAATCCGCGATCCCCCTCGCCCGGATGTATTGCCGTCGATTGGCATCATTCGACGAGCTGGAGTTCGAGTATTTATGGTCACTGGTGATTTTAAGCTTACTGCTCTAGCTATCGCACGTCAGGTAGTTTTTCTTTATTTTCCGCCGCCATAAAATCCTTATTGACCCCCTTTTTCAGGTTGGTATCATTACCCAGCATGGTGTTGACAGCATCCAGGATGTCCAAGCCGCTGCATCTGAGAAGCTCTCGCCGAAAGATTATCATCTTATTAAGCCATCCGATGATGATCCTATCCGCTCCCTGGTACTTACAGGAGAAGACGTCGCATCTCTCACACCGTTTGATTGGAATGTCATCGTCGGGCAATACGCTGAGATTGTGTTTGCCCGCACCACGCCTGACCAAAAGATGAGGATCGTCCAGGAAATCAAGGCCCGCGGCGACAATACTGTGGCTGTGACTGGTGACGGTGTCAACGATGCACCCGCTCTCAAAGCCGCTGACATTGGTGTTGCGATGGGTAGTGGTAGTGATGTGGCCAAGGAAGCTGGTATGGATTTTCCTGATGATCTTTTCGATGTCATTAATACCATCACTCTCAAGCCGCCTTGATTTTGTTGAAGAATGACTTTGCTTCCATCCCTGTCGCGATAGAGATGGGTCGGCTGGTCTTTGATAACCTGAAGAAAGTCACATTGTACCTCATGCCTGTAAGCCGCATTTGCGGAAGCAGTATAATCTCAGCGGGTTTGATACTAATGGTGTTGTAGGCTGGAAGTTATTCGGAATTCATGGCGGTCCTCGCAAACGTATTACTAGGCATGCAGCTTCCCATGAACTCGTATCAACAAGTCTGCTATTGCATCACCAATGATGTTATCATGTCCATCTCGTTAATGTATGAACAGCCGGAGTGGGGTGGGTGCTCATGCATTCATGAGCTTTCCAGTGCTCACTTCCTGTTGTAGACTTGATGCGGCGCAAACCACGCAACGCCAGGACCGATAGGCTTACGGATTGGCGCCTTTTCTTCCATGTGTACTTGGTACGTTTCATGACCTGGGTGACCCAAACGTGCTCATGTATACTTCCTCAGTTCTATGGACTGATGCTGTGGCCCTGCGCGATGGGGATGTGGTTCTTATACATGAGCCAGCAGGGCCTCGGGTTCTATGACGTTATCTTGGCTTTCAACAATTGGGGATCAACCCTGCCTGCCACCGTAAACCCAACCGAGCTCGTCGATGTTGGTCAATCCATTTAGTGCGTCGTTATTCTTTCCTCTCGCAATGCTGATTCTAAGAGTCACTAGCTATGTGACGGTGGCCATCGGACAGTACGGGACTCTTCTATCGGTTCGCAACCGCCGAGTATCGATACTGCAATCAAATCCTTTATGGGGCCCGCGTCGCAACCTGTTGGTACTTGTCGGCATGACGGGCACCATATTGATTTGCATTGTGAACCTCTATGGAGCTGGCTTCCAGCGGGTGTTTAACATGAGGCCTATCCCTGGGATGTTCTGGGGTATTCCATATACCTTTGCTTTGGGGATCTTGCTCGTGGACGAAACTCGCAAAGCCATTGTGAGGAAATACCCGAAGGTATGTTTTGAGTTGCACGAGCGTACTGGAACTTGAATTCACACTTTTCTACAGTCTTTCGTTGCGTGGCTGGCATGGTAAATTAGAAATTATATGACGTTGGAATTTTTTTGTCAGTACTGCTCGGTGTAAATTAATTAATATGCAAACGTTATCCACTGCGCAGGAAGGTTATGCAGATTGCATTTATTTTGATATTGGCAAACGACAAGGGCTTCCGCATCACTTTGAAAGGTACCAGAAAACGGAGCCTGCGGAAGTTTCCAGCTGAGCGAAAGCGACGTTCGTTTGCTCCTTTCATTTCCTTCGACAACGAGCTCGAACTCGCTCGGATTCATTCTCCCTCTGGACATCCTTTCTTTTGTACCCACCCCCCTCTCCCCTGAGACAATTAGTTTTATCGTGATCATATGCACACACATATCATGGCGTAATTTTGTAAATTTATCACTAAAGTAATAGCGATTGCTACACGATCGAATTCGTAGTCAGTTTGTCCCGCCCACTCCAAGCTACGCTCGGTCCAGCCTAACCACCCTGAGATCGTGTTGACTTAGTGTGATGATGACATGTATTTGGCCATCTACGCTTCATAATCACACTGGGAATTCAGTCATTTTGATAGTTGACCTTCTCCTACCACATCGCAGACAGTCTTCTGCGGCCACAACTAAAGCCATTCGAATATCTTTACTATTATATGCCCATAAGGTTTATAGACACATCCCGAAAAGACAATTTGACAGCCAAACCAACTTCAATCAGCTCTTATCAAGAATCCCACCATGGAATCGTTCAAAGCACCAGTCTTCTCGACATTCCCGCCGAGTCTCTTACTCACATTACTTCATTCCTCTCTCCTCCGTCGCTCCTTGCACTCTCCAGGACAAACCGACGTTTCAATGAACACATAAATGATGACAATACCTGGTACCGGGCCTTTATCAATCATTTTCTTGGGATCGGACCTGAGAATGACCTCGACAATGAGAGGATTCTCTTACTGAGGAAGTCAGAATGCACTTGGCGAAAGGAGTTTATCATGAGGCATAACTTGAGGAGGTTTGTAGATGTGTCTCATATTCAGTTCTGCTCTTATCTTTTATCTTAGACGCTGGGAACGTTCGCGGAATGGGACGATTACCCATTCCCCTCAAGATACTACCATCGACGGCGTCCATCTGATGTCTGAGTCTGGTCTCCTCACATCTTCGATTCAATACGGAGTAGTGGCTCGGTCACTTCCGCTTAGCGGCAAAGTTCTCAAGGGGTACCTCGACGCTGCCGGAACAGGATTGGGTATAGGAAATCCCAATGTTGAATTTACACCCAACGTCTCTGCCTGCAGTCTCACTTCTGATGGTGGCACTGCCAGGGCTTTCTGGGGAAAGCGTAACGGGGAAGTGGCGGTGACTACGGCTGCTCGGGTTATGGATCCTGGGCGTGCATCTTCAAAGCTAGTTAGATGCAAAGTCGAAGATCACCATGATGGCGTTGTGAACGAGATTGTCTTGGATCCTGCTGTTAACCGATTTGTTTCCGGAGGCGCCGACGGGCAAGTCAAGTTGTGGGATACCAAGACGGTTGTGTGCTTGTGGTGTAGTGACAAGCAGCTCCGATCGCTTGTGGTCGACCCGTTCCTTAAGGTGTCTTCTGCTCTTGCAGACGGCATCATCGCAGGTGCTTTGAGTAGCGGAGACGTTATCTTATGGACATCGTCCCGACAATTCCATTCGGACGACTTATCCAGCCCGGCATTTTTTGCACAACATCGCATCGTGTCGCCCATTCCCAAGGGACAACCATCTCCCCAGGATGCATTCATACCCAAACCTCAGCCAACTGTGCTATGTGTCCGTCGCCACTCACAGACAACGGCAGCGCTACTCATCGGGTACTCCGATCACCCAGTCCTTCTATCGTATTGTAGTTGACCTTACATCCGGCAAATATGAAACCACCGCATTTGGTGATCCATCATTCGGATACAACTCCATCACCGAACCTGTCTTTGCAGCGCAGCCAGATGATTGCAGTTTCATCATCACTGGTGATCTGCTAGGTTTCGTTGGCATTTATGATTGGGACACCCCTCAAACATCTTCTTCCGTCGTACCTTCCCGTAGATTCGAGGCTCACGAAGATGGCGCCGTGACTGCGCTTGCTTGGAACTCGGTTGTTCTTGCCACAGGCTCTGCACGTGGGACAGCGACAGTATGGGACGCACTCACCTTGGAGCCTCTTAGGCTGTTTTCGTCCCCAGTCCCCCGTGCTGCACCGGGTCTCGAAGTTGGAGGTGTCAGCAAGATTGTGATTGAAAAGGAACTTTTGGTCATCATTGCTGACAATAGGGTGATGTCATGGAAGGTGGGACAAGTACACCACCGTGATGCTCCGCACAAAAGCAAACATGCTCGTGCGAATAGGAACCCAATTTCCAAAGGACAACGTACGCACGTTTTACTCTTTGTAAATTCTCAACTGATCGAACGTTGCAGAACGATACGATCTGCACAAGGTTATCAACGAATCCAAACGTGAACTAGCGGAGGAGAATGCCTATGCGCGGCATACCATGGGGCGAGAACGCGAGCAACGTTCCACTCTCACTGTACTTGGACTGTCGGAATCAGAGGCAGTAGAATATGTTTTAATGCTCTCCCGCGAGGAAGAGGAGCATCGCCGAGTTTCCCATACCCTCGATGAAGGTGTCTTCGAGGTTGACTTTGAAGACGAAACTTTCTTGCCACTCGCTTCAAGTTCTTCAACAGCGCATGGTTCTGCCAACCAGTCTTCCCCCAGTTCTCTTTCTGATTACTGTTCCCATGCCTATCCACGCGCCGCCCGTCCTATGACGAATGAGAAAGTACAGGTGTCTCCTGTCTTCGTCCCGGAACCTATGGAAGCTGGCGTTACCATAAGCCCACTCAGGATACCTACATTCCTGCCGAGTTCTTCGCCGGGTACAAGGTCTTCGCCGGAAGTGGCTCGCAGCACGTCGTCCTCTTTCGAACACTTTCCCTCGATCAGTACTAGCATTTCGTCATCGACCAGCAGCCTAGAGCGCATTCGTTCTGCGTGGAGCACGCCCTTACGGTCACCGCCTTCATCCCATGGAGCTTCATCCCCCACAGGTTGGCACACCTATCTTGCGCACGTCTAGTGCCTCATTTTCTTCTGCAAGCATGGAAATTCATGACAGGTGGCCCGAGGGAGAGTTCCGGGCGCCCCTGGATTTAGATGAAATGGACGATGATTTGAAATTTGCGATTGAGTTGAGTCTTGCGGAAGCGCGGAGTCGAGGCGAGGTTTGAAAGTGGGGAGGTAATATATGCGCACGCTATTCTATACGGGAAGTCGAAAGGCTCGTAGTCTGATCGTTTTCTTTATCGTCTCGGGGCTTAAGGCCTAGACTCACGAGACTCGTTCGTCTATGATAAGGATTAGGCCACATCTGTAAAACTTCTCCATCAATGGGTCAGATTGCGCACGGACTGCTGTATCACACGGAGCACAGTAGAACTAGAAGTACAAGCTGTAGGGGTAGCGGTATCCCCCTGACGAGGTTTCGCAGGCTCGAAACTGCTGCCAAATCCCACATTACTAGCCCTTCTTTTCCCATGACAACAACGCCCTATAACCCTAGGGGACTCACGGTGGAATGCAGGAAGGTGCGAAAAGGGTGGTCAGTCTATTAGAGTCACTCCGCGTAGACTAAATTCTATGCCGCCGAGGAACGAGGCGGCTTAGAAACCCATGCAAGCTGCTGATATACGATGGATTGAATAGAGCACCGGAACAATCTTTCTAATTAGGATTACCTATTACATGTCTTGAATGTAACCGTGGCGTGTCAAAGGGTCGCTATTTGCTGCAGAAGGTAGACGTAGATACTGACCTCTGAACGGAAAGAATTTTGTTGCATTGTCCGTGATGAGGCGGAGGACAGGGCCTCTGGTTCTGTCATCTAGGAAAGTCAGAGAAGTCCCTCCTTTCTCTTGGGGCATGCTGTAATGGGATGCTTTAAGATACGATGGTTGAGAGATGATCAGTGTGGGGGGTCTCCCTCCGTTCCCCCCTCATTACCCTCTCATGATACTCATCATCAACGGTTCCGCGTTTGGAAAATAGGTGTGGGGGGCCTGACCCATCAGATGACACTTTCTTGACAAAAGCTACAATGTTGCACACTCTCCCGTCTGAAGAGCGTGAACCATGATGCTAGATCAAAGTCTCAGCGGACGTTAAAGGCAACACTGAGGTAGGACGACGACGAGGATTTCGGACATCAAGATGTACGAGGAAGCAAGATGCTATCGGTGACAACGATAGCGGTAAAGACGACATGTAGTGTGGACGGTGCCAAGACATGATAAGGACATGGAAAAGGAAAAGAATCTGAGGCTAATCCCCACGAAACGGTAACATGTGTCTGTCCGTCAACAGGTATTGGGGTCCATCGTCCATCGATGAGGTCCTGCAGGGTGGGGTTACTCGCTGCCAGATCATCAGCTCAGTGCATTTCTTGTAATGAAAATGCTTACCATATAGATCGATGCGACATACAGCGAGTTCGTCTTTCCCAACGGCTGAATGGAATCTGAGACAATATAATGAGCGAAAAGACGGTTTCGGCCGAGTCACCTAACCCTCCAACAATTTTTGTTACTGCGCATTGGTGTGACTTGAGTTGCATGAAGATTTCTTTGATTTCTTCAACGGGTAAATGATTATCTGGTGAGTCTTCCGTCCCAGCAAGGGTTTTCTCACTTGCAGCAGTCAATGCATCCCACAAGTTTCTATTCAGATCTACTTGCCGCCGGGTTTAATCAAGATCACGAACGCCAGCAGTGTTCGTGTGTCCGGGTTCGATGAGAGTTTGGCCCACGCCGAGAGTAATTGCACACTGAGTGACTCACGACTCCTCTGAATCGGCTCTGCAAAGACTTCAGTTGTGATAATTGCAGTCGACTCACGTCCGCAACGGAGGCAGTGATATGCTGGCTGACATTATGGTTATTTGGAGAGACTAACAGCATAAGCGGCCTATATGGAAAGGTGTATTTGGACTCGTATCTTTAGAACTTAGCATAGACAGGCATAGACTCGAAAAGAAAAATTACCGCGGCTGCATAGGGTTTGGAAATAATAGCAGCGCGATACCGAGCACAATGAAAGGATACGAGTGAACGACATTCAACGTCAGGCGGGGCTTGTCATATTGCAACGCGACCCAGGTGGCTGATTGAAATTCATTGAATTGCAGGAAAATCGGGGTCTGGGGCAGGACTTGAAGCTGTTGTGACTTGGTGGACAAACATTACATAAGCAAACCCGTCTTTGCCAAATTACTTACCTGTGCTAGGACGAGTGCTAGATCATCTCGTACGCCTATCAATATGGACGGGATGAAAGCTGCAAAGTACGATGTCCATGAATTCTTATATTCATTGATATACTGAAAAATCCCAAGGAGACGCAAAATTACAGACAAATCCGTCCCAAATGCTCTTGCGCAACTTCCAGAGTTCGCCGAGGACTCACAATTGTACCAAAGCTTGTTAGAGATGGAAAAGAAGCTTGACTGGACAATGAACCGGAAAAAAGTGGAAGTGCAAGACGCATTGGCGCGCAATCCTCACTGTATGTTTCGCATGCCTATAACATACGATTGGTCTATTGAACGGATAATCAGACTGTGCGTACACTGCGGCTATTCTTGAGCCATACGGTTCTCTGGGCAGCTGTGGCAAACTGGCGAAGCTGGTGCTGAGGGGGTAAACTTCGAGACGGGGCAGGGAATTCCAGCCTGGTCCCTGAAGGTTGAAGGGCGACTATTAGAGGCACGTCTATTTCAGCGAGGATCACTGCATTGCTTTAACGCCCATGAAGCTTCCCAATCAACGTGCGCGGGACAGGGTTCCTCCTCGGAAGTTCTCATCTCTCATAAAACGAATGATCGTTGAGCTTGACCGCGACCCAACTTTGTATCCAGAACGGGAATGTCGTCGAGGTATGCGAGCTTGGTTGAAATGAGGTGGTTGTCTTATTCTGATTTGTTGTTTCAGTGGCCTCGAGGTCCGACTATTCAGCAGCCTCTCGATGGGTTCACCATAAGGCGAACCGGAGACCAGCCAACGAAAATGCGCCTCATAATATATCTCGAGCAGACACCAGAGCAGTATAAAGTGGCTCCAGACCTGGGTATGTCTCGCGCATCTTGACTTGAGTTCTCAACTTCATGTCACTTCTCAGGCAATGTCTTGGGTATTAAAGAGGAGAGTCGTGTTGGCATCATCCAGGCTATGTGGAATTATATCAAAATAAACGGCCTGCAAGACAAAACAGATCGTCGAAGAATACGCGCTGACGATTATTTGAGACCGGTATGCTGATTCTGCTGATTCTTCACTATCATATGAAGTTTATGATTGCAGATCTTTGGCGGAGACGGCATTATGTTTCACCAACTGCCAGAGCTAGTCAATCGATATTTGATGCCTCCAGACCCTGTAGTCGTCCATTACTCCATCAATCCAGCACAGGTACCCCCAGAGCGCCCTTCTGCATGGGATATTGAAGTCAAGATGGAGGACACGAGTCTGAAGAACCGTATCATGGTGACGGTACAATCAAGTAAAGACAGCATGTCCGACCTCACCAAGTTGGATGATGAGGTAAGATGCTCACTCCCTCTGGTCCGACTCTTTCTCTGACGCCTAAAATTATAGATTGCGCTGTTATCACAATCACTACATAACTCGCACACAAAGCGGCAATTCCTTCAAAGTTTCGCCAGAGACCCAGCTAATTTCATACAGACGTGGTTGGCGTCACAGTCTCGTGACTTGGAAAGTGTGCTTGGGAATGGACCGAGCGAAGGTGCTACGATTCGTGCTGAAGAATTGCGTAGGAGCGACTTCTTCAGACTACCTTGGGTTGAGGAGGCTGTTGCTGTCCACGAAGGATTGCGCCTGGCATCTCGAGGCATGCAATGAAAGTTATAGAACTACGGTTCCTTGCTGTGTCGACCCTGCTTTTGCAGTCTTATCTTATTCTAATCGTTGCATTGTTGTACTTAAGTGTGTATTTCGCCAAGAGCTTTCGATGATCATCTTATGCTAAGTACGCACAAGTGGCACGACTCACCTTATTTTTTTGACTCCGAAATGAAACATGAGATAAAGACAACAATAGCTCTGATAAGCGCTGTCTGACAGGCATTACGGTGGCACACCTTTTTCATTCTTACTGTCATGGCCAGTAGAACAGGCAAGTCCTTTATTAATTGCTCTTGAGTCATGTAGTCATGAAGGTGGTTCGTATCACAGCTCGGGAAGTTGAGGCAGGTTAGTCGCCAATTTGTACTACTACGTGACTTCTCTACTCAGCTGTTGGAATGAACAGTGGGCTGGTGAGAAAATATCCTCGCGAGATAAGACTATCGTCACAGACGAGTTCAAGGACATCGAGCAGGACATCGAGCTTCGAAAAGAAGGGATCCTGAAGTGCGTTCGCCTTTCGCAGAACTGTATAGAACTAATTGACATCGCACGCGATAAGGCTGCAGGCAGCCGCAGAAGATTACCAGCATGTGCTTTCCAAAAAGAAGGAATCAACCGTTGCACAAGAGACGGAGAAACTCGTGCCGCTGGATGCACTGGGAATCGTGATGATCTCCCATGGGGAAGAATTTGGAGACGATTCTGCTTTCGGTACGCCAACACACTCTTGTCTATCTACTTTCCCTTAGTTGATATGTCCAGGGACGTCACTGGTGAAATTGGGTAGAGCCCATTGCAAGGTTGCCACCCTGCAGGAGGCGTACGCCCTCACTTTTCAGGATACCTTCATCACCTCCTGCCAGAAATTTGTTCAAGACATTAAGGACTATGAACACCAGCGGAAGAAGCTGGAGAGCAGGAGGTAAGACAAGCTAGTGCTCCCGCCGCCGTGAAGGTACTCACTCTGAGTTCAACAGGCTGAGCTATGACGCCGCCATCACTAAGTTGGATAAGATCAAAAGCAGCAAGAAGGAAAAAGAAAAAGAGAGGCGAGAAGCTGAGGATGAGCTTCAACGCAGCCGTCTGCGCTAGTGAGTAACACCCTCACGTCAGTCATCTAACTTGCTGACAAGGACGTAGCGAAGAAACTGCTGAGGATGTGCGCTCCCGAATGCAGGCTATTCAGGAGAACGAGATACAACAACTTCGAGAGTTAACGTCGGTTTTGGATCTTGAGCTCAATTTTGCCAAGCAGTACTACGAAGTATTGCAGGATGTGAAAGCAAACTGGTGTGACGAGTATGTTCATCCCAGCCAGCCTGGATCTAGCTTCTGATCCCAAATGTCTTTAGGTCCACTCTGGCAAAGTTCGAGACTCAACGGAGGACCTTTCACCCTCCTGTCTTCTCACGTGCCACAGACGATGGCAAATTAATTCTGTATCCAAGGCGTCCGTGATTTCCCATGCATCTGGTGCAGTAGCTTCCTCCGACGGTTCCGATGAGCATCATTCGTCGCCTATCTCCACCCGCCGCAAGTCGGACGCAGGGAACAGGACTATCTCACGACCATCGTCGCGGGCGTCTCGTAAACGCTCCGATAGCAATGCTACACGGAAACGTTCTGATAGTGATGTCACATCTGGTACCCCCCGAGACTCCAAAGGCAGACAAGTCGGGTAAGATGATGAACGTTACTGGTTGGGCATCGAGTGCTATGAGCTCGATGACGGGAAGAGGGAAGAAAGACAGAGATAACTTTGCAACTCTCACCAACGATGACGACCCTGAGACAGATATCACCGACTCTCCCCGCCCTCCAAGCTCTCGATCCTTTTCTCGGAAATCACCCAGCTCGAAGGCGAAAGAGCTACTTAATGGGTCCCCCAAAATGCCGACTCAAATCATGAAGCCGCCTTCCCAATATGCACGAAAGCTTGTTCGGGCGTTACATGACTTCACAGGTTCATCAGATGAGCTCACCTTTAAAGCTGGTGACGAAATTATTGTTATCCATGAAGTCCTGGATGACTGGTGGCTTGGCGTTTTGTCAAACGGTCGGAAGGGGTTGTTCCCCTCTACGTATACGGAAATCATTTCATTGTCATCATCTTATCGAAGCTCGGCGCAGTCATCTGAAGACGACCATACTGCCGCGAGCGAGGACAGCGAAGACGATATCGGTTACCTTCTCGGAGGTCGTGTTATGGACACGAGTCATCTATCTACGAGATTTGGACATGGTTTTGATACAGAGAGTGTCACTAGTACCGTTCCTGAAGATGAGGAAGAGTCAAGGTTGGTGACAGCGAAAATTGCTGAAGAAGATGTGTACTATAACCCGCGTCGCACATCTCCACAACTACTTCCGCCTTCCATCTCAAGCAGCCGATCTACCTCTGATACCGGCTTTGCAATCAAGCGTGCTCCCCCGCCTCTTCCATCACGTCGCCCGACTAACCCAGCTGCTCCCCCGCTACCTAGCCGCAACTCTACCAGGACCCAGTCACAATCTAACAGTCCCCGTCCTCTGACATCGGCATATCTGACACCATCGCCTTCTGCGAGTAATGTGCAAGGACCAAACGTCTCACCTTTCGATAGCCTGTTGGATGTATCTTCCGCTTAAAGCTTGGGATGCAGTTACTCCAATTCTGCGTGGTGGTCTTGGATTATTTCCATTGGTGATTCGACAGGCCATTTAACTGTCGTTTTACTAAATTATTGACTGACTTACTTACACTACGTCTACGGGACTCATCGGATAGGCGAGCTCAAGGCCCTCTAGGTCAAGTTCGACTTTTATTTTATTTTGTTGCGTGCATTCTTCAATACGAGCTCTAGAATAGACATCTTCATCAGTATTAACTACAAAAATATAATCATTTGGTGTCACACTAAAGAATTCATGTTCAAGTCAGGAATCAGGGTGCTTGACTACTGTCGATTATCACTTTCGTTATAATTAGACACGTGACTTGCGACAATCGCAGCATCTTCCTGGTCATTCCACACCAACAACCATGTCTTTCAGAAAGATCGACATCGACGCATATGACGAGGATGTCCTATTGGAGGGCGAGCTTTGTGAACCAGATCCACGCGATCCCGCTCAGGTCTTAAGCGATGCGAAACAGAAGCAGGCAGCAGTCCGGAGCACACTAGCCAAGTACAGTCCCATCTCGCTACTTTGCAATATGATCTAACCTGAGCACCACTCATTCGCGCAGGGGGGACATACCAGGAGCCCTGGGGATCGCGCTTGACAGCACACCTTATGGGCCAAATGTCGAGGACGCTAAGGTGACTCTGTTGTTACACCATACCGCACCAATACGCTGACATTTGCGCAAGAACCTGACATTGCAGACCGTTGTTTCGATACTGAATAGTACGAAATCGTCAGAGATAAACAACGTCGTTAAAGCGCTCTCCCAGGATGCTCAGGATACTTTGATGAAGTATCTTTACAAGGGTATGGGAATGCCAGGCTGGGGTGATGTGAGCGGCAGCGTGCTCTTGGGGTGGCATGAAAAGGTGGGCCTGGAGCTTGCTTCATATATAAACTTGCTGACCATAATTGTAGCTGACGGAAGTCGCTGGCACTGGATGTATTGTACGAGTAATGACTGACCGAAGAACTGTATGAATTAGCATGCCGCCGCCGCCATAGCGTCAGACATATAGTATAATGGGTTTCAACTGTGCGACAGAATCTCCAGCATTCTGATTGACATGGAATCTACTCAAGCATTAACAAGACCTACAACGTTTCAGATTCGACTACAAATACATTTACGAAGAACGTCGCAATATTATATCGGGCCCTAGTATTGATACAGTCGCTGTTGACCAGAACTGCAGTCAATAAGGTCCCCGGGAGAAAGACGCTAAAACGTACCCTAAACAGACGCTCAGTTGAGAAAATCTTCCTCAGTCAGAATGCGGCCATTGAGTATTTTTCCGAGGTGAGTTGGCAGATATCCCATGCCTTTCCTTCTCATTCCGAACAACTCTTTCAGCGGAGGAAGCTGGGATGACTTGAACGAGCATGACGCCCTTGCAGAAGGGCGATTCTCCTCCCTGACAAATCCATCACTGTCTACTATCAAGTCTTCGTCCCCCAAATCTGGTGCGTTGAGCCCTAAGAAACCGCAAGCGTGGAGATACTTCTTGTAACTGGAAAAATAAGTTGGCCGGCAAAAAGGTTGAGCTGGCAAATCAGTGGTTCCAATGGTGCCAACTGTGGTGTCGAAGGAACACAGTAGAGGCGAAGGTTGTCGCATGCCTGCATTGTTTTTGTTGTGCGGGGTGTATAGATGCATAGATTAACTGCATTGCTTTTGCGGACGGCAGGTAGTAGTGTGTTCACTTCGTTCGGGCTCAATACCACCAGCAGGTGCCCAACGTTACTGGATATAACCCAATTGACTGGCCGCAGATAATCATTTGCCTTTTGAAGCAAAGAAAGAGTCCCCACCGTACGAGTGAAGTCATGTGTGACTAGAACAGTCTGTGCCCACTGATTGCGCTCATGAAATACAGCAGTAGTGTTGACAAGGCTGGACAGTGCTTGAATGAATGCGGGGGACCCCTTTGGAATTCGGCCAGTCTTCACGAAAGTACGGACGTCTGCGTGCAGAACATGGGTTGCAGGTTCGACCCTGGGCGGTCTTTCCACTCGACGCTCTCTCTCTACCTCGTGAAGTACCTCCCTTTCTTGTTCCTCATCCATGCTTCTTGCTGATGCCGAGAGGAATCCGAGTTCTTCGCACTTCCTTTGAATATCTGGATCGAAAACCCGAATGGTTGTAGGGAACTACGTGGTGCATACATATCCTCCAACGAACGCTCCTCAGGCTGCAACCAGGCGGTCTTCAGGGTTGAGATCGAAGTAGGGGTACGTGACAATTCAGCCCATGCGGAATGTCGTATATTGAAATCCGATCCCTGTTGAACCCAGTGCGATGCACGCATCTGAATATCAAGACAGGTTTCGAGCATGGCCCAGTGCAGGATATCTGCTACATCGACATCGTCGGTATCAGCTTTCTGTGTCGCCGAACGAATGCCTCGGTCAACTTCCGTCGGAGCGAAGAACATAACTGAATGTCCATTGCCCAGCTTCCGCATTCGCATGCATCCTGTGTCATTGGTCATTGTCGAAACTTATACGCAGGAACTCTGATCACGAACCTTGCGTCAGGCGGTCTTTTGTGACTTTCGGACCAAGCGTGACAGCAGCCCGGAAGCCGGAAGGAAGCTTGACATCCGTTCCTCTGGTGTGCGCGTCGTCCAGATATATCACGCACTGGTCAAGCTGCTGGGCAAAGGGGGACGACACAAGGGGCTCCACTGTCCCATCCCGACTGACAACGACAATTTCATCATCGTCATTCACGAACACTGCAGCTTGGGCATCGCGCTTGACTCGAAGCCATGTCTCGGCCAATTCCTGATTCTTCAATTCCAGCATCTGCGCACCCACATCCAGGAGCACGCGGACCTCGGGGGTTTGGGCGATAAGGGCATCGATGAAGTGTGACACCTTTTGGCCAGGCGGTATGCATGTGTAGTAGTTGTTCTCCGGGCGCAGAAGGAACGCTAGGACTCGAGCATTCGTGCTGCGTTGGTAATCAAGGTCATGCTGGACTATCGAGCTTGGTAACAAATAACGATTGTCGTTGGTACCAGAAAACCCAGTTGTGAGATGTCTCTTCTCTTGAGCGAGATCCCACCCGGAGCAGGTGAGCTTGCTGGGGAATGCCTTCGCTTCCTTGGGAAAAACCACTCGAGACAGGTAGAAATCTATGACTGCCTTGTTGCACGCAAATAATTCCTGAAGATCTTGGAGCTGCTCTGCGGATTCCGTATTGATTCCGCTAAGATGGCACAGACTTTCTGGGACGGACTGAAGTCCAAGCACCCAGGATTCATACTCGAGCGTGGGATTATCCTGCTTCAGCAGAAGCTCGAAGCATAACATCAGCTGCTCGTGGGTAAGACCCGCATAATAGTACGATATGCATGTGAGGGTGACAGCAACATCCGGATGGCCAAACTCAGCCCGCAGCGATGGCATGTCTTTAGCACGAAAAGGAACAGCCAACATGGTTCGCTTTGGGGCAAGGCCATAGTCTACGCGCCAGCGACGTTCTTTGAGGGCGTATACCAAGATACCATATGCTAGCAATCCACGCAAGACTAGAAGGCCGGGCCAGACGGTGGTATGTCTATAACGATCCTCCACCAAACTGATACTGTCGTCGGATATCTTCTCAGCTGCGATGAACTGACGGATTGCTTGCTTCACTTGAAGGGATGCTTGATCGAAGCTGATGTTTTCAAGCGCGCCATTGATGACATCTTCTGCGATCCATTGGACCAATGCTTCGCCCACTGTCGGGTGCAAAACACGAACGAAGGGGAACCCTCCGTGCTCACGAATGGACACTTCTGAACGGGTGTGAGATTGGTTCATGAGCCGAGCGGCATGCTTCGCGACAAGACTCAACACTTGTTGTGTGGTCGTCCACCGTTCGGGATGACCTTGAAGCGACTTTTGGAGACCCACAGTATATACTAGCTGGTAGCGGACGTGCAGAATTTCATCGCTTTCATCCAGAATGTCGCGTGTATGATTGTCGAGCCACAATTGAGCCTGAAGCATATTTTGAGCGGCATGATTCTTGGGGGACAGTTGACGGTCAACAGCCATTAACTGGAACGACAGAATATGGTCCGGTTGCACGACCAAAATGCCCTTGGCGTCTATGCATTCTTGCATCAGGTCACGATACATTTGCACCTTCGATGAGTCGATAGAGAGTGCACGGGAGAACGGGATATAGAAAATGCGCCTCTGTGCAAGGCCGCTGAGTCGTTCAACCAGTAGCTGGAACATCTGAGCCGACAACGACTTCAGCACGATTACTCGGACCAGTCTGTGGCCATCAGAAAGTGCGGCTGCTGCGAGAGGAACGATCACGTAGGATTTGCCTTCGCCCATATTCAGCTGGAGAGAAGTATTTCCTCCTGTGGATGGCGACATCATCTCCAGCGCAACCTTGACCTGGACTGGCCGTGCTAAGAACTGACTTTCGATCTGAGGATGCTATCATCAGCAACTATCTACGATTAATTTCTTTATAACGTACCTGTATTAAAAGCCAGTCAGGGTACAGCTCCGGATCAAATCCCTCGCATTCTTCATTCTCCAATTCCTTGAAGAACTCAACCCAGTTTTTATTAGCAGCAAAGACCAACAGCCTTCGCGAGCGCTGCAGTTGGAGAAGTATCTCCGATAGGCGAGTGAGAGCTGTACGCCATGCCTTTCCCAAACAATTCCCGGATATAGATGCCATGCGATCGAGGAGAAAGTTAGGTGTAACTCGGGGCCACAACCCAGCATTAGACAATGCGTTCTCAACGACAGAAGCAGGAGAGAGGGCGTCTGTGATAATGGCAAGTGAATCTTGAAATCGTTGGTTATGCAGAGAATGGTGCTCAAGCAGTACTTCCATAGTGTACGCCGTAGGATCTGGCGAGGCAACGAGCCTTTCTTCACAGAGAATCGACCTGCTGCGGTCCAGATCATTAGCATAGTTCTCGTGGAACTTAGTGCTTCCTCTAGCGCGAAAGTCGTTGATCAACTTTTGCAATCTCGACGATGCGACACCGGGGTCTGCGGATACTATATCTCTCGCTCGGGTATTGGGTGAAACTTGGGAAGACCCGAGCGTCCGTATAACGGGCGGATTCCTGGCGAAGAGGTACTGGGCATCAACAGATGAGGTTGATGAAGTAACATCATTGAGATTCGAATCAGGATTATATCGCGAGTGTCGTTTTGGAGGATCGGGAACGTAGAATCGGTTGAGAGTAACTTGCTGGACATCCAAGTGCTCCTTCAAACAGCGGTTTGCCCAACAACTACGAAACACTGGGCGAAGTTTCTTCAACAGTCCATTGAGATTGAAGCAGCTTGCTTGTAGCGTATTGAATGCGGGAAGTGTTTCGCACGGCCAAGCGTCCCAAACTTTGCTGAGAATGAGTTTCTTTTGAGAGCGACAGTTTAGGTCGAAAGCTGAGCGACAACGCGTTCGTAGAGCCTTTTTACCTTCCCCGGGTATCGCAGTTAGGCGACTCTCCTGACTGCTTTCATATTTTTTCATGCACGAATTGACGAGATTATCCACTCTGGCACGGGAAGGCATAAAGCCATCGGAGAAATCATAGGAGGTGAACTCCGGAAGGCGAGGTAGATTGCGAATTTCGGGAACTGTGGAGAAGGCTAAGAGTGTTGGGATGAGCGCGTGCTTGTCCGTTGAGCTGTATGATGCTGAGGCCAGGGTGAACACCAGCCGAAATTTGTCTTCTTCTGTAACACTACGGCAGCGGTCGTGCGCAGAAAGGAAGATGCGAGGAAAAGCCGGTTGAAGCCAGTCTTTGGAGTACCGCATGCTGAGGGATTCGCAAACGCCCTGGACCTTTCCCCATGAAGTCAACAAACCCACTAGATCTCGTTGCACCGGAAGTCTGCTTGGCCACTGGTGTACCATGAGGGCCGCATTGAATGCCCTCTCTTCCGCATTTTTATCAGGGACCTCGCGTGGAGTATACACGCCATCTGTGTTACCACATGGAAAAGGCAAAGAAAACTGGTCGGGATAGACCACTGAAGCACGAATGGATGCGCGCTCAAGAAGGTGATCGGTGGTCGGCGGAAGATCAAAGATAAGCTGAAGGCTTGCAGATCCTTCTGAGAAATTTGACAGCCGCCTGCCGTAGTCCATGATAGATTTTGCGACTAGATGAAAATCATAGTGCTGTGCAAGGGGTGCAAGAGACGACCACGAAACTGTCTGCATCTTTCGGAGATGAATGGGATACCAGACGCGCCTGGCTGACAATGAACTGATCTTACGTAAAAGATCTGTATCGCGAGAGCGAAGCTTCATGAACGACCGGCAAGCAGCAGAATGCAGGAGCCGCAATGCTTCCTCTGTCCCCGTTCGGCCCGTAAGGGGATCAGGGAGACAGCCGCTGGTGACAGCGTGAAGGAGCGCCTGATAAAGCTTACTGGTCAGACCCGCGTTCCCAGTGAGACAGCGTAGATCTGTATCAACCCTGTACAACTGGTACGTCACTCGAGGGCCTTCAGGGGCGATGGTAATGCGGACATGGTTGCCATCAGTGGAATGTGAGATACGACCGTCTGGGATGATGACAGTGCGTGGATGCTCATCGGCAATTTGTGACTTCGGACGCAAGACGAGCTGGTTGATTAATCCCAACATCGTTCCAATCGACTGAATGGTATCGACAACCATGTTGCGCATGTTGCGAGACTGCAGTTCCCCATCCTCATCGACGAAAAATTCAAGACCATATCGAGGCAAGTCAACCTTCAGCGAGGAGAAAGTACCGCTGGATGCTTCATTATATGTGACCACGATGTTGCGGGGATCCTCCAGAGGACATAACCTCTTAGAGATCATGTCCCATGTTTGGCTGCGTATGTCAACAAGAGTGACACTGCCAGCCTTCCCCAGTGTTGAGGAGCCCGAGACAGCAAATTGCATGACCCAATTGTCAGGGGAAGACTTCCACGCATTTTCTGCTGGGCGAATCTCGATTTCGCTCGTGTGCAGGTTAAGCCAATGAGTATGGTTGCCTATCAGGGTTGTTGGTAGGTCATCGACAAATTTTTGGTTTGGAATGAGTTGAAAGACAGGCGAGCCTCGGTCAATATGCTTGGCACGGATGATGAGATCATTTGAATTGCGAAGGGCGAAAGACACCTCCAGTGAGGTATTATTTAACTGCTGACTGATGACCACGAGCGACTAACCTGATGGTCGTAGAAATTCCCCCGTGTCGCATAATCCATTCCAGGAATATCAGCAGGAACGACATCGAAAATTCGCTGTAATTGACATTCAGTATACACGAAGAGACCCGCAACTCGTAAAGACTGACAGCACCGAACATGGATTTGTATGTGGCATGTTGCCCTATTATTGACGGGAGCCTACCCAGCTGCTTCCCGTCAACAAGCAAGCACCCACTGACCAGATTGAAGTGCACAACTTGCGGTAATTGAGTGCACGAATGTGCAGTATGCGACACAAGCCAACGAGATTTTGGAGCCGGTAATGCCCTCCAAGGAGTTCCTGGTCTGTAGCTGCCCCAGACCTCCGCAACTGCACAATCAAGACCCTCCCTATGAAGCTCTGAATATTGACGAACAGCGGCTTCTAATGCATGACAACATCTTTTATCTCGCTCGACCAGGAGCTTGGAATGTTGGGTAAGTTCACCCAATTGGCTTGGGGTGTTATCATAAATCATGATGGCACAACATGCATAAATCTTGATGTCGTTCGATGTCAGGAGCAGCGATGCATCTCCGTCTACATCAAAGGTGCTTCGACAGGTGATGGCCATATCACGAATACGCCCTTGTAACTCCCGACTGAACGTCACGTCCGAGTCGTTGCTGGCTTGCATTTTCGTTGATAGCTGTATCAGCAAGGTAAAGGTTGCAGCTCGCATCCTTCGAAGTAGAGAGTGTCCACGATTTTTAATACACTCTCTCTGAGTCGAGGACAAGACACGGCACACAAGCATGATGATGGTGCTTATTGTGACACCTTCTAACCAATTTTCTTCGACGCTGGCCACCAAAGATTCTAGCTCTTCGAGAAGTGCATGAAGGAAGGGCATGCTGTTCAGTTCCTCATGCCACAGAAGGCCCTCGTCAGACCAAAGCGGGCCGACTTGTGAAACAGCTTGAGCTAATAGCAGATGGACTTCCTCGCGTCGAAAATCGAGGGTCCTTGCACGAAGCTCGCGCAGGATATTCATCCATTGCAATTGCGGTCCACTTCGCAAGGATCCGAATGCGATAAACTCGTGGATGGTCATGTCCTTGTGACAATCAGTCTGATTGGCTATGACCTCGTTTGAGGTATGGGACGTTTCCGCAAAATATCGCTGTAAACCATGGTATGGTCCCTTGGGAAGAATAGATGTGCACAACTCTCTAAAATCAAACTGCAGCGATGCTACCTTGGCGGCCCAGGTATTTGTGGTTGTATCAAAGGGCCGAAATACGAGTCCGTTGTTGACACAGACGCTGCCATCAACCGTGGGAATGTGAATGCGACTGTAATGGGAGCTGCCGAAGGGTTTGGCATCCGACGCCAAAGTCAGCCTCTGTCTTGGATGGCACTGACGGTAACGCTCCAAGGCGTGATATTTCGGCAGTGTCGTGAAGGGACGAGTGTGCAAAATGTTCTTTGGAGTGCAAATGTCAATGAGGACATGTAATGTCATACATCTCCACATGTCGAAGGCGGTGGGGCATACCAATTCAAACACGACTGCGATTGCTTCTTTTTCGTGGGCTGGTAGTGGCCACTCGTGGACTGCGATAGTCATGGATTGCATCTCCTGTTCCAGGCGACACTTTTGACAGTGCTTCTTGTCATGGTGCTCCTTGCCGCGGGAGGTAACGGTGTATTCATGTGATAAGTTTTCTGCTTGCCAATTTAGGCCAGCGTACCGCTGATTGAGTGTCAAGAGCTCAAACAACTTCTTCTCCCGTTCTATCTGAGCATGCGCCTCGATGATTAGCTTCAAATTCTGTAGCTTTGAAGACTGATAAAAATACTGCACAGCGAATGACTCGTCATCGGTCATGGATGAAAACACCGACGGACAGCTGGAAGCGCAGTGACGAGCTTGAAGGTAGGCGCTTAGCTCCTTTAGACGATCAAAAGCTGAAGGTTTGCGGACTAGCAGACACTCCCAAATGGTCAATGGGATTTCGGGGGGATAATATGCCAGGAGTGGGATTCGTCCAACAACGATCTTATCCATGGCTACCCAGAGCTCGAAAAGCGTGACAAGCATAATAGACAAATTCTCCGGGTTTCCTTTATAAAGCTTAAGCGCCCTCGAGGAGTAAGCAGAGGCGCATGCCTCAATCGAGACACATGCAGAATCAATGCTCTGGAGTGGAACGCGCGCCACCCAGTCGTCAATCCCCGATCTAATGGCGGTCTCGAAGTCTGCGAGGGCAAGAAATGGTTCTGCAACATGAGCGGCCACTAAGAAGCTCGCATCAGCATCAAGGAAATTATCGATCGTCCCGCGTGTGCGGTGACTAGGATTGAATGGGGGTGGTTGAGGGGATGAATGCTGGTTCTGTAAAGCTTGGCGTATGTACTCGCGACTCCTGTTCAAGGAAAGACGGGTATCTCGCAAGACTCGGAGGGACTCGGGAGCCCAAGGAGGTGAGGTTGGTTGCGCGTCTTGAATAGATCCCCATCTTTCCTCCAGAACACTCCTTACGTCCCCAGTGACCATACTGACCATCTGCGACAACTCCGGAGATGCAGAGGATTCAAGCTTAAAAGACGGCGTGCGATCTTTGCCGACATGAAGTGTAGAATGTCATTTGACAAGTCACGGTCGAGGGCAAGGGACGTGAGCCTCGCCATGAAGAACAACATGAACGATTTATACGTCGTTCGTCCAAGAGCACTGCGCTCCAGAGTCGTCTGTAAGGCAACGCGAATGACAAGCCAAAGCGGAGACCGCCTCCACGGCAATTTCGCGCTGTCCCACAGCACATCATCTCCGATGCGCTTGCGGATGCGAGGAACATTAGCGATGCTCCCAAGGCCATGCAATATACCGGTCAGGAGTTCTGTGATATATCGAGGGTGCGTTGTGTCCCTCTCTTCGAGAACAGTGGATTTTGCCTTTTGCCTTGTCGCCGCCGCATCAAGGACATCCCGATCCATACAAACGAGAAAATTTGCCAGCTCGGCAGAGAAGGTAGTATTATCGATGTTCGCATCTGGGACTGCGATGGCAGGTCCAGGATAAGAACAAATCAGCTTTCCCTTTACACCCATCACTGCGGTGGGGTCAGGAGAGACCTCAAATGATTCGAATATGGTCTCGGATTCGAGTTTTCTCATGATCACCGCAGCGTTTTGCGCGCGAATCATGTATACGAGGACATCTGCCAGTTGATGCTCAGCACAGGAAGAAAATAAATGAAAATAATGGACCTTTGTTGTCCATAGTACTAATCTGAGACTCGACTTCCTCTGTAGACATTGTGCTAAATCTGACCGAATCTTTGAGATTGCGAAGCATTTTCAAGCTGCTCGTCCAAAGCCACTGCTCATCAGGCAGCAGTTCGTCACTGAAGACGAGAGCAGCATCAAATACTGCCTGAGATAAGGCCAGCTCGTTGTTGAGGGAATGGTCACTGCCTTGCGGCGACTTGAGAGGTAGAAAAACATGATTTATGATATATGCCAGACTGGACTGGTCTGTTGGATGACGTTTTGAATTTTGGGACATGTTAAAGTACTGATATGAGAGAAGGGTGGAATGGCCACTGGCGGCGAACTTCTGACACAGCCCCTTTTGTACCCGCTAAAGAATGGTCTTAGGAGTCCAAATCAGTACCGTATGCTGTAATAGTCGAAGAATTTACGGGATTTGGGGTGTCATAGGATCATCGTTGAGGCTTTACATGGACATTCACTTGAAGAATGACTTAGACGTCCAAAAAGATCATTCTGAGTCTGAAGGTTTGATGCAACGGAAAGGAATCTAACTGCGGAGTGTGCTTATTACTAGAATGCATCAACTTCTTTGATCACGATCTAGCGCTCACAGATTTTGAATATTATCAGCTCCAATACCCCCCAATTAACCTTCCACCCCTCTCTATCGCAGTAACATATTTCAGAGCCCTGTCATTCGACATTCCTCTGAACCTCTCTACCGTGACTGAACCACGGACAGCTTCACGAATGGCAGTTGGCCGCATTGTGGCCGAAGAACTGTCGTCGGAGCTTAGGATTCATCACGCGCCACGCGTGATCTAGACCTATTACCCTGAGATGATAAGGATGCCTCGTTGCTGCCCCAGCATTGTCAAGATATCACGTTGGTCTTTCTGCATCAGATCTTGCACAGACGTCCATCTAGTTCACGCAACGTGGTAGCGGAGTTGTTCTTCCACATTAGATTCCCATTTCGAGAGAATGCTGATCCTTGTGTGCGGCGTGCGCAGAATGGCAGTCAAAAAATAAGATAGTAGTTGGGGTCATCAAAGATCAGCGGATGTACTACTTGTATACAAAGTCGGTCAAACATACCGCAACGTCGTATCCGTGACACGTGTCTACGTTGTTCAAGCTTCAAGCTTCAAGGACGGCACGTATCATGAGCGTAGGTGCTAAATTTGTTCTTGGACGGGCTGGACCAGCTTGCACACACAACTGGTGTGTTTAAATTCGCAAGAAGGAAAATGAAGCCTGTTCAAAGACAGATATTAAATCACTAGTGTAGCACATTCACGATTCAGGGGAATTGTTTAACTGTTTATGATAAGTACGCACTATGACAACACACCGAGACGAGGACGTTTCAGGATTGACTTTTTCGCCCCTTTGTCATCCTGAGACTTTCTGACAGAAATGGGGATGGAGTTAACGCGAAGCGAGAAGAATTACTGGCCTTCTAGGTCATTAATGTAATCTGCGTGATTTCCACCGCCGGTTGGGAAGCTGAACCCAGAGCTATGACTTGAATCATTATGGAACATGTTGCTAAGGTCGGCTCTCCCAGATGAGTCCTATTTGAGGACATCTATTTGAAACCGTATGTTCGGCCTTGGAGACACGGCTTATGAGCGATATTTTGTTGGCCAGCAAAGAAGCTATCGAATGCAAGAGTTTTTAACGACACAGCCACCAGCTGGAAGACTTCAAAGATCTCATACCATCTCACTATCTAGCTAGTATCTCCCATTAATGAGCGCATCCTCGCAGCACATCATTCCTGTACAACAACTATGGAACCAATCAATCAACCCATTGGAACACCACTTCAATATCAAGACACCGTGATTTCCACAACCTTTTCTGCAGATAGAAAATTCCTCGTCTCTAGCTGCTTGGACGGCCTCATGCACACATGGGATTTTTTTGCCATCGTCAAATAAGTTGGCCATCTGTCAGATATTGTAAGCATAGATATACTTTATTCTCAATTGCACTGATAACTCCCCCAAGCTGATGCTACACCGCGATCAGCTCCAAGGGTGAAAGGTGCTTGTCAGATACCCTAAGGGTTTTATGACGATGCACTGCGAAGGCTAGTGTATGTGATTTCCATATATTATTCAAATGCTTTGACAAATATGTTGTCAGTTGCGCACTCATCTATCCCAATCCCATGGGCCACATAGTAACCACGCAATTCCGGCATCACGTCAACGCGCCCTCAGTCCCCTTTCCTCATTCTGGCGCCGCTCTAAGCCACATGGGGCAACTTAGCGCGACACCCAATCCCGATCAAGACCTCTCAGCTGGACTTGAAGCCTAGTTAGTATCTGATATACTATGCAGACCAGCTGGACCAATCATCCAGTTGTGAGAGGTCGAGGTTCCGTACACAGCGGGCAAGCCTGTGCGTTTTTTCTCTTCAACGGTTCTTCTCTGTCACTGACTCGTTTTCACCCAGAGAAATTATCACGCCGGAAAGAAGCCAGCTGCTAACTCATCTCGACCTCCCAATACTCATGCTACACAGCAACCCAACGCAGCAACCAGAGCATCCCGCCATCATTACAGCAACCACTGCTTCGACACTTCTTGCCGTTCCTGGTACTGCGCCGACAACAGGAGCAATCTCAAGTCCTCATATTACCATCACTGAATGGCGCGCTCGTCTTGTGGGCTGGCTTTGCTGCGTGCCTATTCAGAACACAAACGGTCAACCATAGAGACACAGTCGCATCTGCTGCACTAGCTACTGGAACGACGTCGCGACATAATATCACTGCAATACCGGCTGGATGTTGGCGCTAGACTGTTTGGGTGCTCTGGATTGTTGGGCGTCTATTGAATGGACACTTCCTATCGTCTAATCATTCCTGTGGCCGTCTGCACACCGCCACCGTACTGTATCGTATTTCATGTCTAATCCGCTACAGTTTTGTCTTTTAAACAAGTCTTATTCTATTCCCCTATGTACACTTCATGGGATGGGACATAGGCACGCTACTTTAATACGTGCGCAGGAACTCGGCACTCAATCCTCAGTAGTTTTTGTCCACGCTTCGCGGTGACTTTCTTGAACGAACGCTGCGTCGAGAACGTTTTCGCACCTATTCAAGCGCTCTCGAGACTGTTGTCATGCATATCTCTTGCTAGATCTCCGAGTCACTGGTCCAATCACGTCGTCCCAAAATGGTCTCCTAAATGGTCAGCCCTTCGTATGTGGAAGTTTCCCTCGTTGAGTGAATTACTGCCTGAATCCGTACTGGTCCAGTCGATAGCGCTATATATGGTGGATATGGAAACCATCTTTTGGCAACGATGAGGAGGAAAACATGCGTCCGGCTTTGCTGAACGAGAAGGATACGTTTTGTGTACGATGTGATCTACATTTCTGATCTCCACTCTCGAGGCAGGACTTGACGAAGGACAGTCTGTCCTACGAGAGGTATGCATTTCGGGGGAATCGTCTGGCACGTCCCTGCCAGCCCCGGCGGTACTCTTCCTCCGGAACCATTGCATGCTGTTACCTTCCTTCGTCGTTGAAGCTGCTTTATCGCCAGTGGGTCTATCTTGCACCTTGCCCAGGTGGGGAACACAGCGAGTTACTTTCGAGGTGGGGCAAATTGGCAATGGCGGAGGGAGGAACACTCTTATGGTCGTCCTTAACCGGCGTGTCACTAGTAGCAGGTGTCTTCTGCGAGAGTGATTTGATCGAGTGGCTCAAGGGATCGATCATGACGACGAGGGCGTTCCGCCGGTTCTTTGTGCTTGCCTCAGGATCCGTAATATCTGTTAGATCATGAATGGTTCCCGACGCCTGTCCGCCTCGTGTGTATCACTGATTATCTGTGCGCACCACCCTCACAGAACTGAATGTCGTGATGTTCTTTGATAAACTAGTACCAGTAGTTGAACATCTCGCACAGTGAGGATATCGACCGATAGTTGTCACACGGTGCAGTTGGTAGTAACTCTGGCACTAGCGAAGATACTGATCCAGGGGGTTCAGACTGAGAGTTGAAATAGAGTCCATGGAAGCCAGGAAAGTGAAAAAAAAAATCATTCGATGGACCTAAGACTCTATGTTCATTAACGTTCATTGGTGGGCCGCCAGCGTGATTGTCAAGTTCAAGGTCACCAACTTTCCTGATTTGAATTTACAAGTATTTGACGTGTACTAGTACATACAGATACATTTATGGAGAACGTCGCAATATTACAATGATCAAGGTTAGTGTTGATTCAATTGCTGTTGACCAGAACTACAGTTAGTCAGATCTCTGGCAGAAAGGCGCTAAAACATACGCTAAACAGACCGCCGCTCAGTCGAGAAAATCCCCCTCAGTCAGAATGCGGCCATTGAACATCTTTCCGAGGTGAGTTGGCAGATACCCCATGCCTTTCCTTCTCATTCCAAACAACTCCTTCAGCGGGGGAAGCTGGGATCGTTTGAACGAACACGATGCTCTCGCAGAAGGGCGTTTCTCCTCCTTGATAAATCCATCACTGTCGGCTATCAAGTCCTTGTCCTCCAAATCCGGCGCGTTGAGCCCTAAGAAGTTGCAAGTGTGGAGATACATCTCGTAACTGGAAAAATAGAGTTGACCCGCGAAAAGGTTGAGCTGGCAAATCAGCGGTTCCGATGGTGTCAGATGTGGTGTCGAAGGAACACGGTAGAGCTGAAGATCATCGCATGCCTTCATCGTGTTTGTGGTGCGAGGAGTATAGACACATAAGTGAACCACATTGCTGTTTCGGATATCGGGCAGCAGTATGTCCACTTCGTTCGGGCTCATGATTACCAGCAGGCCAACGTCACTGATTACGATCCAATTGACGGGACGCAGGTATTCATCTTCTCTCTGCATTGTCCCTACCGTACGAGCGAAGTCACGGGTGACTAAAACATTTTGTGCCCACTGATCGCGCTCATGAAATTCAGCGGCAGTGTTGACAAGGCTGGATAGCGCTGGAATGAATGCGGGGGACCCTGTAGGAATTCGGCCGGTCTTGATAAATCGACGAACGTGCACATGCAGGTCCTGAGCTGCAGCCTTTAATTTGCGCGGTCTTTGAACTTGACGTTCCTTCTCTATCTCGTGGACTACCTCCCTTTCTTGTTCCTCATCCATGCTCCTTTCAGGTCCCATTTGAACTCCGAGCTCCTCGCACTTCCTTCGAATGCCTGCATCGCAAACGGGTAATACCTGTGAAGGGCTGCGTGGTGCGTACATATCCTCCAATGAGCGCTCCTCTGGTTGTAACCAAGCTGTTTCCAGAATGGAAATCGAAGTGGCAGGGGCGCGCGAGAATTGAGTCCATGCGGAATGCCGTGCGTTGAAATCCGATCCCTGTTGAACCCAATGGAATGCACGCATCTGAATGTCAAGACAAGTTTCGAGCATCGCCCAGTGCAGGATATCTGCCACGTCGACATCGTCGGTATCAGTTTTGTGAGTCGCCGAACGAATATTTCGGTCAACTTCCGTCGGAGCGAAGAACATGACTGAGTGTCCATTGCCCAGCTTCCGCATTCGCATGCATCCTGTGTCATTGGTCATTGTCGAAACTGATACGCATGAATTCTAGAATTACGAACCTTGCGTCAGGCGGTCTTTCGTGACTTTCGGACCAAGCGTGACAGCAGCTCGGAAGCCGGAAGGAAGTTTGACATCCGTTCCTCTGGTATGTGCGTCGTCCAGATATATCACGCACTGGTCAAGCTGCTGGGCAAAGGGGGACGACACAAGGGGCTCCACTGTCCCGTCCCGACTGACAACGACAATTTCATCGTCGTCATTCACGAAGACTGCAGCTTGGGCGTCGCGCTTGGCTCGAAGCCATGCCTCGGCCAATTCCTGATTCTTCAATTCCAGCATCTGTGCACCCACATCCAAGAGTACGCGAACCTCGGGGGTTTGCGCGATTAAGGTATCGATGAAATCTTGCACCTTCTGGCCAGACGGTATGGGTCTATAGCAATTGTTTTCTGGGCGCAGGAGGAATGCTAGGACTCGGGCATTCGTACTACGTTGATAATCAAGGTCATGCTGCACCATCGAGCTTGGTAAAAGATAGCGATTGTCGTTGGTACCAGAAAAGCCGGTTGTGAGATGTTTCTTCTTTTGAGCGAGATCCCACCCGGAGCAGGTGAGCTTTCTGGGGAATGCCTTCGCTTCCTTGGGAAAAACTACTCGGGACAAGTAGAAATCTATGACCGCCTTGTTGAATTCAAACAGTTGCTGAAGGTCACGGAGCTGCTCTGCGGATTCCGTATTGATTCCGCTAAGGTGGCGCAGACTTTCTGGGACGGACTGAAGTCCAAGTACCCAGGATTCATACTCGAGGGTAGGATTATCCTGCTTCAGTAGGAGCTCGAAGCACAACATCAACTGCTGGTGCGTGAGACCCCCATAATAGTAGGAGAGGCACGTGAGGATGACAGCAACGTCTGGATGCCCAAACTCTGCCCGCAGCGAGGGCATATCTTTGGCGCGAAATGGAACAGCTAGCATAGTTCGTTTTGGGGCAAGGCCATAGTCCACGCGCCAGCGACGTTCTTTGAGGGCGTACACTAAGATACCACATGCCAGCAGTCCACGCAAGACTAGGAGGCCGGGCCAGACCGTAGTGTGTTTATAGCACTTCTCTACTAAGCTGATACAAGTGTTGGAGATCTTCTCAGTTGCGATGAACTGGCAGACAGCTTGCTTCACGTGAAAAGATGCTTGGTCGAAGCTGATGTTGTCAAGTGCCCCATCAACGACATCTTGTGCGATCCATTGGACCATTGCTTCACCTGCTGTCGGGTGCAGAACTCGTACGAATGGGAATACTCCGTGCTCGTGAGCAGACACTTCTGAGCAAGAGGGAAATTCGCTCATGAACCTGACGGTGTGCTTCGCAACAAGACTTAACACTTGCTGTGTGGTAGTCCACCGTTCGGGATGACCTTGAAGCGACCTTTGGAGGCCCATAGTATATACCAGCTGATAGCGGACGTGCAGAATTTCATCGCTTTCATCCAGGATGTCGCGCGTGTGATTGTCAAGCCACAACTGAGTCCGAAGCATATCCCCAGCAGCTTCAGTCCGAGGGGGCGCCAGCTGACGGTCAGCAGCTTCAGTTAGAGGGGGCAGCTGACGGTCGATAGCCATTAACTGGAACGATAGAATGTGGTCCGGTTGCACGACCAAAATGCCCTTGGCATCCATACACTCTTGCATCAGGTCACGATACATTTGCACCTTCGATGAGTCGATAGAGAGTGCGCGGGAGAATGGAATATAGAAAATGCGCCTCTGTGCAAGGCCGCTTAGTCGTTCAACCAGGAGCTGAAACATCTGAGCTGACAACGACTTCAGCACGATTACTCGGACCAGTCTGTGGCCATCAGAAAGTGCGGCTGCTGCGAGAGGAACGATCACGTAGGATTTGCCTTCGCCCATGTTCAGCTGCAGCGAAGTATTTCCTCCTGTGCATGGTGACATCATCTCTAGCGCAACCTTGACCTGGACTGGCCGTGCCAAGAACTGACTTTCAATCTGAGGATGGTATTGTCAGTTACCGTTAGTAATTGATATCTTTATAGCGTACCTGTATTAAAAGCCAGTCAGGGTACAGCTCCGGATCAAATTCCTCACACTCTTCGCTCTCCAACTCCTTGAAGAACTCGACCCAGTTTTTGTTAGCGGCAAAGACCAATAGCCTTCGCGAGCGTTGCAGTTGCAAAAGTATCTGAGACAGCTGGACAAGAGTAGCACGCCAAGCCTTCCCCAGATAATTTCCTGCTGCAGAAGCCATGCGAGTAAAGAGGAAATTTGGTGTAACTCGGGGCCATAATCCAGCATTGTATAACGTGCTTTCAGCAGCAGATGTAGGAGAGAGGACGTGTGAGATCGATGCGAGTGAATCTTGGAATTGCCGGCTATGGAGAGAATGGTACTCAAGCAGTAATTCAATCGTGTATGGCGTAGAATCCGGTAGGGCAACCGTCTTTTCGTCACAGTAAATTGACCTGCTCCGGTCCAGATCATCGGCGTATTTGCGGCGAAACTTGTCACTTCCTGAGGCGCGAAAGTCGTTGATCAGCTGTTGCAACTTCGTTGTGACTCCGGAGTCTGGAGATATGAAATCTCTCCGACTCAAATCGCTAAGAACTTGGGAAGGCGCATGCATGGATATAACAGGCGCATCTCGATTGAAAAGGTACTGGGCATTAATGGATGAGGCCGGTGATACAACATCTGAGTCATCAGGGCGGGAATCGAGATCATATTGAGAGGGCAGTTTCGAAGGAGGATTTAGCGTGTAGAACCGTTTTAGGGTACCCTGCAGGCTATCCAGATGTAGCTTCAGACAACGGTTTCGCCAACAGCTGCGAAATACTGGGGAAAGTTTCCCTGACAGTTCACTGAGATTGTAGCAGTCCACTTGCAGCGTATTATTAAGTGCCGGAGGATCTTCGCACGGCCAGGCATCCCGAACTTTGCTGAGAATGACTTGCTTTTCAGAGCAGCACTTGTCTTCGAAAGCTGAATAACGACGCCTCCCTAGAGTTTTTTCATCTTCTTCGGGCATTGCAGGTAGGTATCTCTCCTGGCTGAATTCGTAATCTTCGGTGCACGAACTGATGATATTGTCCAATATCGTATCGGACAGCATGAAGCCATCCGAGAGATTATAGGACGTGAACTTTGGTGGGCCTCCCAAGCTGCGAATTTCAGGAACTGTGGCGAAGGCCAGGAGTGTTGGTACGAGCTCATGATCATCCAACAAGCTGTATGATACAGAAGCTAGGGTGAACACCAGTCGAGATATATCTTTCTTTGTAGCCCTACGACAACGGTCGTACGCAGAAAGGAAGATGTCGGGAAAAGTTGGTTGAAGCCAGTCTTTGGAGTACTGCAAGCTGAGCGGCTCGCCAACGCCCTCGACATTTTGCCACTGAGTCAACAAACTAAGGAGATCCCGCTGCACTGGAAGTCTGCTTGGCCACTTGTGCACCATGAAGGCGGTTCGAAATGCCCTCTCTTCCGCGACTTTGTCGGGAATATCACGTGAAGCATAGATAACATCTTTGTCACCCAGCGGAAGTGGAAGAGAGAACTGATCAGGATAGATCGCCGAGGCACGAACTGACGCGCGTTCAAGAAGGTGGCTGGTGAATCTTGGAAGCCCATAGGTGAGCGGAAGGTTTGCAGACCCTTCTGAGAAAGTCGAGAGCTGCATGCCATAATCCATGATAGATTTCGCGGCTGGATGAAAGCCATGGTGTTGTGCAAGGGGCGCAAGACATGACCACGAAATTGTCTGCATCTTCTGAAGATGAATGGGATACCAGACGCGCCTGGTTGACAGCGAACTGATCTCGCGCAAAAGATCTGTGTCACGAGAGCGAAGCCTCATAAACGATCGGCAAGCTGCGGAATGTAAGAGATGCAACGCCTCCTCTGTACCCGTTCGGCCCGTAAGCGGATCAGGGAGACAGCCGCTCGTGACAGCGTGAAGGAGCGCCTGATAGAGCTTGCTTGTCAGACCCACGTTCCCAGTGAGACAGCGTAGATCTGTATCAACCCTGTACAACCGGTAGGTCACTCGAGTACCTTCAGGAGCGATGGTGACGCGGACATGGTGACTATTCGCAGAGTATGAGATACGACCGTCTGGGATGATGACGATGCGCGGATGCTCATCCGCAGCTTGCAACTTTGGGCGCAAGATGAGTTGGTTGACTAATCCCATCATGGTGCCAGTAGACTGAATGACATCAACGACCATGTTGCGCATGTTACGGGACTGCAATTCCCCATCCTCATCGATGAAGAATTCGAGGCCATATCGAGGCAAATCAGCCTTCAACGAGGGAGTGCTGCCGGATGCTCTATTATGTGTGACCATGATGAAGCGTGCATCCTCCAGAGGGCGCAACCTCTTGGAGATCATGTCCCACGTTTGGCTGCGTATATCAACAAGGGTGGCACCGCTGGAATTCTGCACCGTCGAAACAGAAAATCGCAAAACCCAATTATCAGGTGAAGACTTCCACGCATTTTCTGCTGGCCGAATCTCGATTTCCCTCGTGGAAAGGTTGAGCCAATGAGTATGGCCTGCTACCAAGATTGTCGGTAGGTCATCCACGAATTTGTGGCTCGGAATGAGCTGGAGGATGGGTGAGCCATGTTTGATATGCTTCGCACGGATGATGAGATCGTTCGAGTCACGGAGAGAGAAAGACACCTTCAGGAACAAGCAAGTGCATCATTAGCATTACAGAGTGATGGAAACGGGAGTGGCTACCAACCTGATGGTCGCAGAGGTTCCCGCGTGTCGCATATTCCATTCCAGGAATATCAGCTGGAACGATGTCCAGAACTTGCTGTAGTTGATAGGTGAGCGTGTACCGTCAAAGCTACAACTTCCAAAAACTCACATCGCCAAAAATAGATTGGTAAGTGGGATGTTGCACTATAATCGAAGGGAGCCTGCCCAGCTGCTTCCCGCCAACAAGCAAGCATCCACTAATCAAATTGATGTGTACGTCCTGTGGTGATTGGGAATGTGATTGCGCAGTCTGCGCCACAAGCCAACGAGAATTTGGAGCCGTCAGTGCCCTCCAAGGAGTTCCTGGTCTGTAACTGCCCCAAATCTTGGCTATCGCGCAATCAAGACCCTCCCGGTGAAGCTCTGCATATTGACGAATAGCTGGTTCTAATGCGTGACAGCATCTCTTGTCTCGCTCTAGCAGTAGCTTGGAATGTTGTGGAAGATTGCCCAATTGGCTTGGAGTGTTGTCATAAATCATGACCGCACAATATGCAAATACCTTGATGTCATCGCTCGACATCAGGAGCAGTGAAGCGTCTCCGTCGACATCGAAAGTGCTACGACAGGTGACTGCCATATCCCGAACGCGCCCCTGTAAATCCCGACTGACCGTCTCCTCGTTGCTAGCTTGCAATTTCTCTGATAGTTGCGTCAGCAACGTAAAAGTCGCAGTTCGTATCCTCCGAAGCAACGAATATCCACGAATTTTGATACTCTCTTCCTGAGTCGAGGACAAGACGCGGCATACAAGCATGACGGTAGTGTCGATCGTGACAGCTTCCAACCAATTCCCTTCGACGCTCGCCATCAAATCCTCCAGCTCTCCGAGTAGTACGCCAAGGAAAGGCACGCTGTTCAACTCCTCATGCCAAATAAGGCCGTCGTCGGACGAAAATGGACCGACCTGTGAAACAGCTTGCGCCAACAGTAGATGGACCTCCTCACGTCGAAAATTGAGCGTCCTTGCACGGAGTTCACGTAGCACGTTCATCCATTGCAAACGTGGTCCACTTCGCAAGGACCCGAACGCGATGAATTCGTGTATAGTCATGTCCTTGTGGCAATCTGCCTGATTGGCTATGACCTCGTTTGACGTGTGGGATGTCCCTGCAAGATACCGCTGCAAACCATCATATGGTCCCTTTGGAAGAAGGAAAGTACACAACTTGGTGGCGTCGCATCGCAGTAGTACGTCTGCCGCCCACGTATCTGTGGTTGTATCGAAAGGCCGAAATTTGAGTCCATTGTTCACACAAACTTTGGTGTCCTGCGTAGGAATACGAGTGTTACTGTAATGGCACTTGGAGAAAGGTTTGGCCTCGGATGCCAAAGTGAGCCTTTGTCTTGGATGGCACGTGCGATATTGCTGCAAGGCATCATATTTTGGCAGTGTCATGAAGGGATGAGTGGACGAAATCTTTTCTAGAGTGCAGATGTCAACGAAGACATGAAATGTCATGGATCTCCACATGTCGAACGCGGTGGGGCATGCTAGTTCGAAGACGACCACTATCGCCTCCTGATCACGCTCTGGTAGCGGCCACTCGTGAACTGTAATCGTCATGGATTGCATCTCCTTCTCCACGCGACACTTTTGACAACGCTTTTTCTTGTGGTACTCCCAGCCGCGGGAGTTGACACCGTATTCGTGCGCTAAACTTGCTGCGCGCGTCTCTAGGTCACTGTACCTCTTGTTTAGGGTCCGAAGCTCGGTCAACTTCTTCTCCCGCTGTTTCTGACCATCCGCCTCGATGCGAACCTTCAAACTGCGCAGCTTGGATGACTGGTGGAAATATCGCGCCGCGAACGACTTGTGATCGTTGGTAAACGAGAATGCCGACAGACGGCTAGAAGCCTGGCAATGACGAGCTTTCAGGTAGGCGTGCAATTTCTTCAAACGATCAAGGCCAGAAGCTTTGCGGATTAAAAGACACTCCCAAAGTGTCAATGGGATTTCAGGGGAGTATTCTGCCAGGAGTGGAATTTGTCCAACAACGATCTTATCCATGGCTACCCAGAGCTCAAAAAGGGTGAGAAGCATGATAGATAAATTCTCCGGGTTTCCTTTATAAGCCTTAAGCGCTCTCGAGGAGTACGCAGAGGCGCACGCCTCAATCGAGACGCATGCGGAATCGGTACTCTGGAATTGAACGCGCGCCACCCAGTCGTCGATCCCTGAACTAATGGCGGTCTCAAAATCTGCGAGGGCAAGATAGGGTTCTGCGGCATGAGCAGCTACCAGGAAGCTAGCTTCGGCGTCAAGGAAATTATCGATTGTGCCGCGCATGTGGTGGCTGGGATTGAATGAGGTTGTTTTGGGGGACGAATGCTGGTTCTGCAAAGCTTGGCGTATGTACTCGCGACTTGTGTTCAAGGAAAGATGGGTATCTCGCAAGACTCGGAGGGTCTCGGGAGCCCAAAGAGGCGAGGCCCGTTGCACGTTCTGAACAGATCCCCATCTCTCCTCCAGGACACTCCTTACATCACTGGTGACCTTACTGACCATCTGCGACAACTCCGGAGAAGTGGTGGATCCAAGCTTGAAAAGACGGCGTGCGATCTTTGCCGACATGAAGTGTAAGATGTCATTCGATAAGTCATGGTCGATGGCAAGGGTGGTGAGCCTCGCCATGAAGAACAGCATGAACGATTTATACGTCGTTCGTCCAAGAGCACTGCGCTCCAGAGTCGTCTGTAAGGCAACGCGAATGACAAGCCAAAGCGGAGACCGCCTCCACGGCAATTTCGCGCTGTCCCACAGCACATCATCTCCGATGCGCTTGCGGATGCGAGGAACATCAGCGATGCTCCCGAGGCCACGCAGTATACCAGTCAGGAGTTCCGTGATATATCTGGGATGTGTGGTGTCCCTCTCTTCGAGAACAGTGGATTTAGCCTTTGTCCTCGTCGCTGCCGCATCAAGGACATCTTCATCCATGTGAACGAGAAAATTCGCAAGCTCTGCGGCAAAGGTGGCATTATCAATGTTCGTATCTGGAACTGTGATAGCAGGTCCAGGATAAGAACAAATCAGCTTTCCCTTTGCGCCCATCACTGCGGTGGGGTCAGGAGAGACCTCAAATGACTCGAATATGGTCTCGGATTCGAGTTTTCTCATGACCACCGCAGCGTTTTGTGTGCGAATCATGTATACAAGGACATCTGAAAATTGATACTCAACACAGAAAACAATGCAAATAAGATGAAAACAACAGACCTTCAGTGCCCATAGCGTTGATTTGAGATTCGACTTCCTTTGCAGACATCACGCTGAATCTGATTGAATCCTTGAGATTGCGAAGCATTTTCAAGCTGCTCATCCAAAGCAACAGCTGATCGGACGGCAGCTGGTCACTGAAAGTGATAGCAGCATCAAATACTGCCTGAGATAAGGCCATGTCGTTCTCGAGGGATTGGTCACTCCCTTGTGGCAACTTGAGGGGAAGCAGTACGTGATTGATGATATATTCCAGACTAGGTTGATCTTTCGACTTAGAAAGACGATTTACTGTTGAGTATTGAGCCATGTTGCCAATAGGATGAGAGAAAGGAATTGGCCACTGACGGTGAAATTTGGCCCCTCTACTAATAAGGAACCCATAGGCGCTCGTCCTCACGCCTCACCGTGACTAGGGTTGGATCCGCACAAAGGGAGAACCTTTGTGTACAATGCTTCACATCAGATCTGAGAAGTGCCATCGATATGAGCGTTGAGGCTGTACAAGGCGTGTACTAAATACAAATTTGATTGTGCATGCCTGAAGGTTTGATGCTTGACTCGGATAAGGATTTTCCTTGTATTTTGCCTGCCTTACTATTACCTAGGAAAGTTCGAACACAAAAAGCAAGTGACGGTGGAGTCTGCTTACAAATTCGGTATGAGTCATTTATCTCAGAGGAACAAAACAAATCAGCGCTCACTGGCTCTGACACTACTAACTTACAGGTGGTCCTTGGAACGACGATAGACTTCGTCTATAAAGGGCTGTCTAGGGGAGACTATATTAATAGTACTCCTTCCATCTGTGTCGGGAGTCCATCGCAGCAACATCACTCCACAGCCTCACTACAGGCTTCAAATCTGGATTCCGAACCTTAGCTAAACGAACCGCAGCTGGTAGGCCACGGCATTTTGGAAGAACTATCCATTGGAACTTAGGATTCATCAGGCACTACATTATAGGCGGCTAGGCTGTTCACCCTAAGATGGCATAGGATGCCTCATTGTTGCCCCAAAATTACTTGTACGTCCTTCTGCATCAGATCTTGCCTATATACATATGTTTGTTGGTCCACGACGAGAACACACGCGGTGGTGGAGTTAGGGTCGTGCGCACTCAAATCATGAATCCTGATAAGCACGAAAACTTGTCTGGGCGTGGCCGCCTTAGCGTGTTTGAAGCTGGTGACGAAATCATTTTTTATTCATGATGCGACTGATCGTGAAAACTGTCCAGGGTTAGGCTGGAACCGAACGTCAGCTCGGTTCTAAGTTCGAACGTTGACGAGATTACTGCCGGGTAGGCGGCAAAACTCTACATGCGGGCTGATTGAATTATCATTGTGAATATTTTAATGCCGAGATACGAAGCTACTACTAGTACTAGTAGGAGCGGGTATTCGTATACGAGATGAATATCGAGATGAATTATATTAATCCTGGGAGTGGAGGGTGGGCGAAAATATGAGAGTGAGCGAGGGTAAAGTGGGAACGAGCGAGCAGACCGCATGGAGTAGTGATGAAGGAAACCGAGCTTGTCGCTCAGCTGGACGTGTGATGCTGGATCCTTCAGCAAACAGGAGTATAGACGACACTGCCGTGTTGAGATGACTAATTCGATTGGTTCCGTGTTTTGAACTTGGATGGTTTGGTTCAAATACCAACGAATAAATTTTACTTACGCATTGGTAAGGATTCCCAGGACCCACTTCCGCGGCCGCGGGCCGCGGCTGGCATCATACATGGCTGGCAGGCTTATGTATGTGCCCTCGCGCCTGTTGGATCTCCCAAGTTTTTCTTACAATGTGCAGAGCTATACTCACTGCCTCGAATCTATCCGTCCGGAATGATCGCGCTAGCCGTACATCTCACTGTCCCGCCAAGGACGTCACAAAATTTTCTTCCGTACATCACGACCGATGGCTAGTCATACAAATATTCTGAGTTACATCAACAGCAACCTGGCTTCCTTGCATTCCGAAACAGCTTAAGCCTTCACGAACAGCCAGTACTTTTTCTCATGATCCCGAACGCTTGGGGGAGGAGCCGGAGCAGTAACGATCTGAAGTGACGTAAGTTATAAAGCCCCAAAAGAAGATCACAACAACAAACCGGGGTGAGGTCTTTGTCTTCATTGAGGACCCACACTTCGTTGACGTCCTTTTTATGGATTCTGCAGATAAAGGGGACAAATGAATTATCGTTACCGGTAACAATAATCATACCCACACATATTTTCCTTCGCCCTCGGTGGAGAACTGGAGCACCTGGGGCTCGGCGCTGCCTACGACTTTCCCTGTCTATGATTTCACGCCGTTAGCAATCTCTCATATATAAACACCAGATAGACTAACCTGTTTATCGATGGTAATATACTTGTGCCTCAATTTATCAAAAAGAGTTGCAAGACCCAGAACTTCGTCCTTAACAAGGAGCTCGACCTATAGGCATCGATGAGTATAAAATGTATGTCAATGACAATGATGCAACACGTACAACATCAGCATCCTTGAAGCCAACGACCGCGCCCCCAGTTTCCATGTGGACAAACCTGTCTTTATGCAAAAAATTCTGGATCTTGTGATCGCCGGAGGGCAACATAGTGTGAGGTGTGTTGATAGTTGATTCTGTTGAGTACTGAGTGAGATATAGTTGCGGATAGAAATCAATGGCAGCATACGCTGCGACCTTTATACCTGCCTGAAGGCTCTATCATGTTCTAGATGCTGATGCTCAACATCGCCCTTCGTCTGAGTCTCGGTCTTGAGTGACAACTCACTTGGCTCTTCTGGAATATCATGCGCCCATTGGAACCTTTGTCATTAAAGCGCAAGTATCATCAGGGGTATATTGAACTATGCAGTCTTTCCGTGGGTCGCCTACGAATCATGATTCTTGATCGCCTTTCTTACCCCCAATCTCTATAAGGCTACGGCACGGATAGGAGCCTGTCAGAGGTGGTAACATGTTCCATCCAGGCTGTCATTCCCTGAACACTGTGCTGCGGTCGCTCTAGATGAAAAGGAGCCTTGACCGCATGACGCTTTTCAGTGACATGTTTTGCGTCATCAGAACTTGAATTTCAGAAATTGTCCCGATTGTAACCCGAGGCGTCATTATACGAGGTTGGCGAGGGAGCAACATTACGGTTCTAACAATCTTTCCATCGAGGACCTTGGATCAACGACGACAGCAAGCATGGAAGATGGAAGATGAGCCTGCAAAGGTACGGAGCGTCCGAGTAGTATTCCTAAGAGAAATCCAGGGATTGGCGGGGTCAGAGGGGAGCGTCCTTCATGTTTCCGTGTTGGATCTAGCTTAGAGGCTCGTGGAGCCTGAGCTCCAGATCTTTAAAAATAGATCCGACGCGACCGGAGTACTAGTATGCGGCACATTGCGCAAACCTGTTCGGAAGCAGGTGATAGATAAAAGCCTTGTATCCAAACAACCAGATGCTCAGTAGACGGTAAGGCACTTGTTTCAAATTCAATGGCGGACGTCACATACATTCAATAATTTTGCTGATGTCGATGAGGCTCTAGATCTCTGCAAACCGAACATGCGCCATGATGATATCAAATTGTTTTAATATATCCATTGTGTTTAGCAGCACCATGCGCCCTACCACGACCTGCGGGAAAGTCCTGGCCACTGATAGAGATGTCTCCAATACAGATGCCATCTAGGGAAATGTAGCCCTTCACTTGCCCTTCACGGAGCCACTCTGATAGTCGATGGAGAATTTAGAGTCATCTGCATTGTAGGCAGGGGGAGTATTTGTCTTACATAGTGTCGAGGATAACCTTGAATAATTGACGTGGGCCCTGGAGAACTGAGCCTGAGATGCCGAGCTCGATCTCAGCAGCGGCATAATGCTGAAACTGTTAGTACATAAGTGAAGTCGAAGTGTGAACACGACGGCAAGAGAGGATAGGGCGGAAATACCGAAGGGGACACTATACCATGGTTGACGAACTCCTGGTTCCAGACGATGCTATCTTCCTCAGGTGTCGAATAAATGTTGCGCTACACCCAGCGCTACCATGAGCACCCATCAGAAGGAGTTCGATTGTTGGTAAGGAGTCTGTGCGCCGTACTTCTCCTAGTGACTGATCAAGCGATGTTGACATCAGGATTTTTTCTTACCGGTCATCATGCTAGTACAGCGCAGTATTTCTCAGCGATTATAGTAGAAGGGGCCTTCGAGTGCACGATCAAGCGAGACTTGCGGGAGCTCGGTTGTTACCCACTGAAGCGAGCGGGAGCCAGCCGTTCCTGCATGCAAACTTGAAGTGCATCGTAGGTAATGCGTTGTTCCCGGGTACAGCAACAAGTAGCCTAGACATACCTGATCAGTTTCGATCACCACTCGATAGCAGCCTTGCGGAAGAGGGCATCTGAATACGGGATAATACGATCCTTCGGTTTCTTGTCAGTAAGGTGGGCATCGAGTTGAGCTTGAAATTCTGCAGCAGCGTCTAGCTTGTGTCCCTCGGTAACATTGATGTAGATTTGCTGGCATCCGCCCACTGGATGTATTCATTCTGTGAATGAACAAAGTCAATCCTTACTAAGCTAGGCAGAATGTAGACTGGTGACCAGCCCGTCTATGAGGCAAGCCGTCGATAGGCTGGTCACGAGTCTAGGCAGAATGCGCAGGACACTTTGATGAAGTACCTTTACAAGGGTGTGGGATGTCAGGCACACTTGATGTGAGCGGAAGCGTACTCCTTGGGGTGGCCTGAAAAGGTGCGTCTCGAGCTCATCCGAGTCATGTATCATGATAAAGCACCTCACCGGAATTCTGCAGTTGACGGAGATCGCTGGTATTGGCTGTGACACATATTGTACGGGTTATGATTGATCGATTATAAACGAAGATACAACCTCTTGAATAATGCTTCAGGTATACATATCTGCCTTCAACTGACTGCGCGGCTGAATGAACGCTCGGTGGATGAACCTCCTTTATCTGATTTACGTGGAAGTATTTGATGTCTACTCAAGCAACAAACTATAGCATTTCAGATTCGCATACAAATACATTCACGAAGAACGTCGCAAATTACATCATGATGAAGGCTAGTGTTGACACAATCACCTGTTGATCAGAACTGCAGTCAGTCAGGTCCCTGGTAGAAAGGCGCTAAAACATACGTTAAACAGACACGGAGCTCAGTCGAGGAAATCTCTTTCAGTCAGAATGCGGCCATTGAACATCTTTCCAAGGTGGGTTGGCAGATACCCCATGCCTTTCCTTCTCATTCCGAATAACTCCTTGAGCGGAGGAAGCTGGGATCGTTTGAACGAGCACGATGCTCTCGCCCAAGGGCGATTCTCCCTGATGAATCCATCACTGTCGACTATCAAGTCCTCGTCCCCCAAATCCGGCGCGTTGAGTCCTAAGAAGTTGCAAGTGTGGAGATACATCTCGTAACTGGAGAAATAGAGTTGGCCCGCAAAAAGGTTGAGCTGGCAAATCAGCGGCTCCGGTGGTGTCAGATGGGGTGTCGAAGGAACACGGTAGAGCTGAAGATCATCGCATGCCTTCATCGTGTTTGTGGTGCGAGGAGTATAGACGCACAAGTGAACTACATTGCTGTTCCGGATATCGGGCAGCAGTCTATCCACTTCGTTCGGGCTCATGACTACCAGCACTCCAACGTCACTGGATACCATCCAATTGACAGGTCGCAAGTATTCATCTGCTTTCTCCATGATAAGGGAAGTCTCCACCGTATGGGCGAAATCACGGGTGACTAAAATATTGTGTGCCCACTGATCGCCTTCATGAAATTCAGCAGTAGTGTCGACGAGGCTGGATAGCGCTGGAATGAATGCGGGGGACCCTGTAGGAATTCGGCCGGTCTGGACAAATCGACGAACGTCCGCATGCAGGTCTTGAGTCGCAGGTCTTACTTTGGGCGGTCTGTGAACTTGACGTTCCTTCTCTATCTCGTGGACTACCTCCCTTTCTTGTTCCTCATCCATGCTCCTTTCAGGTCCCATTTGAACTCCGAGTTCCTCACATTTGCTTCGAATGTCTGCATCGCAAACGTGCGATACCTGTGAAGGACGGCGTGGTGCGTACATATCCTCTAATGAACGCTCCTCTGGCTGCAACCACGCTGTTTCCAGGGTGGAAATCGAAGTGGTAGGGGCGCGCGAGAATTGAGTCCATGCGGAATGCCGTGTGTTGAAATCCGATCCCTGTTGAACCCAGTGGAATGCACGCATCTGAATGTCAAGACAGGTTTCAAGCATCGCCCAGTGCAGGATATCTGCCACGTCGACATTGCTGGTATCAGTTTTGTGAGTCGCCGAACGAATGTTTCGGTCAACTTCCTGTCGGAGCGAAGAACATGACTGAGTGTCCATTGCCCAGCTTCCGCATTCGCATGCATCCTGTGTCATTGGTCATTGTCGAAACTTATATGCAGGAACTCTGATCACGAACCTTGCGTCAGGCGGTCTTTCGTGACTTTCGGACCAAGCGTGACAGCAGCTCGGAAGCCGGAAGGAAGTTTGACATCTGTTCCTCTGGTATGCGCGTCATCCAGGTATATCACACACTGGTCAAGCTGCTGGGCAAAGGGGGACGACACAAGGGGCTCCACCGTCCCATCCCGACTGACAACGACAATCTCATCATCGTCATTCACAAAGACTGCAGCTTGGGCGTCGCGCTTGGCTCGAAGCCATGTCTCGGCCAATTCCTGATTCTTCAATTCCAGCATCTGTGCACCCACATCCAGGAGCACGCGGACCTCGGGGGTTTGGGCGATAAGGGCATCGATGAAATGTGACACCTTTTGGCTGGGGGGTATGCATGTGTAGCAGTTGTTCTCCGGGCGCAGAAGGAACGCAAGGACTCGGGCATTCGTGCTGCGTTGGTAATCAAGGTCATGCTGGACAATCGAGCTCGGTAACAAATAACGATTGTCGTTGGTACCAGAAAAACCAGTTGTGAGATGTCTCTTCTCTTGAGCGAGATCCCACCCGGAGCAGGTGAGCTTTCTGGGGAATCCCTTCGCTTCCTTCGGGAAAACTACTCGGGACAGGTAGAAATCTATGACTGCCTTGTTGCATGCAAACAGTTGCTGAAGGTCACGGAGCTGCTCTGCGGATTCCGTATTGATTCCGCTAAGGTGGCGCAGACTTTCTGGGACGGACTGAAGTCCAAGCACCCAGGATTCATACTCGAGGGCAGGATTATCCTGCTTCAGCAGGAGCTCGAAGCACAACATCAGCTGGTGGAGCGTGAGGCCCCCATAATAGTAAGAGAGGCACGTGAGGATGATAGCAACGTCCGGATGGCCAAACTCTGCCCGCTGCGAGGGCATGTCTTTAGCGCGAAATGGAACGGCTAGCATAGTTCGTTTTGGGGCAAGGCCATAGTCCACGCGCCAGCGACGTTCTTTGATAGCGTACACCAAGATACCATACGCCAACAATCCTCGCAAGACTAGAAGGCTGGGCCATACGGTAGTGTCTCTATAGCGATCTTCCACTACACTGACACAAGTGTTGGATATATGCTCAGTTGCAATAAAGCGGCAAACAGCTTCTTTCACGTGGAGAGATGCTTGATCGAAACTGATGTTTTCAAGCGCACCATTGATGATATCCTCTGCGATCCATTGGACCAATGCTTCGCCTGCTGTCGGGTGCAGAACGCGAACGAAGGGGAACCCTCCATGCTCACGAGTGGACACTTCTGAACGCGAGCGAAATTGGCTCATGAGCCGAGCAGCGTGTTTTGCGACCAGACTCAACACTTGTTGTGTCGTCGTCCACCTTTCAGGATGGCCTTGAAGCGACCTCTGGAGGCCCACAGTGTACACCAGCTGGTACCGGACGTGTAGAATTTCGTCACTTTCATCCAGGATGTCGCGTGTGTGATTGTCGAGCCATAGCTGAGTCCGCAGCATGTCTTCGGCAGCTTCAGTATGAGGGGACAGGTGACGGTCAATAGCCATTAACTGGAACGACAGAATATGGTCCGGTTGCACGACCAAAATGCCCTTGGCATCCATGCATTCTTGCATCAGGTCACGATACATTTGCACCTTCGATGAGTCGATAGAGAGTGCGCGAGAGAATGGAATATAGAAAATGCGCCTCTGTGCAAGGCCGCTTAGTCGTTCAACCAGGAGCTGGAACATCTGAGCAGACAACGACTTCAGCACGATTACTCGCACCAGTCTGTGGCCATCAGAAAGTGCGGCTGCTGCGAGAGGAACGATCACGTAGGATTTGCCTTCGCCCATGTTCAGCTGCAGAGAAGTATTTCCTCCTGTGCATGGCGACATCATCTCCAGCGCAACCTTGACCTGGACTGGCCGTGCCAAGAACTGACTTTCAATCTGAGGATGGCATTATCAGTTACCGTTAGTGATTGATTTCTTTATAGCATACCTGTATTAGAAGCCAGTCAGGGTATAGCTCCGGATCAAATCCCTCACAATCTTCGCTCTCCAACTCCTTGAAGAACTCGACCCAGTTTTTGTTAGCAGCAAAGACCAATAGCCTTCGCGAGCGTTGCAGCTGCAAAAGTATCTGCGACAGCTGGACAAGAGTAGCACGCCAAGCCTTCCCAAAAGAACTTCCTGCTGCAGAAGCCATGCGAGTGAAGAGGAAATTTGGTGTAACTCGGGGCCATAATCCAGCATTGTATAACGTGCTTTCAGCAGCAGAGGCAGGAGAGAGGGCGTGTGAGATAGATGCGAGTGAATCTTGGAATTGCCGGCTTTGGAGAGAATGGTATTCAAGCAGTAATTCCATCGTGTATGGCGTAGAATCTGGTAGGGCAACCATCTTTTCGTCGTAGTAAATTGACCTGCTCTGATCCAGATCATCGGCATATTTGCGGCGAAATTTGTCGCTTCCTCGGGCGCGAAAGTTGTTGATCAATTGTTGCAACCTCGCTGTGACTCCGGAGTCTGGAGATATGAAATCTCTTCGACTCAAATTGTAAAGAACTTGGGAAGACCAATGCACGCATATAACAGACGCATCTCGATCGAAAAGGTACTTGGCATCAATGGATGAGGATGGCGAAGCAACATCTGAGAGTTCAGGATGGGAATTGAGATTGTATTGTGAGGGTCCTTCTGACGGAGAATTGGGAGAGTAGAATTTTTTGAGAGTCCGCTGTATGACATCCAGGTGTTGCTTCAAACAACGGTTTCGCCAACAGCTGCGAAATACTGGGGAAAGTTTCCCTGACAGTTCACTGAGATTATAGCAGTCCACTTGGAGAGTATGAAGTGATGGAGGATCTTCGCGTGGCCAAGCATCCCGAACTTTGCTGAGAATGACTTGCTTTTGAGAGCGACACTTTTCTTTGAAAGCTGCATAACGACGCTTCCACAAAACCTCTTCATCTTCCTCGGGACTTGCAGCTAGCTGTCTCTCCTCGCTGGTTTCATAATCTCTGGTACACGAATTGATGATATTATTCAATCTCTCATCGGACGGCATGAAACCATCCGAGAGATCATAAGAGGTGAAGTCTGGGGGGCAATCCAGGCTGCGAAATTCGGGAATTGTGGCGAAGGCTAAGAGTGTCGGGACGAGGGCGTGGTCGTCCAACAAGCTGTATGATACCGAAGACAGAGTGAACATCAACTGGAATCTGTCTTTCTTCGTAGCACTCCGACAGCGGTCGTACGCAGAAAGGAAGACGTCGGGAAAAGTCGGTTGAAGCCAGTCTTTGGAGTATTGTAAACTGAGCGGTTCGCCAATGCCCTGGACATCTTCGCCACCCTCGAATTGGTCAACAAACTAAGGAGATTCCTGTTGCACTGGAAGGCTGCTTGGCCACTGATGCACCATGAAGGCGGTTCGAAATGCCCTCTCTTCCGCGACTTTGTCGGGAATATCACGTAAAGTATGGATAACGTCTGTGTCACCGAGCGGAAGTGGAAGAGAGAACTGATCAGGATAGATCGCCGAGGCACGAACTGACGCGCGCTCAAGAAGGTGGTTGGTGAATTGCGGAAGCTCATAGGCGAGCGGAAGGTTTGCAGACCCTTCTGAGAAAGTCGCAGAGCTGCATGCCGTAATCCATGATAGATTTTGCGGCTGGATGAAAACCATGGTGTTGCGCAAGGGACGTAAGGCATGACCACGAAATTGTCTGCATCTTCTGGAGATGAGTGGGATACCAGACGCGCCTGGTTGACAGCGAACTGATCTCGCGCAAAAGATCTGTGTCACGAGAGCGAAGCCTCATAAACGATCGGCAAGCTGCGGAATGTAAGAGATGCAACGCCTCCTCTGTCCCCGTTCGACCCGTAAGCGGATCAGGGAGACAGCCGCTCGTGACAGCGTGAAGGAGCGCCTGATAGAGCTTGCTTGTCAGACCCACGTTCCCAGTGAGACAGCGTAGATCTGTATCAACCCTGTACAACTGGTATGTCACCCGAGTACCTTCAGGAGCGATAGTGACGCGGACATGATGACCATTCGCAGAGTATAAGACACGACCGTCTGGGATGATGACGGTGCGCGGATGCTCATCCGCAACTTGCAACTTCGGGCGCAAGATGAGTTGATTGACTAATCCCATCATGGTGCCAGTAGACTGACTGGCATCAACGACCATGTTGCGCATGTTACGGGACTGCAATTCCCCATCCTCATCGACGAAGAACTCGAGGCAATATCGAGGCAGATCAACCTTCAATGAGGGAGTGCTGCCGGATGCTTTATTATATGTGACCATGATGAATCGTGCATCCTCCAGAGGACGCAGCCTCTTGGATATCATGTCCCATGTTTGGCTGCGTATGTCAAGGAGGGTTGCACCGCTAGAATTCTGCACCGTCGAGGAACCTGAAACAGCAAATCGCAAGACCCAATTATCAGGCGAAGATTTCCACACATTCTCTGCTGCCCGAATCTCAATTTCGCTCGTGCGCAGGTTAAGCCAATGAGTATGACCCACAACCAAGGTGGTCGGTAGGTCATCCACGAATTTGTGGCTCGGAATGAGCTGGAGGATAGGTGAGTCGTGTTTGATATGCTTCGCACGGATGATGAGGTCGTTCGAGTCACGGAGAGAGAAAGATATCTTCAGGAACAAGCGAGTACATCATTAATTACCGAGTGATGACAACGGGAGTGGCTACCAACCTGATGGTCGCAGAGGTTCCCGCGTGTCGCATATTCCATTCCAGGAATATCAGCTGGAACAATGTCCAGAACTTGCTGTAGTTGATAGGTGAGCGTGTACCGTCAAAGCTACAACTTCCAAAAACTCACATCGCCGAAAATCGATTGGTAAGTGGGATGTTGCACTATAATCGAAGGGAGCCTGCCCAGCTGCTTCCCGTCAACAAGCAAGCATCCACTAATCAAGTTGAAGTGCACGTCCTGTGGTGATTGGGAACGCGATGGCGCAGTCTGAGTCACAAGCCAACGAGAATTTGGAGCCGTCATTGCCTTCCAAGGAGTTCCTGGTCTGTAGCTGCCCCAAATCTTGGTCATCGTGCAATCAAGACCCTCCCTGTGAAGCTCTGCATATCGACGAATAGCTGGTTCTAACGCGTGACAACATCTCTTGTCTCGCTCTAGCAACAGCTTGGAATGCTGTGGAAGATTGCTCGGAGTGTTGTCATAAATCATGACCGCACAGTATGCAAATATCTTGATGTCGTCGTTCGACGTCAGGAGTAGTGAAGCGTCTCCGTCGATATCGAAAGTGCTACGACAGGTGACTGCCAATTCCCGAACGCGCCCTTGTAAATCCGTCTCCCTCGTTGCTAGCTTGCATTTTCCCCGATAGTTGCGTCAGCAACGTAAAAGTCGCATTTCGTATCCTCCGAAGCAAAAAATATCCGCGAATTTTGACACTCTCTTCCTGAGTCGAGGACAAGACGTGGTACACAAGCATGATGATAGTGTCGATCGTGACGGCTTCCAACCAATTCCCTTCGACACTCGCCATCAAATCCTCCAGCTCTCCGAGTAGTGCACCAAGGAAGGGAACGCTGTTCAACTCCTCATGCCAAATAAGGCCGTCGTCGGACGAAAATGGACCGACCTGTGAAACAGCTTGCGCCAACAGTAGATGGACCTCCTCACGTCGAAAATTGAGCGTCCTTGCACGGAGTTCACGTAGCACGTTCATCCATTGCAAACGTGGTCCACTCCGCAGGGCTCCGAACGCGATGAATTCGTGTATAGTCATATCCTCGTGACAATCTGCCTGATTGGCTATGACCTCGTTTGACGGGTGGGATGTCCCTGCAAGATACCGCTGCAAACCATCATATGGTCCCTTGGGAAGGAGGAAAGTGCATGGCTTGCTAGAATCACAGCGCTGTAATACATTGGTGACCCATGTGGCCGTGACTGTATCGAAAGGCTGGAATACGAGCCCATTACTTCACACAGACGCTGTCAACATCCTCCGTGGGAATGCGAACGGTCTTGTAATGACATTTGGTGAATGGTTTGGCATTCGATGCCAAGGTCAGCCTCTGCCTTGGATGGCACTGGCGATAACGCTGCAACGCATGATAATCTGGGAGTGTTATGAAGGCGCTAGTGTGTGAGATTTCTTCCTGTGGAGTACAGATATCAACGAGGACATAGAATGTCGTAGATCTCCACATGTCCAGCGCGATGGGGCACCCTAGTTCAAATACCACCGCGATCGCCTCCTTTTCACCGGCTGGTAGTGGCCACTCGTGAACCGTAATATTCATCGCCCGCATTTCCTTTTCCAGGCGACACTTTGCACAGTTCCGGGGGGGCTCATGCACTTGCTTGCCGCGTGGGGAGACGCGGTATGTGTGTGATAAGTCTTCCGCGCGCTTCTCCTTATCAGTGTACCTCCCGTTGATGGTTTGAAGCTCGATCAACTTCTTCTCCCGCTGTTTCTGACCATCCGCCTCGATGCGAACCTTTAAGCTCTGCAACTCTGGTGACTGGGAAAAATATCGCGCCGCGAACGACTTGTCATCGTTGATGAACGAGAAAGCCGACAGACGGCTAGAAGCCTGGCAATGACGAGCTTTCAGGTAGGCGTGCAATTTCTTCAAACGATCGAGGCCAGAAGCTTTGCGGATTAAAAGACACTCCCAAAGTTTCAATGGGATTTCGGGGGAGTATTCTGCCAGGAGTGGAATTTGTCCAACAACGATCTTATCCATGGCTACCCAGAGCTCAAAAAGGGTGAGAAGCATAATAGATAAATTCTCCGGGTTTCCTTTATAAGCCGTAAGCGCTCTCGAGGAATACGCAGAGGCGCACGCCTCGATCGAGATGCATGCGGAATCGGTACTCTGGAATGGAACGCGCGCCACCCAGTCGTCGATCCCTGAACTAATCGCGGTCTCGAAATCTACAAGGGCAAGAGATGGTTCTGCGGAATGAGCAGCCACCAGGAAGCTAGCTTTGGCGTCAAGGAAATTATCGATTGTCCCGCGCGTGTGGTGGCTGGGATTGAATGAGGTTGTTTGAGAGGACGAATGCTGGTTCTTCAAAGCTTGGCATATGTACTCTCTGCTCGTGTTCAAGGAAAGATGGGTATCTTGCAAGACTCGAAGTGTATCGGGAGCCCAATGAGGCGAGGCCCGTTGCGCGTTCTGAACAGATCCCCATCTTTCCTCCAAGACACTCCTTACATCACCGGTGACCTTACTGACCATCTGCGACAACTCCGCAGATGCAGAGGATCTTAGCTTGAAAAGACGGCGTGCGATCTTTGCCGACATGAAGTGTAAGATGTCATTCGAAAAGTCATGGTCGAGGGCAATGGACGTAAGCCTCGCCATGAAGAACAGCATGAACGATTTATACGTCGTTCGTCCAAGAGCACCGCGCTCCAGAGTCGTCTGTAAGGCAACGCGAATGACAAGCCAAAGTGAAGACCGCCTCCATGGCAATTTCGCGCTGTCCCACAGCACATCATCTCCGATGCGCTTGCGGATGCGAGGAACATCAGCGATGCTCCCGAGGCCACGCAGTATACCAGTCAGGAGTTCCGTGATATATCTGGGATGTGTGGTGTCCCTCTCTTCGAGAACAGTGGATTTAGCCTTTGTCCTGGTCGCTGCCGCATCAAGGACATCTTCATCCATGTGAACGAGAAAATTTGCGAGCTCGGCGGCAAAGGTGGCATTATCAATGTTCGTATCTGGAACTGTGATAGCAGGTCCAGGATAAGAACAAATCAGCTTTCCCTTTGCGCCCATCACTGCGGTGGGGTCAGGAGAGACCTCAAATGACTCGAATATGGTCTCGGATTCGAGTTTTCTCATGACCACCGCAGCGTTTTGTGCGCGAATCATGTATACAAGAACATCTGCAAGTTGATGCTCAGCTTAAAATATATACAAATGGAATGATAACGGACCTTTATTGTCCATGACACTGATTTGAGATTCGACTTCCTTTGCAGACATCGCACTAAATCTAATCGAATCTTTAAGGTTCTGAAGCATTTTCAAGCTGCTCATCCAAAGGAGTTGCTTATCGGACGGCAGCTGCTCGCTGAAGGCGAGAGCAGCTTCCACAACCGCCTGAGCTAAGGCCAGGTCGTTCTTGAGGGAATAGTCACTGCCTTGCGGCAACTTGAGGGGGCAGTACACATGATTGATGATGTATTCCAAGCCAGACTGGTCTGTTGGATGATGGTTTGAGTGTTGGGACATGTTGTAGTTTTGAGAGAGAAGAGAGGGGTGCAAAGCCACCTCTTTTGAGGTACTCCTAAGCGCTTGCGCCCGATGGTCACTAGGTATCCCAATTATAACATCACTGGCTGTAATTCATAATCGCGGAACTTCTATATGAGATCTGAGCCCTGCTATCGGATGATCGTCAAGGCTGTACGTGGGCATTCGCTTGAAGAACGACTCAAACAAAGATCGCAGCTCAGTTTTGAGCCTGAAGGTTTGATGCAACCAACAGAAAGTGTGCTAATTGCGGAATCTGTTTATCAAAGTGCATCAACTTCTTCACGATTTGGTGCTCACTAGTTTCGAAAATTCTCAGCTCCAACATTCCTCAATCAACCTTCCCTCCCTTTCCATCGTAGCGACATACTCCACAGCCTCGGCATTCGACCTTCCTCCGAATTTCTCCACTGCACCTCGCACAACTTCACGGACAGCAGTAGGCATTTTGTTCGAGGAACTATTATAGAAGCTTAGGATTCACCACGCGCTATATATAATCTAGACTCACCCTGAGATGATAAGGATGCCACGTTGCTGCCCCAGCATTGTCCAAATATACTGTGCGTCCTTCTTCATCAGATCTTGCACATACGTCCGTTTGACACCCTCTGGTCCATCACGAGAACACGCAACGCGGTAGCGGAGTTTGTGTTGTTCCGCATGAGATTCCCATTCCGAGTGATAATGCTGATCCTTGTGTGCAGAACGGCAACCAAAGTATAAGGTAGTATCTGGGGTCATCAAAGATCAACTGATATACAAAGACGGCCAAACATACTGGTGTATCCCTCGTGTATGCGTTGCTCAATGACGGCACGCATAGGCGCAATGCCTGTTCCTGGACCCACACACACCACTGGTGTGTTTGGATCCGTAGGAAGGGAAATGAAGCCCTTTCTAAGACCGATACGAAGGGTATCTCCTGGAAATGATATGAGTTCGGGGACTGCGCTAGAACGCCATGCGGACCTAATTTAAGCCCTGATAGATAACTAGTACAAACGCCTTTCCGATGAATTTTCAACTTTGTGCGATAGCGCACTATAGCAACGCAGAGATGGATCTCACGGGGATAGAGCTGACGAAACCCAGAGATGAATTAGGCTGCAGCGAACGCATTTTGACATGAGCTCACCTCGACGGAACTAGCAATGGAGAATTCTCTTGGCCTGAGTGGAGGAAAGAAGTCGAAGACATACTCTCTCGGTATCCTTGCAGACCGGAACTCGGACAATACTTCCCAAGTCGTGCGTTTCACGCGTTGACAATAATCATACAATTCGTCCTGCACGTCCTCAATAAAAGAAAGAAAAACGAGGAAACCGACGTACCGCTCCTTCTATCGATACAAATTCATCAAGTTTTTCGCATTCGAGCTCGTCGGTAGCAAAATATCGCAGCAGTCGGAAAAAAGAGCGGCGGGGCACAGCATTGAAATCGAGATAACGTGTGAATAGGATTCGAAGGGAAACGATTTTCGGTAGATGGTCGGGCAACGTTTGATCTGTGAAATATTAAATGGGGTTTACTGGGTCCTGTTTTGTTCATACCTAACATTGTATGTTCCACTGTGAAAAAATCGTCGGCAACATTTGCCCAGCCCATGGTGACAAGGAAAGAGTCGACTTCTGATGCAGCTGCAGATGGATGAATCACAGCAACATCTCCAGGATTATATCTGAGATTCCCCATCAGTAGCTGCGAATTCAAAAGACAAAGACCCGTACTTTATATCGTCTTCGAAGGAGAACTCAAAATGGCGTACGTCCTGAAACCAATCTTCCGCAGTGATCCGTCTGTTACACTTCACCGAAGCTGTATGAAACTTCGTGTCCTCGTCTAGAGGATCTGGATTCGGAAAGGTGTCAGATCCCAAATTGCTAAAGGACACGCGAGGTGGTGGTCGACCAGCCGGAATGTTATCTTGCTCGTGCGGTAGTGGGTAGAGCTGTATGAGGACTTCCAGGAGACATTCGATCCAAGGATCTAATGCACCATCTACCCTGCACTTTGATTAGCCACATGAAACACGGAAAACAAAGGATACCCACCCTAGGCGATGCTGTTCATCTCCTTCTCCTCGTGAGCAAATTTCATAACCTCCCAAACTCTGCATCCTTCTCGATAGCTTCTTTGCCGGCCAACAGAATTTCTCATAGGCCGTGTCTCCAAGGCCGAACACGCAGAAATCCATGTCTTCGAATAGGTCATCTGGGAGATCAGACCTCAGCAACATGTTCCATAACGAAGTCATGGCTCTGGGTTCAGCGCCCCAGCCAGTGGTCGAAACCACGAAGATGACCAAGTGTTCCGAAATCAACGTTTCCTATGCAGGACCTGAACACCATGTTACAACGATTGGGAAGCCGCCTACTGGTGGATACGCATCCATGCCTTGCACACGGCAGTGAAAACGGACTCTTCGACATTCCCTCGCAATACGATCAGCAGTCTCTTGAGCTGTACCTGTTTCCGTCGCGTAGAGAATCAAAAGTTTGCGAGACGCAGATGAATGTTGATTATCTTCTGTAGTTCCATGATCACCGTGTGTAGACATATGTTGGACGTTTGATGAACATGAAGGCAGATTATTAGATAGCTGTGAAATAAGGAACAGTTGTCTTCCTTCTTTCAAGGAGACTAGATAACTGTAGGCCTGTTTGAACTTTGCGAAAATAACCTAATAGCCGAAAGACCCGTGACTCCGGCCGAATTTCCGACACCTCAATAAAGCCTGAGTTGCATCATGATTTGAGGATTGCAACGATGCACCACATACCGGTGCACTATCTACCATGTCTAAAGAGCTTTCAAGATTGTTTACAATACAAGGACCTAAGAATCTATGAAGGAATGGTCCCACTCAGCCTAAAGTCCCTGCTACTTGCCCCAACAGAGAAAGTGATAGTTCCTTCTGGTTTTGCCCACCCCTGGCGAACAACATCCCAAATAGAAAGATCGTAGCGGGACAGAGTTATCGATACGGAGGTAGTCTGCCCTGGTGAGACCTCCACGTTCGTAAAGCCCTTGAGGACCGAAGGCGGTTCACCGGCTGACAGTGGGTGATGGATGTATAATTGGGGAATCTGGAGGGCAATTGTCAATGATTTGGGCAAAATGATGATGGGAGGAAGGACGTGCCTCGCCACCGTATAAAGTACCAGTGTTTTTCACATTGAAGGTAACCTTGTATGCTGGCATATGCAGCCTTGTTGTAAATGATTAGTTTGATGCAATGAAATTATCATATTCAAGTACAGACCAGAGAGCAGTTGTCGACCCTTGAGCAATGGGTGTTGCACCACCGTCTTCCCAGTTCTGAACCAGGTCCATTTGTGCGGAGTCGGCGGGGTTAATTGCCATGATGGCAAGGTTAGAGTACTCGAAAGTCGTGTAACTCAATCCGAAGCCAAACTCATAACGAGGTGTGATGTTTTGCTATGGACGGTCAATGCTGGCTGAAACCGCGGAAAGCACAGTAGTACTTACTGCATCGAACCAGCGGTAGTCAATGAAGAGACCCTCGGTATAGTTTATGGACAGGATATCTGCTGCAGTACCACCCGTTACGAGCTGGGCAGGATAGTCCGTGGGGCTCTTCGCAATGGTGTACGGTAGTTTTCCAGATGGGTTCCAGGCACCGTAAAGAATGTCTGCGATGGCATTGCCAGCTTCGTTGCCGCCAAGGTTAGCCCAGACAATCTGCATATCCGGATATTATCAGGTGCGTATGAGCTATCTGATGCAGCACCCACGGCAGTAACGTTCGGGTGTTCGACCCAAGGTTCAATGATCAAAGGACCAACAGAGTTGGTGACCACGATAGTGTTGTTGTTTTGAGCAGCGACAGCAAGAATGAGCTGGTCACCCTGATGCCATGCACTCAGATTCTGCCTATCACCCGCATTTCCATCGACAGTGATGTAACCCTAAGAAGCATTATGTTCAAGTAAGCCGTGAGGACCGAAATCAAGGTTGGACGACCCACTTCACCCGAGTCGGAGTTGACGAAAACAATGGCGGTTTCCATACCAATGACGGAGTTGCCTGCGCTGGCGAGGTCCCAGTCATCAAAGTTCCAGAAAACACTGGTCTGATCCACTCTGGCGCGTGCTTGAATGGCTTCGTAAGGCTGAAAGCCAGGGGCAATTGTTAAACAGAACGATTGGACAAAAGCCAAGATACTCACGGAGATGAGATACGTGAAGTTGTCGGTACTTAAAGGCAGAAGTGCTTGAGAGATATTGTAACGCACGAAGACTGCCACTTACCCAGAACCCCAGCCCATAGCAAGGATGCCACTTGGATCGCCGCCCTGGTCTGTGTACTCGTTGGGACCCGAAACTGGTGGAGCAGCATCACTGCCGACTAAAACGATGCTTTTCGGCTTGTCCAGAGGGAGGGCGCCTTCATTCTTTAGAAGAACTGTACCAGCGGCACCAATCTCGCGTACAATTAGATAATGATCGCTTTGCGCATTGACCTCCTGATTAATGGGGTTGTAGAGGTCGAACGCAGAAAACAGTGGCATTTGGGTAATCTTCATCCTGATGCAAGTAGTACCATGCACCAATAATCCGCGTCGCCATATCATCAAGCCGCTGCATAGAGACAGTGCCATTCATGACCAAGTCCGTGAGATTCTGACCAAAGTAAGAAGTCCCTGAATCGAAGGTTATGTCTCCAGGCATCGTCATCTAATGAAATCAGATCAGTGATCTGAGACATAATCGACACAACACTTACATCAAGACCAGCGACAGCAGAAAGGATGTTCATCGTCGCAGACCAATCAGATTGGATGACTGGACAAGGTCATACAACTCAGGGGCTATTGATCCGAAATATCGAGTTTGACTCACAGCCTTGGAAGCCAAACTCGCGTTTCATCATGTCGGTGAGGGTCTTGTTGTTGTTGCAAGCATAAGTGTCATTGATCAAGTCTGAACGTTTGGTCGTATGAGGCACTGACCATTCAACTTCGGGAGACACTTACTATAACTGCACATAACCGATGAGACACCCGCCATTACAGCGCGCATAAAAGGTTGAGCGTAAATTTCGTGCTCGGTACGATCATCGACATTGGAGGATTCCTGCGTGCGCTTCCATTCTTGTTCGCTGGATTACAAGATTAGCCTAGTAAAATGACACGTTTGAATCGCACTTGTTGATGTAGTGCTTCGCGGTGGCCTGGACACCACCAGCTTGTAGACCCAGGATCGTTTCATAAGCGGTTTCGCCAGATAGGAATGGGTCAGCGCCGAATCCCTCCCAGTTGCGTCCACCTTGAGCGATGCGGCCCATATTCATCATGGGTCCCAGAGCGACATTGACACCCTTCATTCGGTTCTCTTGACCGATTGCAAGACCCCTGGCGCGCATGAGAGCACGATTCCAGCTACATCACAATACATCATTCGAGGTGAAAGAATTTCACATCTAAGACCTACGTGGATGCGGTAGTGATACCAGCGGGGAACGAAGTGACGAGGTCAGTATCCCGGACTCCAAGTGGCGAATCCTAGAGTAGGAGATATGCCAACAGACTTAACACTCGTCGAAAATAAACTTTATGATTCACTGACTTGAAGACACAACCCAGGGAAGTTTCCAACAGGAGGAGTGTTCCCGACACAGAGACCATTGGCCCAGCCAACGCCTGTAGTAATGTTGACTTTTTGCGCGATAGTGAAGTTGGAGATCTGTACGCAAAATCAGAAAGATTGCATTATCAAGCGCATTCACTCTTCATACCATAGACGTTGCCTTCGTGTAAGCGGCTGCCCAAGCCGGAGCAAAGTCAGGCACAATCACTGGGTCTGCGCTCACAGGAGGGGGATACAAAGGATCCGTTGCAGGGAAAACTGGTGGCTCTGGCGCGAGCGTTGGAGTCGGAAACGGAGTGAAAGAGTAGTATGACATGGGTAAAGTTAAGGACCAGTCTCAGTGGCAAGATAGGACGTCATCGAGGACGTTGTTGACACAGACGCTGAGACGCCACTAGTTGACGTGCTCGCGCTGCTCGTTGAGCTTGTACTACTCGTGACAGGAGTACTGCTGCTGAATGCACTGGCAGACGCAGAGACCGTGGCCGAGGAATTCGACGCGACCGCATACGACACAAGTAGCAGCACGAACGAAAGCGATCTTGGAGCCATCCTAGAGGACCCAAACGGGGAAGGGATATCCAGATGAATTCGCTACTGACCTGCATTGTTACTGCTGATTATAACTGACTGGTCCTGATGGACGAAATTAGCTCGCAGTCCGCAATGAACGCCGTGCTGTTGTTCGCATCGTTCACATTGCAATTTGTCGGAATCGTAAAAGCTTTACTCCAGATTCCGGGGAAAATAGTCGCTTTTCCCCATAAGTCTATAAATTTGTTAGATATTCGCTGTAAAACCAGACGAACGTTTGGTCACCAGATAATCTTTCAAACTTTCATACTTCACTTTAATGGCTGATTTACGACAACCTCCAGCGTTTCTTGGGCTATGTATAACCTTTCATGGGAGAGGTACCCCACACATGACTCCAACCGCCGTTGAAACACCACGCATCATGCGTGCTCTGATCCGTAATCATGTCCTGCTGATTCTTTATGTCCATTTCCCACTGAATTGTGTGAAACGGTCGGTTGACCAGCCTCTAAACAAAACCATGCTCTGTGGAACTGAGTCTGCGCCATCGTACTATATGTGTCCTTCAATCACCTACCCCGATCTGATTGCAGAGTCGCGAACAGCACATCATTCTGCCGTGGGAACTCTCCATACAAGTGACGTCGTGCTGGTTTACATAATCAGAAATTCGAGCCTCGAGGTGTAGGGCGGAGGAAACTCGGGGAGATGACGACATCAACAGCTGGCAGTGTTTCCACGACGCAATGATAACCGTACTCGATGTCAACTCTCTTCACAGATTTCATGGATGTTCGGACAATCGGGACTGTATTCAGGAATCACAGGATCAGACATGCGGTCTGGCGGAGCATAGTTCATTTAAAATATGGTGTGACGCGACCTTAAGCGCACGAAGATGTCAAATAGATAACGGGATCCTCGGGGTGCGTATGCTTTCCTGTGGGTCAGATCGTAGTCACTGTCACATGGCAAGCTTCAAATGTAAGTACAAGTGTGCTGGCCCAAGAAGAAGAGATCCGCCGAGACCTAGCATGGGGCATACGCGATAGATATCTTGCCACACGCCTGATCAATCATGGGACACTTTGAACAGGCTGTAACAGTGGCTCCTTTTTTCCGCGTTACATTCAGCTTCCCCTGCGGAAGTTGGACAAGAGGGTGCGGAACAGGGGGCAGGTCCCATGTATCAATATGGTGGCCCGGGCCTTCTGCGTATAATCTATGAGCGAGTACGAGGTAGTATCTATCAGTGTCTGCTCAGAATCATTCTCGATTCCTCGACAAGCGATGCTTCCGCAAGTAGGGCTCTCGAGTCAACTTGCATTGTAACTGACTGCTTTATCTGGTCCGACATCAGATTTCCGGTTTCCATCTTTTTTTAGATTGCCAACTTCACGCGAACGAAATAAACCTACAATTGGTGTGCTTATCACGGCGGGAATTCCCAAACTTGATCGTGCACAGTTCCATGATCGAATGTGGATATGATTGCGCCCTCGGGATCATTGCGCAGCAGGAATTTAAGGGTAAGAGCACTAAGATCATACTGTGATGAGCGTCAGTCGCAATGCTCGATATGGATCCAACTGGGAAGGTTTCGGCATAGATTCACGCTCGCGGATCTGGTACGAATCATCCTTTGTGAAAGGGCAGTGGTGCGTTGCATCTATCGGTCCTGCCCGTATCCTTGTGTTTGTGGAGTAGCTCATAGAAACAGAATCTGGGAACGAATCTAGGCGTCACACAACCAGTGGGGCTCATGGTGCAAATGAAGTTAAGAGGCAGTGTCAAGCTCACCTTCATGTGACAGGATGGCTCGAATCCTTATCTGTCAAGACTCGACACCATTACCTGCGATAACCAATTTGCAGATAGTGCGACGAAGTTGCACAGTCGGGAGTACAGGCCTGCCGCCTGAGGCATTCCGGGAGGAGAGACACGTGACTTCAAACTTGTATCGATGGTGAGGTTTGCTCAGGATTTGCCTAGCGAGTATTACTATCTGATGCATCGGAAGAAATATTATGCAGCGAAGCTACGTAGCGCGCACCTGTTCTCCCAGGGCGATGCCCGGCCCTTCTTACACCGCTGACTCCGCATCAACAATTAGTATTCATGTCTTCACTGATGAGTTGCCGTTGTACCTACTTGCAACAGATCAAAATCAAGACTCGCCTTACCTATGTACACAGTAACTCCAATTTGAAGTGATTGTGACTTTACAAGGCTGAATGCACGCTCGGTGCCCAGTCCATCGACAACGATGCCTACATTTCTGGAAAAAGAATCAATATTTTGCAAGAAAATTGACCCGTATAATTTACCAATGATAAGAAATTAAAGCCGAGTGCATCGGAAGCACCCCGGAAGTATTATATAGTTATGGGGTGACGAAGGATGATCGATGACGAGCGAAGTATATGAACCTAGGTTGGATATTCCGGCAAAGAAAATCCACCATGCGCGTCCCCACATCCATCACGGTGTTCTGCACGCTCGTCGCGTACGCTACCGCACAGTGCATGGAATGCGCATCATCCGTCATGTACAACAACGTGACTTACAACCTCAAGGAGCAGTGTACGGTGTACAGTGGATACCATTGCTTGTGAGTGTCCTGAGTCATAAAGCGAGTGGTTCAGAATAAAAGAGACTTACATGATGGTGTGATACAGTTACAGAGGCGATGACCCCGCAGGAGACTTCTGCGACTGTTATTACAATGTGGGTGCAATGCTTAGGACTGAATATGCGTGTGTAACTTGTTGAACTGGACGCAGAAAACGGGAATCATTGAAAACAATGAGTCGACGTACTTCTGCCCCACAGGGTCTTCGAATTTCAATGCAGCATGCTCTGGTTGCCCAAGTTAATTTGGCCATGATGGAGTTACGAATGGAAGGACTTGATTTGTCGGACTTTTCCGTAGCTTAGTCATTCGGCTATTAGTGGTTGTTAACGTTGAAGTACCGTTTGGTGATGGCCGGTTCAACGATCTGTGATCTGACTCTACATACATAGAGGTCATAGGTAAAGCTAGAACATTTAAAACTTGTATGTGATCAAGGTTCAAGTTGTCCGCTATGCAGTACGCTTACTAGCTCAAGATGACCACTGTTGGTCTCTTTCTTTTCTTACAGTGGGCTAGTGCTAGCCTAGTACTGTGACTACTTTGACCAATGCATCTTCCATGGCGTCAGAAGCAGCAGGCATCAGAAGAGTGCACACCATCTCTACCTTCTGAACAGCGCGGACTTGGAGCGCGATGGTCTGCTACGAAAGATGCTTTCAAGACGCATGTGGCTACCGCGCAAGCAAACACGAAATATACTCTTCAAAGATACAACGCCAATGTCAAAGACTGCCTCAGAGCCAAAGCATCAGAAGAGTGCACACCATCCCTACCTTCTGAACAGCGCGGACTTGGAGCGCGATGGTCTGCTACGAAAGACGCTTTCAAGACGCATGTGGCTACCGCGCAAGCAAACACGAAATATACTCTTCAAAGATACAACGATAGTGTCAAAGACCGCCTCAGAGCCAAAGCATACCAGCTCGGGTCACGTCCCGTTGCATATCTTGTCCTATCTGGCTTCTTCTTGGCTCTGTGTCGACGCTTGGCGTGACATTCGTGTACAGGCGGTATTTTAGGCGTTTGAGGACAGCTGAGTGGGTTACACCTGATATACTTCAGCGGAAGAGATGGGTGAGGGGTGTCGTGACGAGGTGAGTTGAGTTTCCAACGCTATGTAGGCTTTGGGCTTGGCTTAATCTGTAATGGGTACGCGAAGTGTAGGGGATGCAGATAACTTTAGGCTGTATCATACCCCTGGCTTTGGGTGGAGGTGGCCACTGAAATTCAGGAGAGTACCCACTTTGAAGTAAAGGTCCGTTTGTGTACCCTTATTTTCTCATGGGATATGTGCTCACTTACATGAAACAATAAGAACTCAAAGAGCAAACGATCCACGTTCGTATCGCAGGTGTTGATGCGCCCGAGGTGCGTTGGTTATACAAGTAGGGCTCTAAGAGAGTTCTGGATGAGACCACCCTGACTGAATTGTTGGTCCATTGCGTGCAGGGATCACACTTTGGTCGCCAAGCCCAGCCATACGCTGTAGAAGCTCTCGCGTGGTTGAAGGATGCGATCGAGGGCAGAATAGTCTACTGCCAACTCGTTCGGCGTGACCAATATTCTCGTATTGTATGCACCGACACCTAGATCCCCAACTGACTGTCATTCACACTCACGTCAAATAGGTATCTGTGGTCACTCTTTCGCCACCATTTTTCCCAGGCTGGCTTATTACAGGCCGGAGTCTCGCACTTGAGATGATCCGGGCCGGCACGGGCCTGACTTACGAACAAGCAGGTGCCGAATACGGGAAGTATGGAAAGGACGAGTTTTTGAGAGCTGAGGCTGAGTCGCGGTAAGTTTCTTCACTGACACACAGTTGATTTGTTTCCACTTTTGTGGCGAACAACCTTACGTCCATTATGCCCTCTCCAGAGTTGCGCGCAGAGGCATGTGGAAGCACGGTACAGTGGGTGAAACCCCCGCGCAGTATAAACGGCGTTACGCGCAGAGTGGGACGGACATTGAGGCTCAGGTCCAAGGTACGGCGAAGGTAGAGAAAGAGAACTCGAAGGAGGGTGGGCTGAGAAGGATTTTGAAGAGACTTTGGTCATGAAATAGTTAAATTCAGATTGTGCACAGCTACTACAGCTAGCGGTGTGAATAATTGTCACACCTTCATTCCCGGACTGGCGCATGTGATCGTGAGGGGGCGCACTAGTGCTATATCGCGAACATCACGACAGCACAGACTGAAGCAAATTTGGATCTCGAGTTAGCTGTTGCATACACAGGACCTCATGGTGCTAGTCGCGTCCTATCACGGTGGCGCTTGCTCGCGCCGTAAAGGTGACACAATTTATTTATATAGCCAAAAAATTCCTCTGCTATGCGCAGCAATGATCAGTTAAATTATGAATTTTTACTGTATATATAGTCCCCGCCGTAAGCTGCGTCTCACCCCATCTACTACGGACACGAGTGGACACGACTGATCACTAGTCTCAGTTTCAATAATCCTCCCTTTCTGACGAACAGCAGTCTTGTTGTACTTTCATCTTCATCATGAAACTCGCGTCTACCCTTGTGCTTTCATTCATCGCCAGTGCGCAAGCAGCAACAACAATTTCTAGCTTGGTCCTGCCCAGTGGAATCCCAGGGTATGTGACTTTCTCTTTATACCTATTTCTCTTCAAAAACTCAATCAAAACCAAAATACTCTCGACGTATAGATCAAGCGGCCTGCCTTTTAGTACCGTCTCTTTTGACACCACAGCTGCTACCTCGGTGCTTTCCTCGCTTTCCTCTGTCTACTCTGCCGAGTCATCAGCTGTGCAGAGCGTGCTCTCATCCTTCACCGTAACGTCTCCTGCGTCCAGTGGGTCTACATCGACGAGCGCGCCAGCGGCGACAACCTCGAGCGCTGCGGGACGAACAGAGGCAGGGCTAGGGTTGGGGTTAGCTGCGGGAGCTGCTGCAGGCTTCCTTGGGTTCGTGTTCTAAATAAGAACATTTTCGGTGGAGATGCATGTATTCATGCCGATTGGGAGACACGTCCAGGGGTAAAGTTGGGAGGTCTCACGTCCATGTGTACTGCGGGGCAACTGCGGGCCCGGGAAGTGCATTTAGTGTATTTTATTTATCTGACGGTAGCTGTGGATGGCAGGATATTCGAAATAGACTTTGACGGGCGTCCGACGTGCCTACTTCCCTCAGGTTGTTTTCCCAGGGAACAACAAGTTGTGTCGGTCAGGTTATAAAGGGATCGGTTCCTCTGAGTCGGAATGATGTCTATATCAAAAAGTTGGTGTTAGTTATGGACTGGCCCGCAAGTCTGTCTGGCTCATGATTGGATTGGATTCGATCGGAGCTTTATTCCTGTCAGCAGCCTCGGCCCTCGGCGATGTCAAGCGCTGTCACTTAAGCTTCCATGGACTCTATTACAGCTTTCAGTATGAGCCACCCGGAACTCATGATCACCACGAGCTTTCTGTATCTTCGCTGGTCCCTGTCAACTGCACTGACAGCTATCAGTCGATATCCTCATTAGCGAGATGAAGTTCAACTACTGGGTAGTCTTATCAAAGAACACCATCACGTTCAGTTCTGTGAGGGTGCGTTTACAGATAATCAGTGATACATATGATGCGGGTAAGCGTCGGGAACTATTCATGATCTAACAGTAATAATAAAGATAGGCTGAGGCAAGCAAAAAGCACCGGCGGGAGACCCTCACCGTCATGGTCGAATCACTCTCACAGAAGACGCCTACTACTAGTGACACGCCAGTCAAGGACGACCAGAAGAGTGTTCCTCCCTCCGTCATCGTTTTACCTCAGAAGCAACTCGTGTGTTCCCTACCTGGGCAAAGTGCAAGATAGAGCCACTTGCGATATGAACAGCTTCAACGATGAATGCACGGAATGGCATGCAATGGTTCCGAGGAAGAACACTGCCAAAGCTAGCAGGGGCCCGCCGCCCCAGACGATCCCCCTGAGATGTCTACCTCTCATATGACAGACTGTCCTTCGCCAAGTCCTGCCTTGAGAGTGGAGATCAGAAATCAGGGCCTGTCCAGATCACATTCAGCAACACCGGACACACGTTCTCGTCTTCGTCGCTGCCAAAAAATGTTTTTTGTATGCACCATGACGCTGTCGTGCGAACCAGAGGATTCGATGGCAATCCATTCAATGGGGAAATTTCACATACGAATGGGCTGACCATTTTGGAGTGACATATGAGGGAGATATGCACGCTAACGATAACAGCGAGAGCGCTTGACTCAAGTAGGTGCAATCAACGCAGCGTTCGTTCAAGAAAGTCACGAGCATGGACAAGTACTGAGTACTGATTGGTGCAGAGTTCATGGGGATGTTTCATTCTCGTGAGCTTCAGCATTAGCTGTGCAGTTTAAGCGCCCAAGGCTTCTTGCGGACAACATACCCACTGCGTTGATCCTTCGCCATCGCAGTCCTACAATCCCGCAAGCCTGCCTAGGCCAATACGATTCTGTGGTCTTCATATACATTCCCTCGCACCGAAATTCCCTTGAGAGTTCAACTCGACGCATCGTCATCCTGGACCTTGTTGTCACGTCTAACTTTTTTTCGCCCACTTCATCACCACCACTATCTAATTCGCAATCTGGCCATCACGCTCACATTTGCCTAGTCTTCGTCCAATTACTCTTTTCCCTTCTCTTCCAGATCTATGTCTGCATATTCGGAGCAACGTATCTGCGCAGTCGCACAGGCAAAACCAACGGTCTTCCTCCCAATTCCATCTTCCGATGGCAACCTTTCAGCATGTTGACTTGTGGAATACGTTGTCAGCGAAGCTGCCGCCTCAGCATTCTCGACGTCTAGTACTCAAAAGATGGCCTAAAGTTCAAACGATGAGACGAATCATCTCATATCTAAATCTCCAAGCACGGCATCTGCACTCCTGCCTTTGATACTCGAGTTGCATGGCTGGTACAAACGCCCTTCGCCTTTCAACAGAATTCCTGGAAGTTAGAGGGCAAGGCTGCCAACGACACTGACAAGGACGATAACTTACACCTTGGCAACTACCTTACCGATACCCAGCGATTGGGCACAGTTATTAGCGGGTGAATCCACTGAGACGAGCACGAACACCTCCCTCACTAGGACGTCCTTCGATGCAAACAAGGACATTACCGAGCTATTTGCTCCCATCAATTCGAGCAATCTACTTTGGAATTGCCTTTTTGTACGACGTAACTCTATCACACTTTCCTAGCCTCTGCCCTCCTAATAATTTTATTTTCCCAGCTCTGGGTCCCCAGTTTAGAGCAAGGTATATCGGAGTCCTGAACAAGTATACCTAGAGTTTTCTTAGAGAGTCTCTCCTTCACCGGGAACGAATCATCTGTGAGACGCTTTCTGCCGGTGCGACGTCTCGTACGTCTTCCTTATGTCTTTTCACATATTCCTTGATCAAGATCAGTATCGACACCTCAAGTTGATTCGACGACCAAATGGGAACACGCCGTTTCAATGCTTATCATGGAGATTCACTGATTTAAGCACAGCGGGGTTCATGCACTAGTTCTGTACGTTCTTTCCTCTGGCACCTCGACGCACGGCTCAAGACAATAGCTTCTGCATTCTATCTTTTCGCCACCCTCTTCTCAATGCCAACAAATCTGTGTGCAACGCACGTTCTTCTTGTATCCACCAACCAGTAAGCAGGCTTCCCACAGCTCTCGCCGACATACTTTTTGGACCCAAGTACGGTCGAACGATCTTTGGCGTGGGTGGATGAGTGCATTATCATGCCCCGATGGAAAGACTTGAACGATCTCATGGCGGAGGTGACCGTCGTGGCAGCTAGTGACGAGGAACTTTCCACCTGTAGAAAAAGTCACAGGATTCACACTATCTTCATGGTGAAGTTGGTGTTCCGATGGGTTAACTGGTTTCGAGATTCCATAGTTGTGCTGTCTGTCTTGAATATGCATGTGCTTGCGAGGATGTGCTCATTAGCATCTGAAAAACACCCAACTTCTCGCTTAAGCTGCCAATGAAGTTTGTTGTGTTATGACCTGCACCCTGAAGCATCTGATTGGTTGGAGATGTGACTTATGGTGAGGTAAAGTTGCAGACATCAACAAAGTTAGTGTTGTTTTGGCCCAACGCGGTCTTTCATAATTTTCGCGAAGCGAGCCGAGTTTAACTCGACCGAACAACACTAATATCATAGTCCTCGCGGTGAGCTGCCCCTCTAGTCCATCTGCGACAAGTATACAACACAAGTGATTACTAGTCTCAGTTTCAACAATCTTCCTCTCTGAAGAACCACGGTCTGGTCGTACTTTCATCTTCACCATGAAACTCACGTCCGCTCTTGTGCTTTCATTCGTCGCTAGTGCGCAAGCAGCAACATCGCATTCTAGCATGATCCTACCCAGCGGAGTTCCAGCGTATGTAGCTTTCCCTTTATGCCTACTTCCCTTCAAACCAAATCAAAACAAAAATACTCATGTACAACGACGTATAGATCAGGCAGTACGCTATCCTCTCTCTTCTCATTCCGAGTCAACATCTCTGCAGAGCGTGTTTTCATCCCTCAGCACTGCCAACCCTACTGGGACACCTAGTGGCATAACTATTTCCACACCTACTTCCACCATCACAATTACTCCCACCGTAACGTCTCCTTCGTCCAGCGGGTCTTCATCGAGTACGACGAGCGCACAAGCTACGACAACCTCTAGCGCTGCAGGACGAACAGAAGTAGGGTTGGGATTGGGGTTGGCTGGGGGAGTTGCTGCGGGCTTACTTGGGTTCTTTTTCTAAACAAGTACGTTTTTCGGTCGTGACGTATGTATTCATGTTGATCTGAGGACAACGTGCGGGGATAAAAGTCGAGAGGTCTTACGTCCATGTGTGCTGCGGGCCCGGAAAAGTGTTAAATTGGTATATTCATTTATCTGAGGATAACTACGGATCGCAGGATATTGAAATAGACTTTGATTGACGCGCCTACATAACTCCCTTAGGCCGTTTTACAGCGTCCATGGATGGATGTTATATTCCTGTCATCAGCCTCCAAGTCAGCTCGACAGTCATCGTCAGCGGCCGCCAGCCTCCACGAAAGTCGATAAGACTCATTTAAAACACAACCATGGCAGATGATGCACAATGACGAAATGCAGACAGCCATGGGAACGATAAAATGTCCATTCAACAGACGCACAGCGATTCAGAGCACCCAAGGAGCCCAACATCCGGCCTGTATTGCAATGATATTATGTCGTGACATCGTTCCAGCAGCCAGTGCAGTAATTGCGACTGCGTTTATGGTTGACTGTTTGTATTCTGAATAGGCACGCAGCAAAGCCAACCCACAAGACGAGCGCGCCATCCAGCAATGGTAATGCGAGGACTTGAGATTGTTCCTGTTGTCGGCGTGGTACCAACGACGGCGGGAGGTGGCTGCTGTGATGATGGCGGGGTGCTCTGCGTTGCTGCGTTGGGATGCTGCGTGGTATGAGTATTGGGAAGTCGAGACGAGCTAGTAGCTGGCTTCTTCTTTCTTGCGTGATAATTTCTCTGCGCAAAAAAAAGTTAACGATAACGAAAAACCGTTGAAGAAAAAAACCGTACAGGCTTGCCCGCTGTATGTGGGACCTTGACTACGGGTGGCTCGTGCATCTCGATATCTGATCTATCTCGCCTGCGCATCATACCAGAGACTATTTTTCGAGTCCAGCTGAGAGGTTTGAATCGGGTGTCGCGCTCAGTTGCACTATTTAGCTTGGAGCGGTGCCAGAATGAGGTAAAAGGACCAAGGGTGCGTTGACGTGGTGTTGGAGTGGGGTGGTTATGTGGTTCATGGGACTGGGATAGACGAGTGCGTAACTGACAACATATTTGTCAAAACACTGAACGATAAATGGAGATCACATACATTAGCCTCTCGCAGTGCATCGTCAAAGAACCCTGGAGGTATTCTAGGAGCACCTTTCATCTTTGGAGCCGGTTGCGATACACCATCAGCCTGGGGGAGCAGATCCATTGTCATTGTCATCGAAAATAAAATGTATCAAAGCTTACATTGTCTGACAGACGGTCAGCTTCCTTAACGATAGCGGAAACATCCCATGTGTATAGGGGATTGTCGTTGCAGCCAGTGACAAGGAACTTTCCATCTGCAGAAAAGGTTGCAGAGACCACCTTATCTTCATGATGAAGTGGTGTTCCGATGGGTTGGTTGGTTTCGAGGTTCCATAGTTGTGCTGTATTATCCCTTGATGATGTGGTTGCGAAGATGGGCTCATTGGGAGATAGTAAAATGCTATCGACATCGTTTTCGTGTACGTCAGGATTTGCCCAGGTGGCTGTGTCGAATTTCGCGATGCTGGTTCCACCAGCGATGAGCGTTTTTCCATCCAAGGTCCATGCCAGGCACCAAACTACGACCTGGAGTGCTTTGAGCAATTCGCCTGTGTTGGCATCCCAGATTTTCAGTCCCATCATCCCGCCTGTGGCAATCATTTTGCCATTGGGTGAGTAGCAAACCGCCCACACGGACACGTCTCTCTTTGAGTAGATTGGTCCAAGGATAGTTTCTCCGCTCTTGACATCCCACACTCTGAATGTTTCATCTTCGGATCCACTCACCACTCGCCCTCCGTCTGGACTCCAGCACACAGATTTTACCTGTCTCTTGTGCCCCGTCCATTTTTTGATGACCTTCCCCGTATCGCTGTTCCACAATCTCACTGCATCCCAACTCCCGGTTGCTACGGTCTTACCATCCGGCGACAATGCTACGGCAAGCACTCCCATGTCTTTGTCCTCCCATTCCTTCCCGATCTGCGTGCCCCTCTCCAGGTTCCAGACCCGAAATGAACCATCACCCCATGAATAGGTGATGATCCGCTGTCCACCGGGCAGGTGTAAGATGTGCTTGATGCCGTTCTTTACTTTGATCTTTTGGCAAGGCATTGTCGCTGAGTCCTTGTGCTTCGCAGGGGTTGAATGCTCCACGATTTTGGTTTCGGGATTCACTTAATGGATGCGTGATGATTTCAGCTCTTACCATCAATTGCCGTACAAATTCATCACTTACTCAGAGTCTAGATGTACTCGACTCGTACACAGAAAGACGAATACGGAACGAAGGCTGCGGCGGAGTGGGGTGTTTCGTTCGATAGATATTCAAGTCAGGAAGGAGATCGTCGTTAAAATCTTCTGCAGGCGTGTCTTCCTTTTCATCCTTGTGTTTGCTTCACAGCTTCAACACTAGCTGTGCGCCCACGGCTATTTTTGGACAATATTCATACTTCCTTCATCTGCATTGACCTCTCGCCATCGTGGTCCTACAATCCCGCAAGCCTGCCTAGGCCAATACGATTTTGCAGTTTTCGTATCTATTCACGAGCACCGAAATTCCTTTGAAAGTCCAACTCGGCGCATCGTCTTGTTATCTTTGGACCTCGTTGTTAACGCCCTAAGAGTTTTTCGCATCTTCGTCACCATTGCTATCTAATTCGTAATCTGGGCATCCTTCTTACATTTCATCACTCATTTCCCTTCTCTTCCAGATCTATGTGTACGTATTCGGAGCAACGTATCTGTGCGGTACCGAACAAGCAATTTCAACGGTCTTCCTCCCAATTCCATCTTTAGATGGCAACCTTTCAGTATGTTGACTTGTGGAATACGCTGTCAGCGAAGCTGCCGCCTCAGCATTCTCGACGTCTAGTACTCAAAAAAGGCCTTAAGTTCAAACGCTGAGACGAATCATCTCACATCCAAATCTCCAAGTACGACATTTGCACTCGTGTCTTTCATACTCGAGTTGCGTCGCTGGTACAAACGCCCTTCGCCTTTCAACAGAATTCCTGGAAGTGAGAGGGCAAGGCTGCCAACGACACCGACAAGGACGATAACTTACACCTTAAGCAACTACCTTACCGATACCCAGCGATTGGGCACAGTTATCAGCGGCTGAGACTTCCCTCGCTGGGACGCCCCTCGATTCGAACAAGGACATCACTGAGCTGCTGGCGTCCTCTGATTCATGTAATCTACTTTGGAATTGCCCTTTTGTACAACGTAACTATGACACCTCCTTAGCATCTACCCTCCCAATAAATTTATTTTCCCAGTTCTGGGTCCCCGTGTTCAGAGGAAGGTGTCTCGGAGTCCTGAATAGGTGTACCTAGAGTTTTCATAGTCTCTCCTTCACTGGGAACGCAACATCTTTGAGACTCTTCCTGTTGGTGCGATATCTCGTACGTCTTTTATATATTCCTTGATCAAGATCAGCATCGACATCTCGGGAATACGCTGTTCCGATCCTTATCACCGAGATTCATTGATTTAAGCATGCAGGGTTCATGCACTAGTCTTTATTCGGCACCTCGGCGCACGGCTTTTTGCCACCCTCTTCTCAATGCCAACAAATCTGTGTACAACGAACGTTTTTCTTTTATCTACTGACCAGTAAGCGGGCTTTCCTCTCTCGACGGCATACTTTTTTAACCCAAGCACAGTTGAATGATCTTCGGTGTGGGTGGATGAGTGCATTATCATACCGCGATGGAAAGACTTGAACAATCCCATGGCGGAGGTGATCGTCGTGGCAGCTAGTGACGAGGATCCTTCCACCTGTAGAAAAAGTTACAGAATTCACCCTGTCTTCATGATGAAGTTGGTGTTCCAATGGATTGATTGGTTTCGAAATTCCATAGTTGCGCTATCTTAGATCATGATGTGCTTACCAGGACGTGCTCATTAGGCTTGGGTAAGTCAAGATCTCGTTTCCGCAGTGATGGCATCATGGTTCTGGTTGCATCCTGACATCACGGTGGCGCTTGCTTGCGCCGTAAAGGTGACAATTTGTTTATAGGCATCAGGAGATTAATATTCCTCTGCTGCGTGCGCAGCTTAATGGTCAGTTGAGTTTTTACGGTACCGCATATAAAGTCCTCGCCGTGAGCCGCCTCTCGAGCCCCTATCTACGACAAGTACGCAACAAGTGACTACTAGTCTCAGTTTCAGTGGGGCTGGGGTTGGGGTTGGCTGCGGGAGCTGCTGCGGGCTTACTTGGGTTCTTTTTCTAAATGAGTACGTAAATTTCGGTAGTGACGTATGTATTCTTGCTGATCGGAGGACAACGTGCGGGGGTAAAAGTTGAGAGGTCTTAATTACGTCCATGTGCCCTCCTGACTCCAGGAGGGAGCTATGTAGGCGTCAATCAAAGTCTATTTCAATATCCCGTGATCCGTAGTTATATATAAACATGTATATCAAACACCCTTTCCGGGCTCGCAGTATCCATGGTTGGATGGTGTATTCCTGTCACATCAGCTTCTGAGTCAGCTCGACCGTCAGTCGCTGCCAGCCTCCACGAAAGTCAGTCGCCTTGCAACTTTCTGCACCAACGCTTCTCGTCTAGCTAGTACTGGCCGCGCTGTCACCTTCCTGTCTTCCATGGACTCTATTTCAACTTCTAGTCCGAGCCATCCGGAACTCATGATCACCACGCCTCAGGCACGAGCTTTCTGTATCTTCGCCGATCCCAGAATTACTACAAACTACATTGACAGTGATAATCAATAATATATGCAATGAGGGCAGGCAAAAGGCAGGCGCCGGGAATTATTCATGATCTAGCAGATAATATTATGGGTGCTGATGCAAGCAAAAAGACCTAGCGGAATGGCTTCATCGTCATGGAAGACACCTACTACTAGTGACACACCAGTCAAGGACGACCAGAAGAGTGTTCCTCCCTCTGCTATTGCCCCACCTCAGAAGCAACTCGCTGTGTTTCCCCACCTAGGCAAAGTGCAAGGTAGACTCACTGGTGATATCTCGGCTTCAACGATGAAGGCACGGAATGGCATGTAATGGTTCCGAGGAAGAGTACTGCCAAAGCTAGTAGGGGCCACAGACGACCCCCCCGAGATGTCTACCTCTCATACGACAGACTGTCCTTCACCCAGTCCTGCCTTGAGAGTGAAGATCAGAAATGAGGGCCTATCCAGATCACATCGTACGCAAAACGTATCTTTCTCGTTCAGCAGCACCAGACGCATGTTCTCGTCCTCGCCGCCGCCGAAAGATGTTGTGCATATCCACCATGACGTCGGCCGGACCAGTGTGGATTTGGTGGCAATTCATTCAATGGGGGAAGCTTCCACATACGAAGGGGTCGACCATTTTGTGCGACATGTGATAGCACCAGGGAGATCCAGCAAGAGGCATGATATGCACGCTAACGATAACAGCCTCGAGAGCGCTTGAGTACGTCCCAAACTGGGCTCGGGGCAACGTTCGTTCCAAGTATTGAGTGACGAGCGGGAGTGTATATACTCCAACTAAAGTAGTATACCCATATCCCATTCCATGAAGCGTGCTGTAGCGTCTATATAGGGCAATGAAACAAGACTCGTTTAAATCACAAAACCGTAGTGGATGAAGCAGGAAATACGACAAAGTACGATGACGGAGTGCAGATGTCCACGGAAACGATATGAGACGATAGAAAGTGTCCATTCAACATACGCACAGCGATCCAGAGCACCAAAGGAGTCCAGCATCCGGCCTGTATTGCAGTGATACTATGTCGTGACATCATTCCAGTAGCCAGTGTGGTAGTTGCGACTGCATCTCTATAGTTGACCGTTTGTGTTCTAAATAGGCACGCAGCAGAGCCAGCCCACAAGACGAGCGCGCCATCCAGCAATAGTAATACGAGGACTTGAGATTGTTCCTGTTGTCGGCGCGGTACCAATGATGGCGCAGGGTATCGAAGCAGCAGCAGTGGGAGGTGGTTGCTGTGACGATGATGGTGTGCCCTGGGTTGCTGCATTGGGTTGCTGCATGGTATGAGTATTGGGAGGTCGAGATGAGTTAGTAGCTGATTTCTTCTTTCTTGCGTGATAATTTCTCTGCGCGAAAATGAGTCAGCGATAAAGAAGAATCGTTGAAGAGACAAAACGCACAGGCTTTCCCGCTGTATATGGGACCTCGACTACAGGTGGCTCGCGCATCTCGATATCTGATCTATCTCGCCTGTGCATCATGCTAGAGACTATGTTTCGAATCCAGCTGAGAGGTTGGGATCGGGACTGGGTGTCGCGCTCAGCTGCACTATTTAGCTTGGAGCGGCGCCAGAATGAGGAAAAGGGACTGAGGGTGCGTTGATGTGGTGCTGGAGTGGGGTAGTTATGTGGATCATGGAATTGGGATAGACGAGCTCGCAACTGATAATATATTTGTTAAAGCACTGAATAATAGAAGTAGGTAACCTCTCGCAGTGCATCATTGAAAAACCCTGGAGGTATTTGACGAGCACCTTTCATCTTTGGGGTTGGTCGTGGTGTAGCATCAGTCTGGGGGAACAGATTCATTGTCAGTGTCATCGAAAATGAAATGTATCAAGCTTACAATATCTGATGGAAGGCCAACTTCTTTGACAATAGCGGAAACATCCCATGCGTATAGGTGGTTGTCGTTGCAGCCAGTGACGAGGAATTTTCCATCTGCAGAAAAGGCCGCATTGATCACGTCGTCTTCATGGTGGAGTGGAGTTCCGATGGGTTATTGGTTCCGAGGTTCCATAATTAATGTGCTCTCTTGAGTCGAACAGTGGTGTGCTCAATTGCGAGGATGTGCTCATTGAGAGATAGTGAAATGATAGTGGAGAAGTTTTTGGGCAAGTCAAGCCCAGTCCATGTGGCTGTGTTGAATTTCATGATGGTGGATATAAGCATTTTTCCATCCCAGGTCCATGCCAGGCACGATATCGATACTCCTTCGCAATTCAGTGTTCTGAGTAGTTCACCTGTGTTGGCATCCCAGATTTCCAGATTGTACCCACCTGTGGCAATCATCATGCCATCAGGTGAGTAGCAAACTGCCCATATGTATTCGAATTTCCCTTCCTTGATTGGTCTGAAGACGGTTTTTCCGTTTTCGACATCCCATACTCTGCATGTATCATCTTCGGATACACTCACCACTCGCCCTCTGTCTGGGCTCCAGCACACAGAACGCACTGCTCTCATGTGCCCCGTCCAGGTTTTGATAACTTTGCCCGTGTCGACGTTCCACAATTTCATTGCGCCATCCTCACTCCCGCTTGCTACGGTCTTGCCGCACGGCGATAATGCTATGGCAGACACACCTCTTTCATTGTCCTCCAATTCCTCCCCAATTTGCGTGCCCCTCTCCAAGTCCCAGACTCGAAATGAGCCATCCCATGAATAGATTATAATCTGCTGTCCACCAGGAAGGTGTAGGATGTGCTTGATGCCGTTCTTTACTTTGATCTTTCGATAAGGCAATGTCGCTAAATTCTTGTGCCTCGCAGGGGCTGGATACCCCATGATGTTGGTTTCGGGATTCACTTAGCAGGTGCGTGATAATTTTAGCTCTTACCATCAATTGCCATACGAATTCATCACTTACTCAGAATCCAGATGAACTCGACTCGTACCCAGAGAGACGAATGCGAAATGGAAGCTGCGACGGAGTGGGTGTTTCGTTCGATAGAGGTTCCAGTCAGGAGGGAGGTCGTTGATTAAGCCCTCTAGAACTTCGTCTTCATCCTCGTGTTCCCTTCACAGCTTCAACACTAGCTGTGCGGATTAAGCGCCCAACGCTCTTTTTGGACAATATTCCCAATTGACTTCTCGGTCCTACCCTGCCTGGGCCAATACGATTCTGCAGTCTTCGTATGTTGATCCGACAATCAAACGGGAACACACCGTTCCAACGTTTGTCAGTTCGCTTATTTATGCATAGCGAGGTTCATGCACTAGTTCCGTACGTTCTTTATTCTGGCACCTCGACGCACGGCTCAAGACAACAACTTCTGCATTCTACCTCCTTGCATCCCTCGTCTCAATGTCGACAAATCTGTGTACAATGCACGTTTTTCTTTCATCTATCAACCAGTAAGCAGGCTTTCCTTAGCTCTCGACGGCATGCTTTTTGGGCCTAGCACAATTGAACGATTTTCGACGTGGGTGGGTGGTGGGTGAGCGCACTATCATACCGCAGTGGAAAGACTTGAAAAATCTCATGGCGGAGTGAGCTGGAACCACGATCTACGTGCGTCACCGACCTATTGAATAGAGCAGGTAATACCTTCCCTACTTCAAGTTCGCTTTCGCTGTAATCTCTTCCCAGAACCCATTGCATTAGGAATCTTGAGATACACACTCCACCGTCTGTGATGTTGACCATCATCTAAACCCCACAGCGGGTTGCCTGTAGGTACACTTCAGGTACGCCAATGTGGCATAGATTTTGCATCTAAGCTGCGAAGATGTCGGGGAGAACTTGTCGTGGCACTGCCGTCTGAAAATAAACATTAGATCAATGATTAGAGGCAGTACAATACAAATACAAGATGCACTGGCACACAACATTCCCAAGTAGCTATACGAACACGGAGAACAAGCACTGTAAAATTGGTGAGAACTGAATGCAACACTCCAGGGCCTGTACCCAGATGGACATTCACATGTTGATTATTAGTGAGGAGTCAAAGTGTTTGGAATTCATTTCAAGCGACATAAGAACATGATCTGTACCAAATCTGTACCCCAGGATTTGTGCGTCACATAAGCCGCGTAATTATAAATACCGCATCAATTTCACCTGGCCACTTGGATAAGTTGAGATCTCGTTTCCGCAGTGATGGAATGGTTCTAGTTCAAGAAGTTATATCCTTGTGGTGCAGCTTACTTGCGCCGTCAAGGTGACATAATTTGTTCATATATCAAGAGATTCCTCTGCTGCGTGCGCAGCAATGGTCAGTTGAGTTTTTACCGTATATTATAAAGTCCTTGGCTACAAGTACACGACACGAGTGACTACTAGTTTCACTTTCAATAATCTCCCTCTCTGAGAACGACAGTCTTGTTGTACTTTGATCTTCACCATGAAACTCACATCCGCCCTTGTGCTTTTATTCATCGCTATAGCTAGTGCGCAAGGAGGAACAACAATAACCGGAATCCCGGCGTATGTGACTTTCTCTTTCCCTTCAAAACAAAATACTCATATATAACTGGTGTATAGATCCGACTCAAACGGCTTTACCATCACTTATGACTCCGGGACGTATGACACCAGCTCGCTTTCCTCTTTCCTATCTTCCGAGTCATCATCTGTGCAGAGCTTGTTCTCATCCCTCGGCATTAGTACCACACCTACTATCATACCTACTTCCATTGGCACGATCTCTCCCACCGTAACGTCTCCTTCGTCCAGCGGGTCTACATCGGGTGCGACAAGCGCACAAACCACGACAACCTCTAGCGCTGCAGGGCGAACAGAGGCGATGTTGGGGATGGGGTTGGCTGCGGGAGCTGCTGCGGGCTTACTTGGGTTCTTTTTTTAAATAAGTACGTCTTCGCCGGTAGCGATGGATGTATTCACGGATAACGTTCGGGGGTAAGACTCGGTCGAGAGGTCTTACGTCCATGTGTACTGCGGGGCAATTGCGGGCCCGGGAGGGGTGTTTGGTACATCTATTTACCGGACGACAACTACGGATCACAGGATATTGAAATAGTTTTTGATTAACGCGCCTACATAAATCCCTCAGGTTGTTTTACAGGGGCTAGCAAGTTGTTTCGGTCTGTTGGCACAGCCACAGGCAAAGGGATTTACTCTGGTAGCCGCCATCGGAAAGATGTCCATCAAAAAGTGTTGGCTATGGACAATCTGGGCTAGGCCACAGGTCTGTCGCAGACTCTGGCCCATGATTGGATTCGATCGGAGTTGTATTCCTGTCAGCAACCTCAGTTCCACAGTCGCCGTCCGGCATCAGCGCTCAGCGGCCACCAGCCTCCACGGAAGCCAGTTAACTTGCAACTTCTCGTCTATCAGCGCTGTCACTTTCCTGTCTTCCATGGACTCCATTTCAACTCTCAGTCCGAGCCATACGGAACTCATGATCATCACGAGGCACGAGCTCTAGAGTCTCTGTACTATCTCCGCCAGTCCCAGAATTACTACACGCCGAACTATGCGATATATCAGTCGATATCCTCACCATGCAAGATGTTCAGCTAGCTGGGTACTAGTCTCATCAAAGAACACCATAACGTTCAGTTCTGAGGGTGGCACGCACAAATAATCAATAATACATACAAGGAGGGCAGGCAAAGGGCAGGCGTCGGGAATTATTCATGATCTAGCGGATATTATAGATGCTGATGCAAGCAAAAAGACCTGGCGGAACGCCCTCACCGTGGTCGGGCCTATCAGCTGAGCCGCTCTATCAAATCACTCTGGAAGAAGACAGAAGACACATGCTACTACCGGAAGAGTGTTCCTCCCTCTGCTATTGCCCACCTTAGAAGCAACTTGTTGTGTTCCCCACCTGGGCAAGGTGCAAGATAGACCCACTGGCGATATGGCAGTTTCAAAGATGAAAGCGCAGAATGACATGCATGGTTCCGAGGGAGAGTACTGCCAAAGCTAGCAAAGGCCCCAGAGGATTCCCCCGAAATATCTACCTCTCGTGTGAGACTGTCCTTCGCCAAGTCCTGCCTCGAGAGTGGAGATCAGAACTGCGGACCTATCCAGATCACATCCTGCGCAAGACATATCCGTCTCGTTCAGCAAAACTGGACGCATGTTCTCGTCTTCGTTGTTACCAAAAGATGTTTTGCATGTCCACCATATGTGGATCAGACTATTGTGGATTTGCCGCAATTCATTCAATGGAGGAAATTTCCACATATGAAGGGGCCGACCATTTTGGGCGACATATGATAGATCCAGCGAGAGGGATAATGTGCACGCTAACGATAACAGCCTCGAGAGCTCTTGAATAGGTGCGAAATGTTCTTGGCGCAGTGTTCATTCAAGAAAATCATGAGTATGGACAGGTCCTGAGTATTGAGAATTGAGTGCCGAGTTTCCTGCGATGTATATACTTAAAGTAGTGTACATATGTCGCATCGCATGAAGGGTACTGTAGCGCCTATATAGGGCAATGAAATAAGACTCGGTTAAAACACCAGCGTAGCAGATAAAACAGGAATTACGATACAGTACAATGATGGAGTGCAGCCGGCCATGGGAACGATATGAGACGAGAGAAATTGTTAATTAATAGACGCACAGCGATCCAGAGCACCAAAGGAGTCCAACATCCGGCCTGTATTGTAATGATATTATGTTGCGACATTGTTCAAGTAGCCAGTGCAGTAGTTGCGACTGCGTCTCTATGGTTGACCTTTTGTGTTCTGGATACGCACGCAGCAAAGCCAGCCAACAAGACGAGCGCGCCATTCAGCAATGGTAGCATGAGGACTTGAGATTGTTCCTGTTGTCGGCGCGGTACCAGCGACGGCGAGAACTGTCGAAGTAGTAGCAGTGGGAGGTGGCTGCTGTGATGATGGGTGTGTGCTCTGAGTTGCTGCGTTGGGTTGTTGTGTGGAATGGATTTTAGAAGGTCGAGACGAGCTGTTAGCTTTCTTCCCTGTTGCGTGATAGTTCCTCTGCGCGAAAAAAAGTCATTGGCGAAGAACTGTTGAAGAGAAAAAAGCGTACAGGCTGGCCTGCTGTGTAAGGAACCTCGACCTCTCGCAACTGGATGTCCGATCCATCTCGTCTGCGTAGTATACCAGATACTAGGTTTCAAGTCCAGCTGAGGGAGTGGGATCGGGATTGGGTGTCTAGTTCATTTTCCCTATATGGCTTGGAGCGACACCAGAATGAGGAAAAGTGACTGAGAGCGTGGTGGACGTGGTGCTGGAGTGGGACAGTTATGTGGCTTATGAGATTGGGAGAGACGAATGCGCAACTGACGACATATTTGTCAAAGAATTGAATAATAGATGGAAATCACATACATTAGCTTCTCGCAGTGTATCGTCAAAAAAACCTGGAGGTATTCGAAGAGCATCTTTCATATTTGGGGCTGGTCGCAACGTAGCATCAACCTGGGGGATCCAGCAGATCCGCTGTCAGTGTCATTGAGAATGAAATGTATCGAAGCTTACAATATCTGACGAAAAATCAGCTGATTTGACGATAGCAAAAATATCCCATGTGTATACGTGGCCGTTGTTACAGTTAGTGATGAGGAACTTTCTGTCTGCAGAAAAGGTCGCAGAGTTCACGTAGGCTTCATGGTGATGTAGTGCTTCGATGGGTTGATTGATCTCGAGGCTCCATAGTTGCACTGTCTTGTTCCAGTATAAAGCCCCATGGTTAACCCGCCTGTGGCAATCATCTTTCCATCGGGTGAGTAGCAAACTGCGTTCATGAATTTCCTCACTTGATTGGTCCAAGGATGATTTCCCCGCTCTCGACATCCCACACTCTTAATGTCTCATCTCTGGATCCGCTCACCACTCGCCCTCTGTCTGAACTCCAGCATACGGACAGTACTCTCCCTCTATACCCCGTCCATTCTTTGACCACCTTGCCCGTGTCGACGTTCCACAATCTAACCGTCCCATTCCGACTATTGCTCCCGCTTGCTACAGTCTTACCATCCGGCGACAATACTATGGCAGACACTCTTCCATCTTTGTCCTGCCATTCATTCCCAACCTGCGTGCCCCTCTCCAAGTCCCAGACTCGACATGACCCATTCCATGAAAGGGTGATAATCTACTGTCTTCGAGGTTCACTCCGACGCGATTCAAAGTTCAGGTATGGGATTTGTTGTAGGCACAAATTGATGGAATTGAACTAGTAGTGACAGGACTGGAGATTAGTTTTCGGACGAAAGCGCGCAGCGCTTTCCGGCCCCGAGGAAAGAGACCTAGACTGAGAAAGGTTGAGCTGCGATTCCCAAGTGTTAGGAGTCCGACGACGCATCGAGCGAAACTCGGATCCCCAACTTGTAGGAGAAGGGCGACGTACTCACTCGTAAGTGTCTTGGCCTTGGTTCTTTTAACGGACTGGGGGAATGGGATAACGAAGGAATTGGTCATGTAGAGTGGGAGTTGCTTGCATGTATGGTGCCATGATCTGCGCGTGTTTCCGCAGGTATGCGAGAAATGCGTCACTTGCCCACCGGCCCTTGATTTTTACCACGTCGAATGGGATGTTCCGCAGGAGATATTCCAAGGTTGAACCGATACAAATGCCGTGGCCTTGCACTGGTGCGTGGCCGGCAGCTTTGGTTTGCAGCAGCTAACCTGCTCAAAAACTTGGTTTTTGTCAGTGGCCGGTGCGTGTTGTCCTTGTGGCGATACGCGAATAGTGCGAAGTTCTGTGGGGGTTTGTTGACTTGCAGATGGTTCAGGAAAGCTGCTTCTGGGTCGGATAGACCTGCCTGTCTGGCCCAATGAATGTCTTCGCCTCCCGTCGCAGTTTTCGTGCGCGGTAGGCTGAAATTCTTGGTTACGAGGTTCTGTCGATCCTGCAAGTCCTTGACACCACCGAGTGTGATGTGTAGCTTGGGGTCGAAAGCATTCAGGCGAGGGACGGTGAATTCCCCGACTCTAGCGGTAGCGTAGAATATGGTTGTTAAACATGCAAATACTGATGCGTCTAATGGGTCGTTGAGGTTTAGCTTTCCCCGGATGGCAATGATTAGGTCGACGGTGTATGGTTCCCGTTTGTCACGCTTTGCGGAAGCAGGCGTGAGTGACATTGCCGCCTTCAACATGGCGTCTATCGCCGCATCGTTCAGCGACCAGGTCGCGCCGGTGTATAATGTGCCATGCTCGAACTCCGTTCATGTAGTTAGATACTGTTTTCCCTGAATAATGGCCAACCATGCATGCAATAAAGGCTTCTATTAGTATGTTGCTTGCTGGTGCCTCTGATTTTCCGGGATGGTTTTGCTGTCGCAAAAGACATGGAAAACCAGTAGACCTGAACCGTACGTTTCGCGCGTGCTTTCTGAGTAAGCGTGCACTAAGACGCCTCGGATCCGATTGATATCTTCAGTAGTTAGAGGAACGAACTTTCCTTGTGCATCTTTCGCGGACCGCGAGGTCGTTGGTTCCCACAAGTAGAGTCTATCCTTTGCAGGATAGTGCGGGCGAAGATGGGAAGGTATCAGAGTCAAGTTAGTGCTATATGTAGGTCTCCGACGCTTGGAAGAGCTTCTCTCCTTCAAGCTCGAACTGACGGTTAACGTGGTTGCGTCGTTGGAGCTCTAATCTACTGCGGGTTTGGCCCACTGGGTGAATTGATTCCTGGGGGGCAGAATGGGAGGTGTGGCTTGGGGTCGGATTGATTGTGGAAGGCGAGGTATGTTCAGGTGCTTCTGCGAGGAAGGCGCGCAGTTCTGAAGGGATTGGGATGGGAGGAAGCTTGTCACATGCCGGGGGATATTGCCCTCGTGAAGGTCCGTCTGCGGGGTTTTCTTTGCTTGGTATGTACCGAGTGAGGATTGTACATTTGGTATCGGCTGCGACCTGA